CTTCACGCCCGCGTGCGCGGCGCGTCTCACATCGACTTTAAGACCGCGACGACCGGCGTTCAAGGCAAGGCCATGCGCAATGAGCTTGCGACGCTGGTCACCACTGTGGAAGACCCGTCACAGCGCAAGGTAGGACAACGGCGTTCTATTTCTGGGAAAGAAGCATTGATCTTGACATTGTTGCAGGCGTTTGACGTCGAGATGCAGTCATTCTTCTACCTCTTCACGCGCTATCTCGCCCAGAAGGCTCAGAACGAGGAGCTGTACGTTCATGACATTCACTAGACGGAGATAGAAGCTCATCTATGACAGCAACTGGGAGCGCATCAAATCGCCCAGCGCCGACCAGATTGTACCCTACGCCTCGCTTCAAGCGCCGAAGGATGCCTCGTCCCTCAATAAGCTGGCTGTGCTCAAGGTGAACGGTGGTCTCGGAACCTCGATGGGCATGACCGGTGCCAAGTCGGCTCTTGAGGTCAAGGACGACATGACCTTCCTCGACCTAACCGTCCGCCAGATCGAGCACCTTAACACGACGAACCGCGTCGATGTACCTCTCATCCTCATGACTTCGTTCAACACTCACGACGATACCCTCCGGATCATCAAGAAGTACGCGAACCAGCAGCTCCGTATCACGACCTTCAACCAGTCGCGCTACCCGCGCATCCATAAAGAGACATTGCTTCCCGTGCCGAAGCGCGCCAACTCTGATAAGCGGGAATGGTACCCGCCTGGCCACGGCGATGTCTTCACGGCCCTGCTGCACTCGGGCGTCCTCGACCAGTTGCTGTCGGAGGGCAAGGAGTACTTGTTCATCTCTAACTCGGACAACCTCGGTGCTGTCGTCGATGAGAAGATTCTCCAGCACATGATCGAGTCTCAGTCGGAGTACATCATGGAGGTTACCGACAAGACTAAGGCTGACGTCAAGGTATGCTGAACCACAATATGTGTCCTCTGATGTATCTGACGCATCTACTCACAGGGTGGAACTCTCATCGACTACGAGGGTACAGTGCGGCTCTTAGAAGTCGCGCAGGTCCCTGGTGAGCACATCGAGGACTTCAAGTCAGGTGAGCTATTCGTCGCTGCGGATCTATCTTCAGTCCTCTCAACTGTCTCTAGTGCGCAAGTTCAAGATCTTCAACACGAACAACCTGTGGGTTGACCTACGCGCACTCAAACGCGTAATGGAGAGCACGGGCATGGACCTCGAGATCATCGTCAACCCGAAGAGCATGGACGATGGCACGCCTGTCCTCCAGCTCGAGACGGCTGCCGGTGCAGCCATCAAGCACTTCAAGAACGGTCACGGTGTCAACGTCCCCCGCACGCGCTTCCTGCCCGTGAAGAGCTGTAGCGACCTCCTTCTCATCAAGTCGGACATCTACAGCCTCGAGCACGGTCAACTGGTCGTGAACGAAGGACGCCAGTTCGAGGCGACACCAGTCATCAAGCTGGGCGACCATTTCAAGAAGATCGCTCAGTTCCAAAAGCGGTTCAAGAAGATCCCGAAGATCCTTGAACTCGACCATCTCACTGTCACGGGCGATGTTTACTTCGGGAAGAACATCACCCTGCGCGGAACCGTCATCGTTGTCGCGAACGAAGGCCAGCGCATCGATATACCCGACGGATGTGTCCTCGAGAACCGTCTGCTTGCTGGCAATCTCACTATGACGGTACGCACCAGCCCACGACTCACACCGTCAGCTATACTGACTCCTTTTCGTAGGAGCTATAATCTCGGTTTGATCTGATCTCAATACGCATATCTGCCGCTCGTTTGCATCGCTCGTCGCTTTCCACCCTGTTTTCCCACCCTCTCTACTATCTCGCTCACCTATACTCGGACATACCCTATATACCCGCCCCCGCCCATCTCGCGACGGACGCTCTCCCTGCGGCAGCCTAACACGCTTTGTACTATTACATGACCATACATCTTTCGGTTTCCATAGAGGTTTTGGGCTTCGGATTCGCTTTCTTGTAGCTTATGATTAGACTTCGGATTCGTCCCGCTGCTCTCTGCCTAGTGCATCATTTAGACTTGCGCTTCGTCATGCAAGTGGTGCGATCGTGTCGTGTCCCCGAAGCGTCGTCGCGGTTGGACGCCGCGACAAAAACGCATGTGATCGCGCCTGCCGCGATTTGCCACAGCTTGACTTCTGCCTCCACCATCGAGGCCCAAGTTGTCGGATACCATCGCGTACACTATCCCGCACGTTGAGCTAGACATCATCGTCTCATCCTGTTGCAAGCTATTCCGGGGTGCTCTCTATAAGCTCAATATCGCACGGGCAACCCGGCGGCCAACCCCTGCCGCTCACCATTCCAGGCTTGGATCTCGCGCGCATATCAGTACTGATATTGGCCGGACTCGTGTCTCATACTTCGCATCTATACGCCTACGACAATGGCCTCAAACCTTGCAAGCTGCCCTGCCGCGAAGCCTCGTTTTGATCCGATCTTTTGTTCGGCCAAGACCACACCAAATCTCCTACCTCTAATGGGTTCAAGACTCGAATGGACATCTCTCTGGACCTGCCAGGTTGACTTCTCAGCAGACCTAGTACGTCTTCATCCAATTGACTCATCCTGCGAGAGACTCATGTACAAGTTTGAAGCAGCGACCTCTCAATTGATACACCATCCGGAGTACAACTCGACGCTCATCCTAAGGTCGGAGACGGTAGCAGAGACGGACCAGCCTGAGGACCTGGGTTCGCTCGACCTTCCCGATATCGATGGGTTCGTCCCTCTGAGGAGCATCCATCGCAAGCTGCTTCCACGGAGACCCGGACGCGACGCTGGACTGGAGCAGCACTGCACGCTCTATGCGCCGGCACCGGGCGCCAACGATGTGGATCAGACGCCCTCACTACCTTCCTTGCTCGTTCTGACACCGATCGCCCCCGCCGATGGCTCGCCGCTGCCTTACTACCACCCTACAGTTCATCAACTCGCGATGCATCTCATCTCTGGCGACGACACGCTCACACCAGACAAGTCTGGATCAAGACTGTGCATCGACGTTGTGCCTCATGCTGGCACATCTCTCGACCCTGGTGCCCGCCTTGCGCGCACATGCTTGGCTTTGCTCGAGACTCTGCATCGCTATCTGTGGGGCGCGGCGACCGACTACCGCAAACGCGTCGCACACGACCGTATCGTGCCGCGAGAGGAGTACCAGGACATGTACCTCATCATGCGGGAGAGGCATAAGCACCTTGTGAATGAATGGCATGAGAGCACGGATCCGCTGAAGCATGTCTTTGAGGTGTATATCACCATTACTTGCATGTCACGGAACAAATTACTGATAATAGGCGCAGGACATTGGTATCGCAACATATCTCATGATGCTATGGAAGACTACAGACGATGCGAGCTACATGAGACCTTCGGGCGACTTCTCGGAGGATGAGCCGTGGAGGCGTTGGCCGCGTCCGGCTGGCGGCTTCATTGATCTCGGGTACGGCCCTTGCGTCTTTGCCTGGGCCCCTCACTCAAGCCGTCTTCTTACAGGTGCGGCAACGGTCTACTTACGCACATTCTCACTGCGGAAGGCTACGCCGGACAAGGCATCGACTTACGCGCCCGCGTCTCATGGGAGCATTATCCGCCCGCATCGCGCGCAGCACTACGTGTCCTGGCGCTCGACCCGACGAGCGAGGAGCTTTCGGATACCGACCTCCCAGCAAATGCCTTCCTCATCGGCAACCACGCCGACGAGCTCTCGCCGTGGGTTCCCGTTCTCGCGACGCGTACGCAAGCAGCAGGATACCTGTCTATCCCATGCTGTGCGTGGTCCTTCGACGCCCGCTTTGATCGTACCAGGGACGTTCCGTATGAGGATATTGGAGACGAGGCGGAGTTCGTTGAAAGCTTGGGACTGGGTGCGGATGGGAGTACGAGTAGCTCGTATGCTGCATACCGGGTGTGGTTGGCAAGCTTGAGTGCACACTGCGGATGGGTAGTGGAGTGCGATGCGTTGAGGATCCCAAGCACGCGTAACTGGGCGATAGTTGGTAAGTCCTGGGAGCGTGTTCAATATGTCGCGCAGGACTGAGCAGTGAACAGGAAGAAAACGCTCCGATGACGCCCAAGAGGAAGTGCAGGAGAGAATCGACAATATCTTGCTTCATGTCAAACAACGGGGTGTATTCAAGACGCGCCGCCCGGAGGGCAAGGCGGGAGAACACTGATCGCGGGATGACGGGGAAGCAAAGATGAATGCAGAGACTGATTTACAATATCCGCGTGAAATAAGATACATTGTGGACAATCCTTCCAGGAATTCATGCAGTGAACTATGGATTGGGATCAGCACTGCGTTGAGTCAAGGATAAAGTAGATGACGTACGGCCGTGAGGTACGACTCTGCAACGGTACGGGCACGTGCGTTCAAGCTGAGCTTCATCTCGCTGATCTCTCTGTCGACGTCCTCCATAAACCTGCGCGGGAGTAAGCAACGGGCATTGGCGTCCGTGACAAGCGCACGTACTGGATGATGAAGTCTACAATCTTGTGTTTCAACATGGATTCGGTATGGAAGTTAGTGATGAGGAAGGAGATGTCATATCCCTAAAGACCATATGTGGTAAGTATAACCATTAAGGCGCCGACAACGGCGATCTCGGGCGAAAGTGGGCACGTACAGGTACAGGCTTACGCCTCAAGACGATGAAGTTCTCGGCGCGCTGCATCATGAAGCGGGTGAATTTATGGCATAGAATACGCTCGATCTCGTCAGCTTGTTTGATCTTGATGCTCAGACGAATCGAGTTGACGGATGGTTCGATGAGTACGCGCTCGTTCTCGTTACGCGCAATCGTGAGCGGGTTCAACAGGACCTCCAGCGAAGCCCTGTCGGGTTGATGAGTAAAGGCTAGGTATAACGCTTGGACACTCACTGGACCTCAACCTCAGGCTTGTTGTGGCGCTCGACCACCTACACATTATATGAGCCAAATATATACGTCCAGATCAGACGTACGCACCTGAGATGAGAAGTTCTCGAGTGTGAGAGCGGCGGTGAGCGTCGAGCGCACTGCAGCAAGATATGGCCTAAGGGTATTGGACTGTAGACATATATGAGCTTCGTTACGGCCGGATTGGGGAGGAGACCTGCCATGATGAGCCTGAAGCAACCTGGGCCATCACAAGCGCGCGGCGAAGCTGTCGCGCGGCACCCCAATGAGGAAGGTGGTTCCCATCACGTAACGCGACGCGCGACGCGTCTTGTTCAAATTCGACGCTCGAACTTTTTCTCTTCAGTGCACCCACCTGCATCTCACCCCCTAACGTCTCAACGCTCATTCTACTAACAAAAATGCCTGTCGCTCTTGCTGTATGGTATGGAACCTCTACTCCACGCGTTCAGTGCGCATTGCTCAGATTCGTATTACATTATAGGAGTCTGAAGGTTGAGCCTGGAGAGCCTATTGAGTTCGCGCCGGAGGGTGACCTTGTCATTACCAACGCTGCGCTCGGCGACGAGCTTGCCGACGAGAGCTCGCGTACTTCTCTCAAGCTGAGGTACTTGTTGCCCAGCGCGACTGAGGAGAGCGACTCCGAAGACGAGAAGGACGAGGAGGAGGATGAAGATGAGCCGGTCATCATGGAGACTGTTCTCTGCTCTCTTACGCCCGGAAAGGTATAGATGCCATGTTATAGAACCTACACCAGTGACTTACTCCTTTTATTCCTCAGATTGAGCAGGCTAACATCAACCTCACGCTTGACGGCGACTCGGAGTACCTGCTCGAGGCTGTCGGCAAGAAGTGCGTCACAGTCCCTCATCTAGGATTGATCTCCCATGCTCACGCTCATCTTTAGCACACTCTATCTCAGCGGCAACTACATTGGTTCGTCGCTGTGTCTATGTTTTGTGCCAAGAGATCGGCAACTCACGTTGTGGCACAGACCAAACTCCCGAGCAAGTCCCCTTCAACGACGAGGACGACTCGGATGATGAGGACGAGGATGGCTATGACCTCCGCGACGTTAGCTCTGACGTCGAGATGGACCCTGCTGAGATGATAGGTATTGACGGCGACGAGAGCGACGATACAGACGGCAAGTACGTATAGTTATACCACGGAACCTGAACCGGCTTACTGATTCATGTGCAGCCGCTTCGAGGAGGTTCACGAAGAGGAGGCCGTGAAGTCTAATAAGCGTCCTCGTGAGTCCGACGCCACGGAAGCCGACAAGCCTTCCAAGGCCCAGGAGAAGAAGGCGAAGAAGCAGAAGGCAGCTAACGGCGATGCTGTTCCCGCCGCCGAGCCCGCTGCCGCTGCTGCAGACGTGAAGGCGGAGAAGAAGCAGAAGAAGAAGGAAAAGAAGGAGAAGGAGGCTGCTGCAGCAAAGGAGGCGGAGAAGGGTGGCGAGCTGAAGACGCTCCCGAGCGGTCTGCAGATCAAGGACATCAAGATTGGCACCGGCCCCCAGGCGAAGGTTGGCAACAACGTGGCCATGCGCTACATTGGCAAGCTTCAGAACGGCAAGGTGTTCGACAAAAATACCGGCGGTGTGCCATTCTCGTTCAAGCTCGGCAAGGGCGAGGTCATCAAGGGTACGCCCCCCTCTTGCGGTCTGCGGCTGTTCGTGTGTAGACGCTAATCATCTTTCAGGCTGGGATGAGGGCATCAAGGGTATGGCAGTTGGCGGCGAGCGCTTGCTCGTTGTACCCGCCGCTCTCGGCTACGGCAAGAAGGGTATGAAGCCTGACATTCCTGGCAACGCTACCTTGACTTTCGGTACGTCGGGCCGTTCCCTTCAATGCCTATCTTTGTGCTCACCGTGACCTCTTCCCGCAGAGACCAAGCTCGTCAACATCAAGTAGACGGCTTGACAAAAGCGCTGCAGGTACCCCCTCAGGTACCGGCAGCCGCGCTGGCGGTGTCGCCGATCTTGCATCCTTTCGGGCCGGCTCATGGTGCTTTCATCTCTGCAATCTTGTATCGCTTGGTTATGGTCGACCTTTACTGCACACACTTAATCTACGCTCATGTTTGAGAATCAACAGACTTGCCGGCGGTTGGTTTGGCGCTCAACGTTAATCTTGCCCGTTCACGGAACTGATGCGGAGATTGCAATGGGAAGGTAGGAGGCGGCAGGCAGGATCGACTTCGTTTGCTGCCCGGAATGGCTCGGCTGAATACCTAATTCGGACGCGTGCGGTGAGTGTGCCGCATCCGTGCCTCGAGGCTACGTGCAATGTCTGTACTTCATTTCGACATCTTCAATCAACACCGCAAGCCAAGGACGCACGGTGCCCGGACTGGCCGTATCTTTACGGTGGACAACTATCGTCGCTGGTGTTGCTACATAGACCATCTCGCTCACACCAGAGTGCTCCAGACAGACTCGTCTCGGTCCTTCAGAGGGATTGAGCGGGCCGTGAAACAAAGTAGGGTCAGTACACTTTCGCCTAATGCTCATGCTAGTCTATTCAGTGACGATCGTAATAGAGGCCTTGACCGCCTTCAGGCGGTTAGCGTACCGTGAACCAACGTCTAACCAACACTGGCTCGTCGATCCGAAGCCTCGTGCATCGCCCTTTATCTTTCCCCAATCTCATATCTCGACCACAGCATCGACATAGACTAGGCCACATTCTGTGGCGGGCGCTAATGCAAACTCTCACGAGATCGACTTGATCTCTTTGGCACAGGACTGGGTGGGTTGTCTGACGCCCATGGCGCCTTCGTCGCCTCGTGCAGCGTGGCCCGTGGATCGCGCACATGCTCGAACCTTCCCAGTCGATGGCTTCGGCGAAAGAAATGGGGTGGCATAGTTCGATGGGGTAAGTGGATAAGTATGTAGATCTGATGTGCGGCGTGACACCAACGCAGCGAGCGGCAGGCGGTCAAGTGGGCATCGCGTATGCATCGATGCAATGCAGCTTTTCTAGCGCCGGGCCTCTGCCTGGACCTGTTGCGCAGATAGGCATGACAGGCACCGAGGTCATCACTAGTGGCCACCGCAGGCAAGCCTAGCACGTCACTGATGTATAGACAAGATACCGGAACGTGAGTTTGATCTCATCGCGACTAGATGGTCCTCTCTTTCAACTTGAGTAGGTGCCGATGTACTCTTGGAGTGCAGACGCGAAGCAAGGTAAATCTTATCTCATGACGAAGTCCAGATGACAGTCTGTAGTAGTCTGGACCCACAACGTTTCATTCATTAAAACACTCGTACACGGAGTTAACGCTGTCCAAAACGGATGACCTGCAATGGTAATGCTGAAGGCTCTCCCTTAACCTAGCGATCTGGGGTAGTAACAGACATGTGTTGCGGATAGACATGGTGATTGGCGGACATGTGATTGGGCTATGCGAGGATCAACCACACGCAAAGAGAGACGCTGCCATCGGGCACATTGAGAAGGCCGTCAGATGTGGGCAAGGGATACACTTCTACGAAGAACAAGTTCACGTGTAGCTCTCGACAAGGAAGGAGTCTAGACGGCGGTGATTCTGGGCCCTGTAGACGCATTATTGAGAAGATGCGAAGGGCATTGCAGAGATGTGAACATCGGAGACGCGCTTCTTCGCTTCGTGAAAGTATAATTGCACAAGTTCCTATGCACATTGAGTAGAGTGGATTCGCATTACATCATATTCTAAGGAGGTGTGAATGACGAGAACGCATTGCCCTCAGGCGCGGCAAAAAAGCCTGAGAATATGTATGGGGCCTAGCCAGACCTCCCAGAACCACGCATGAGCGGTCGGAGCCCAGTGCAATACCATACTATTGCCGGGGGATGCTACCAGATGTTGCGTATTCAGAAATCGCCGAGAGGGCCTGACTCCAAAGCGGCAATACGATATATGCAAGTTACAAGGCGGTGACTGGACTTTGCGAGCCGGTGGATGACAGTCCGGATGATGCGGAACGGATGCAGAGATGCAAACGAGCGCTTGTGGGTGGGATGTCGATCGAGGGCGTGATTGGAGTATCCGAGGGGCGAGGTTGATAGTGCTGTCAGCTCGCTAGAATGTCGCTCATGTTCAACAAAGTAGAAAATACACAACCGAACGGAGATCATCAGGCCGTGCACACCTTAAACATGCCCAATCCACCGTGCTACGCCACAAGGGGAGACCCTGACCAACCCTATACGCGCCTCCGCAGATCCAAGATGGGGCGGACGTTGCGCGATCGCGGGCCTTGCTATCGGTGGGCGTCGACGACGCCTATCGTGGGGGGACAATAAGATGAGCGTCGGGGACAGGTGAAGAGGGGAGAACGATCGAACAACACCGCCGGATGATAGGGACAACGTGTATGTTGTCGCGGCAGGCAAGTGGCCGAATTTCCAAGTCAGCCTCGCCATCCTACAGGTTTTGCTTCCGTTGCCCGTAATAAAGCCCTTCCCGTGAGGAACCGTGCGTCCGATTCCGACCCCCACGAACACCCTTTCCATCGTACGACAAAGACAGGAGCAAAGCCTACGCATGAGGGTAAGAACAGAGGATGTTGAAGTCAACCACTGCGACCTCGCGGCCCGTCACGCCGCTCGCTGCCGTGGCTGGGCTTGAATTCCAAGTCCGACTCCGGCACCCGGCGCGTGGGCTTCCCAGATCGTTACTGGCTAACGAGATACGCGGGTATGGTGTTCCACTTCGCAGAGGTTTCAGATAATCGAGCTACGCCATACACAGACACGCATACACTTTCTCGGTGTGGTACGCAACGCAGGAGGCGGGAGAGACAGCGGGGCGATTGCTTGGCCGCCTCGCTGTCGGGAGAACAATCCCTGATTTATATCAAAATAACCACTCCAATCACAAGAATTCTCAGAAGGTCGGCGCTGTTTGGCCAGGCTTGTGCGCTCGTCCGCCGACATGCTGCCGTGTGTGTGCGTGTGGCGCCAGTGCGTGGACGCTGCTGCGACTCTTACTGGCTACTGATTGTTGCGCATAGGATCTAATGAACGCAGCAATCAGCCTGAAATAAGCGTCAGTCGGTGGCAGGGCGGACCGAGATCCAGGTGTGTCCACACACCTCTACTACTCAAGCAGCCAAACATTGTGCTCGCGGTTCCGGTTTCTGTACGTCCAAGTGCGGTAGGTCGGGTTCAACGCTTGCATATGCGTTGGGTAGAACGAGGAACGGACATCGATCATAACCCGCCATCCGCGGTTTTCGTTGTTGATCGAGGAGACACGATCGAAGCGGGACAGACTCTCTCCGGCAATAACGTTTGCCGCGGGTGCCTGGATATGCTTCAGCGTGCGTAGAGGTTTCTGTGTCGTCCAATGCACTCTTCTCATTCTCGTGGTACTGTGCTCTGGTGGATGGGACGTGTCGTTACACGAACCGCCGCCGAGCATCTACCATGGGAATGGAAGAGGTCCTTGCAACCAGCCCTCCAACGCGCTCGAGGCTTCTCTCCGTTATAATACCGGAATGCCACTCACCATCAAGGTCCTTCTCAGAAGCCACGGTGGATGATGAGACTTCTAGGGCCTTGTTGACGAATGTAGGGCCACAGAAGTGGACTTAAACTTCTTGCGGTAAGTCGTTCATCCGAACATGTGGCACCAGCTTGCTGAAGGGGAGGACTCATGTAGAGTCCCATTCCGGGATCGCTCAACCAGAAAGGGGAAACGGGAACCGTCAAGATCTCAGGTGAGCTGTTCAGATATGGCAAGCGGGGGGCGTCATCGATAAAGTACTTATTCGTCCAGAACGGGTCCTCCGCAGGAGGGTAAGAACGCATCCGCCTGCTACGTGTGGCACCCTGATGGATAGCACCTGGCGTCGATCTCGTAATCTGATGATGGTTTGGATGGTCAGCTATGGCAAATACTGTGATGTATAGAGTGGAGAGCACTCACGAGAGCAAGAGCATCTGGGAAGGTCCGCAGCGTTAGTGCAGTATACATATCGGCTGCTTTTGCACGCGCGAGCACCGCTGAGTTCTCAACGTGCTTCAGAGCATTCCCGTCATACACTCGTACGTGTGCGATGGACCTCTCTGGATGTGTGCTTCGAGACCGAAAGGAGCCATACATGGTAAGAGGTGTTGCTGCTGTCAGACTGCGCACGCGTTGGCCGTTCTCCCGGAGACCTCCTCTCATCTGCGGAGCTGTTGGCCCCTTCATTGCAAGCTCAGTCCGCAAGCATTCACAAAGAAGGCTCAAGTAGTATACCAGGACAAGTTACGGGTGTGTGCAAGCGAGCTGGCCGTCAGGAACAAGCTTTGTTGCCCCCGCTTTGAAGCGCCCGGACCGATTCGCCGCGTGGCTCCCGCTTTCCGGACGAGCCGAGATGCCAATACGTGTGCAGTAGACCGCCGTGCGGTGAGACACGCGCGCTAATTCTCGCTATTCTGAGGCCAGGTAAACTATGTGTACGTGGTCATCATGTAGGTATTAGTGACTTCAAGCAAGGTTCCATTGTCATTGTCCATAGATCAGAAGAGATACATTCAAGCGCGCTCTAAGCACGATCGCAATGGGCGACCGGGTATCTATTTTCCTTCCCTCCGAACAAACTACTATCATAGCTCCTAGAGGCATGTCAGCAGAGGACACAATACCGGATCAAGGGGAGACGTACCGTCATGGTGAGGTTACCAGACAACAAGCGGTTCTCGAGGACGCAACCGTCGGGAATGTCGATGCGCTGACCCTCGTTCGCGACGACGATAACGGTGCCACGCAACGTAACGTTCTTGCCAAAGTAGACGTCGCCGGTGACGGTCAAGTGGTCGAGTTCGAGGATCTTGGGGATCTTCTTGAACCGCTTCTGGAACTGCTGGATCTTCTTGAAGTGGTCGCCGAGCTTGATCACCGGCGTTGTCTCGAACATGCGTGACGGGTTGATGACGAGTTGGCCATGCTCGAGCGAGTAGATGTCGGACTTGATAAGTAGGAGATCTGAACAAGACTTGACGGGCAAGAAGCGCGACCGGGGGACGTTGACACCGTGACCGTTCTTGAAGTGCTTGATCGCCGCGCCGACAGCTGTCTCGAGCTGGAGGACAGGTGTGCCGTCATCCATGCTCTTCGGGTTGACAATGATCTCAAGCTCCATACCCTCCGTCTCCATGACGCGTTTGACAGCGCGGAGGTCGAGCCAGATGTTATTCGTGTTAAAGATCTTGAACTTGCGAACTGCACGGAGTCAGATGCGCAAAAGAGTGACAGGATGAACGAGACACGTACCCGACTTGAAGTCCTCCATGTGCTCCCCGGGCACCTGCGCGACCTCGAGAAGACGAACACTGCCCTCGTAGTCGATGAGAGTACCACCCTTCACGTCGGCCTTGGTCTTGTCGGTGACCTCCATGATGTACTCTGATTGAGATTCGATCATGTGCTGGAGGATCTTCTCGTCGACGACAGCACCGAGGTTGTCCGAGTTCGAGACGAACAAGTACTCCTTGCCCTCAGCGAGAAGCTGATCGAGGACGCCAGAGTGGAGGAGAGCGTTGAAGATGTCGCCGTGGCCAGGAGGGTACCACTCGCGCTTATCAGAGTCCGCCGACTTCGGAACAGGCAGGAGGGTCTCCTTGTGAATGCGCGGGTAGCGTGATTGGTTGAAGGTCGTGATGCGGAGCTGCTGGTTGGCGTACTTCCTGATGATACGAAGCGTGTCTTCATGCGTGTTGAACGAGGTCATGAGGATCAGGGGTACGTCAACGCGCTTGGAGGTGTTGAGGTGCTCGATCTGGCGGACAGTCAAGTCGAGGAAGGTCATATCGTCCTTGACCTCCAGTGCCGATTTGGCGCCCGTCATGCCTTGGGTGGATGATCAGCATATTGCGTCGTGACATCAGAAAAGACCACCAACCCATAGAGGTTCCAAGACCACCATTGACCTTGAGAACGGCGAGCTTGTTGAGAACCGAGTTGTCCTTCGGTTCCGTGAGAGTGTCGTAGGCGACGATCTGGTCGGAGCCTGGCGACTTGACGCGGTCCCAGTCGCTGGAATATCATTGTCAGCAAATGACGTTCGTACCAAGCGCCATCGAGCAAAGTCATAGTAGCAAAGTAGTGCTTCTGAAACGGACAGATGAAATGACCGGATATGGCCGCAAGCGCGAGATCAGGGCCATTTCCTAATCTGTGCCGCGAGAGGTCAGGCGGACGCTGCGCTCCGCTTCGAAGAAAAATCAAGCCACAACCAATAGATCAATGACGTAGACGCAATCTTTGCACGGGCCTCGATGGAGATCATGTCGTAGAGGGAGATGCACGTACAGTTCTTGGCTCTTCGCCTTGTCGGCAAGATAACGAGCAAAGAGATCGAAGAAGGACTGCATCTCGACGTCGAAGGCCTGGTGTCCGGTCCCGAATCAGATCAGAGGAACCAGAACGCGCTAGAGACACGCACCTTCTTGGTCTCGGGATCCGGGATGCTCTGAACCAACCGGTTCAACTCGTTGCGCATGGCCTTGGTAGCCACACCAGTAGTTGCGCTTTTGAAGTGCTATTGATATCGAGGAATTCAAGAGACATAAGCGTCAGGACAAGGGGTAATGAGTAGATGGTGGTTGAGGAAGTGAACATCGGCACAGTGAGCGGAGGGTGTCGAGACAGTTCAGATGGTTTAGCAACATACCATCGCAGTAGCACCGCGCGTGCGGGGCACGCGGTGGCCAGGATGGTCGGGCTTGAGACTGGCAGACATGTCGATGCGGTCGAGATGGCGGTTGGGGTCAAGGAAAGCTGGAAAGCTGGCGAAGGATGCCCTCCGTCACCGGTTATAGGCACTCCGCCACGTGGAGTTGGGCTCGGCCCTCGCTTGCAGCACGCTTGCACGCTTCTACGACGATCTCAATGGATCTTCCTCTTCGGGACACCCCAAACCGTGTTTGTACGACAAATCGCACGTTGTAGTACTCTGATGTGAGAAGAATGTACTGAGTCAGGTCGAACTGAAGGACAACTTATCAGCGGATGACGGCGCGCGACGCCCGGCGGTAACTGCCAGTGCCACTGCTGCGGTTTGAACGTTGCCGTTAACCGCATCGAGCACCCGAAACGGTCGCTCTGTTACACAGGTGGGCCGCAGAATAGCCTCAGTCATATGTCAAGAAGCGTTTGTTCCTCACGAAGGTTCTCAGGAACTACAAGAACCACTGTCTTGTGCTCTCTACCTCCGATTTACACATACTACATCGCTTCACTGCTGGGCCACGATGTCAAAGGAGAGCTATGATGAGCGTATAGCTGCGCTCAAAGCTCGCATAGAACAGGCACGCGCTGAGCGTGACAGCGTCCGAGCCAAAGCGGCTGCCGCTGAAGAAACTGCGAGACAGGAACGCGAGGCGGCGTCCCAAGAGCGACATGAGAGACTCACTGCACAGATGCGCGGCATCTCGGACGAGTTTTCAAAACAGTCAGATCATATACAACAAGAAAGAGCGGACATAGAGAGAAGAAGTGCGCAGGAGGCAACACACCGCGAGAGCAGGGCCAATCGTCTCACAGAAGTGACGAACACGCTGTCTGCGCTGAAACAGAGCATGCAAGAGGACAGAGAACGCAGGAAGCAGCACGACGCCCGTATCCAGACTGGTCAGTGATTGTAACTTCCTCTGATTTATGTTGCTCAATGCCCGATAGGCATACAATCGGTCAAGCGAGAGGTCCTAACCAACGCAACAAAGCAACGAGACGCCTTGGCTTCTACTCGCACAGGTACGGAAGAGATTATGCCGTCGTATACAACGCGACTCACTGTCCTATCAGAGCTGTACGATGATCTGGACCGCAAGCATGACGAGATCAAGGGAATGCTAGGCGCTGTGGCGTCCGTGCGAGAGAGCGCGTCTTTCAACGATGGAACTGACCCCACAGTCGACGAAGTCATGAATATATAGATAGACTCTACTGTATACCATGCATGTGCCCTGAACGTTCACAGTATCCTTCGTGGTGATGATTGCGAGGGGCAACTTCAGTGAACAGATGACCGTCTCAAGAACAATGCAGAGCGTCATGTGGCACCTCCGGCGACTGAGAAGAGCGAACTACCCGGCTCGTGAACATAGCCCGTGCAACTTGAGCCACGACCACGACTATCCACGAGGATCATGTCAGGTCCTAGAGTGCAACCAGTCGTGAAGCAGTCTGAGTCGCTCGAGGCCGCTTGGAAGCGCACGGTTGCGCGTCTGGCAAACATTCAGGCGCATCTTGACGTCGCGCCGCGCAGTGGGAAGCTCAAGGGAAAGGTGTGCATTGTCACAGGTGTAGGCTCCCTGAAGGGCATTGGGTACGTGACATAACATCGTTGTAACCACAGGAATAATTTTTGACATGGGGGTCGAGTGCAGAAGAGCGACTTCGCTACTTTTTGCGCATGAGGGTACGTTCGCGGGGCTTGTCTCCTACCGTCGCGGCCTTCTGAACTTCAAACAGGCGCTACGCATCTATACTTGCTCGACTTCGTCAAGGACAACCTTCCGGAGCTCAAATCTACGATAGAGCAGAAGTACCCTGACGTCAAGGTACGTGTTTAGGACAAACACCATCGGATAAGCTCTCACTCGTCGCTTATAGGCCACCGTTATCCAAGCGGATGCGGCGGACGAGGCAGCCATCAAAGCCGTCTGTCAGCAGGCTATCGATGAGGAAGGGCGCCTAGATGTATTCTATGCAAATGTGCGTCTCTGCTTCTATTCGACTCTTTCGTCTGCGCCTAAACGCTCGGGAACAGGCCGGCGTCGCCACAGGCAACACGCTTGCCGAAACTTCGGCAGCCCAGTTCACCGAGATCATGCGCATCAACGCACTATCGTATGTAATCATGATGTCTCACGAGATACGCTTCGTTCAATTGTATGCAGGTGCTTCCTCGCCTTGAAATACGCATCGGCCCAAATGCAAAAGCCGAATTCCTCGAGGGGGAAGGAATATGGAGGAGGCAGCATTATCATGACAGCCTCGGGTATGTGACCCTCTTTGAGTCCCCTCCATATCTCACTAACATCGTCTCCAGTCGCTGGCGTACGCTCTGGAGCTGGTGGCCCGGATTGTGAGTCCCACACGCATCCGCTGCCTTATAGAACCCTTTACTGACACAGCACCAGACAGTGCAAGCAAGGCAGCGTACGTGACGCCTGCTTACACATTCTTCTTCAACTAAACTTCAGACAGAGTGAACAATCTCGCTCAAACTGGCGCATGGCAACTACAGCGTAGCGACGTCCGAGTCAATACTGTCTGCCCGGGACTCATCGAAACAGGCATGACGGTGGGCACCTTTGACTATGCACGCTCCCGTGGAAGCGGCGCCAAGATTGGGCAGTTGAATCCCATGGGTCGTTACGCTGTGGCGGAAGGTATGTGGCAACGCGATAGAGCATGGTTTCTACTAATCCAGTCGCAACGCAGAAATCGCCCAGGTAGTGCTCTTCTTAGCTTCCGGTGAGCAAATATGCTAGATGCAGTCGATAGACGCCCCTAACATCATGCTCAGATCAATCGAGTTATGTCAATGGTCAAAACTGGGCTGTTGACGGCGGGCTATCGGCCAGCGTCCCAGTCGTACCTGGCAAGTTTGCCTAACTTTTGTCGTGCGATGTCTCTCGAATACGTGTATATCATATATGACATCCCAGAGCATGTGTGTTCGCTCGACCGTGAACACCACTTGAACCCGATAGGGGTATATGATTCGGCTGATTACTGGAGCGCTCTGGCGCTTGCGTCCCAAATATACTCTCGCAACCCTGAGACCGAAGACCGAAGTGCGCTTCCCCGGAGAATAAGCGATAGGCGCCCCGCTGTGTCACGGTTATTCTCCGCCGTCTGCCTCGTAAGCAGAACCTGCATACCTCACTGCGCGATGAACTGCGTAAACGCGCCAGGCTGTCGCCGGCTTGCAAGTCAGACTTACCGCGTTATGTTTCGGCACTGACGAGTGACGTCCTCGCTTTGTCGCAGGCGGAGAACAGCTTTGCCGGCTGCTTTGGCAGTACTTTAGGCGAGCACTGCTCAGTATTGGCAGTCTTCTCCCTTCCCCAGACTTTTACAGCCTGCCAGCCCTTTCACTCTTCATTCCCCTACAGCGCAACGATCCATGGCCGTCTTCAGCCATCAACGTCATCACTGGGCATATGTCTGGGTGCCATATGTCGGAGCATTCGTCTGGTGCGGTGCGTGCGGTCCTTGTTCGTCGGTGTGCACCTGAGGACTGATGCGCATTCCAGGCATGCTTGTAGCAATGATCACCGTCTATTACGCGAGGGGCGGTCATCCATACCCTTGGCAGGACTCTCGTACTCCGTACATATCCGACATAGGCGCCTCCTTCCTCCAACCATTATTCATCGCCGGAAGCTCCGTCACCGCTGCATCCTTTGTGGCTGTCCTCGTCATCGAGCGTCTATTGCGCCATACAGGGCGATTGCACGCCGATCTGCGTCGCCGTGAGAAGGTCTTCTCCTACCTCGCCATCCTGGGGTCTGTCATCGGCGGCTTGGGACTCATTCTGCTCAGCTGCTTTAACGACAACTCCTTCGATAGGGAGCATGACTCCTTCCTAGCCGTTTTCATCATCGGTGTCGCACTAAGTGCTATCTTCATCATTGTCGAGGTATGGTCGAATGCATGTGCTCACCACGGCCGAAACTTACTTGGGTATCAGTACCGCTGGCTCAGCCACAATTGCCCTGACCATCAGAAGCTGCGGGTAGCATACGTTATAAAGGGCGTCATTGCAGGCATCCTCATCCTTCTCGCCATTGCGTACGCTGCTTGCTTCAAGACCGTTACCAACGTCGGAGGTGCGCCTTCTACCCACCTGGCCGTCTTGTGTACTGACGTACGTGAACGAACAGCTATCCTCGAGTGGATCATCGCCTTCGGCTTCACGTTCTACATCCTGAGCTTCGCCTATGACCTTCGCCTATCCAAGGGCGTGCACAAGTTCGAGCTGTCCGCTGTAGAGAGACTCGTGCCCGGGGATGAGCCGTCTTCGATGCGGCAGTATCGTCATGGATATTAGGGCGCGATCTCTCTAGGCTGAGTTCCCTTTTCACGTCTGCTCATGTCATTTGCCTGCCTACCCACTCCGAATAGAGAAACAAAGCTTTTCTACCGCTAAGCGCACCGAATGTTTGTACACATGCATCCGGGGTATCATCTGTGCTAGCATTGAAACCCGTACGACTGGAAGTCATGCCCAACCGCAAGCACGATGCTTTGTAAAGCTAGAGTCATACCTTACGGTTGCTGTATACTATTACTACTACGTTGTTAAACAACATGAATATCAGGGTTGCAAGTACTATGGTTTATGCATGACGACGCGCGCATATGGCATCGTATGGGCGCTGATGGGTGCCACGGGCGGCCGCATGCCCGGAGCTCCGCCGGCGACTCACCCTCTCAGCGGGCGTCTTAACTCGAGCGCTCATCGTCTTCTCTCTCGAGTGCCTGAGTTTGCCACACTCACTGAACTCGACGGACCGTTACTTGCATCTTCGTAACAACTTGCTCTTTCGTACTCGTCACCTCGGCAGAATCTATGTTGTCCTAAGTAGCCGTCTCTCATTGTGGCGTATCATCATTCGCGCAAGGGAACTCGGCACCCTCGTAGTTGTACTTCTTCAGCTGCGCACAGTTTCGTGTCATGGAGGAACCATCGCGACTCGTCTACGTACCCTGAAGTTCATCGCACGCTCGCTTTGGATGAGTTTTGCCATATCTTATTCCATGCGGCCCGCATCATCACCGCGAACCATCTACCCGCACATTGAGACATCCTTATGATATCCCTGTCTCAAAAGGCCCAGTGGTCGTGTCTTCCGCCACTGAGATGTTTTCTCTCGGGAAGAAAGGCCGTTTGCATATACGCATGCACGCAACCCAAGGGGCCATTCGTACAACCCGGAAAGGGGTTCTTTCAGCGTTCACATATCTGTGGACGTGATATGATCTGACAGTTTGGACCACATCTTTCTCAAGACCGAGGGAACTTCTACTGTACTCACATAGACTCTGGCAGCTATGTATGGAGGTCGGTCCATACGAGGGCCGAGCATGCTCAAGCTCGGGTCATATTGTGATTCGGGATGGCCCGTGTCTTGTCTCGGTTCGCGATGCTCAACATCTCTCGACCCGAGACGAGGATCTCCTGTGCGCCCTATTTCATACTTAAGCCATACAGCAACCACCCTCTTACTACAAGTACCAATCCCTCACCTACGGTCCGTATCCGCAAGCCATGACCGCTTTCAACCATCAACACCATCGCTGGGTATATGTCTGGGTGCCATGGGCCGGGGCATTCGTTTGGTGCGGTACGTGTGCCCATCTCTTGTGGAGATATGCAGGAACTCAATGATGCTCCTAGCCATGCTCGTGGCCATGATCGCTGTTTACTACGCAGAGGGCGCCAACCCGTATTCATGGCAGACCTCGCGAGTACCCTACATATCTGACATCGGCGCCTCTTTCCTTCAACCATTGTTCATCGCCGGAAGCACTATCACCGCTGTGTGTTCTGTGGCCGTTCTCATCATCGAACGCCTCCTATGGCCAACAGGAATGTTGGACGCCGGCCTACGTCGCCGCGAGAAGCTTTTCTCCAATCTTGCTATCTTTGGCTCAGTCGTCAGCGGTCTTGGGCTCATTCTTCTCAGTTGCTTCAACGATCACTTCTTTAGTCCGGAACACTACTCCTTCCTGGGCGTGTTCCTCTTTGGCGTCATACTAAGCTCAATTGTCATCACTATCAAGGTACGTACGGAGATCTGCGCTCACTCGAAGAATCTCATGCCTTGCTTTCTAGTATCGCTGGCTGAGCCACAGCTGTCCAGATCGCAGACTGCGGATGGCGTATTTCATCAAGGCCACTATTACGACCGTCCTCATCATCCTAGCCATAGTGTATGCTGCTTGCTATGGGACCGCCTCCAACGTCGCGGGTACGTATTTCGCTCATCACGGGAAACGTTCTAAAGACTCATGTGCTTCATTAGGTATTCTCGAGTGGGTACTTGCCTTTGGGTTCACATTCTACCTTCTGAGCTTCGCTTACGACCTACGCCTACTCAACAACGGGGAAGCTTCCGACTCTGATTTACCCAGCGGTATCGAGAAACTCGAGGCAGATGAGAGCTCGTCTGGCTTGACTATACAGCATGCATGAGCTACCTAAGCAGCGAAGTCCCCCATTCACCTTTCTTACTCTGGGCTCAGTACGCGCCGATGCCCTGAAACATCTTCGTCGACACAGGCCTTCTCAACGGGTTCAGAGCGAGAAACGTCCTGGATCATAGTTGCGTCAAATAACGATGACGATCTCAATGTATGAACTTTACCATTTTGACTGGAGTATACCCCGAATACCATCATTGTTACTTGTACCTTGTTAGAGCTGGTATGGATGCGCTTTGCAATACTTCTTCGATAGCTCATTTGTGTATGGGTAGTCATAGTACACACCGATGCAGCCTTTGATCAGGTCTATGACCGAGAGGACGCGCCCGATTGGTCCTTAGGCGGTTGTCGGCCCGGGCCGAAGAACCGTCAGCCGACGTCACGACGCTCCGTTCCGCGTTCTCGACTCCTGCACTCGTATCCCTGTGACCCCTCTTTCGCGCAAAGAACGATTCGCAGCGCTCTCTCGATATCGATGTGGGGCCGAACAATGCATTCTGCCTCACCGACGTAGGCGAGAAAGCCCGAGAGCAACAGCATGCGAAGCGTAGGCCCCGTACTGTGGGCTCAGAGAACAGCGTGGTTAGCAGTCAACATCTGGAACAGCGCTCCCAGCTTTCAACACATTCTACGGTTCTTCCTTAGCGGAAGAATGCTCAACATAGGCCCGGTCTATGTCAGATGACAGCCGCGATTGGCGTATCTTTGGTATAAGATGTCTAGCGCGAGCATCCTGTCGACACACGATCGTCGTTCCAACTTCTCACCTCGACCTACTACTGCGATCATGGGCGACGTTCAGATGTATGAGAGCGTCTTTTCGCCGGATGATGCGCGGAACTGAACTGGGATTGGGGCAGTCATACATTTACGAAGCCCCCGTCGCCCTTGCAGGGTGGCGCGAAGTTGAACAAGTTCTCCAGCCAGTTGACCCAGGATAAGGCGCGAGGGGGAGCTCAAGCTATGTGTACGTTCTGTGTTATCTTAACTCATGTGCCTTGTCGATTCTTTCCGTCTCAGTGTACGCTACTGGACTGACCGAGGCGGACATGAACAAGCCTCAGGTACGGTATCGCCGACTTTCGAAGTCCTTCGCAAACTCGTCTCACACTGCGTGCAGATCGGCATCTCTCCAGTGTGGTGGGAAGGTTTGCTGGTGCTACCCCTTCATGATATCTTGTCAGCACTGATGATGTGCTTCAGGAAACCCGTGCAACACCCATCTACTCGACCTTGCCAGAGTCGTGCAGGAAGGATGCAGAGAGGAGGAGATGCTGGGGCTGACGTTCAGCACCGTTGGGGTGAGCGATGGTATCACCATGGGTACAGTTGGTGAGTTATTCAATCCCACAAGGTGTTGTTTGCGTACTGAGAACGCGTAGGCATGCACTACTCGTGCGTATACAGCGTTTGGGCTCGATGAATCGCCATTGAATGTATGTTGTAGACTTCCAAGTCGCGATATCATCGCGGACTCTATCGAGATGGTGGTTACAGTCAGTGAACAATACACCCTGCGGCTTCAGCTGCTCAAGTAACGATTCTTCACAGGCGCAACACTACGACGGCAACATCGCCATTCCCGGATGCGACAAGAACATGCCAGGCTGCGCCATGGCGGCTGCTCGTCACAATAGGCCCACGATCATCGTGTACGGCGGCACCATCAAGCCCGGCGAGCGCCATGTCGACTGTCCGGCTCTGGGGTACAAGAAGGGCGACACTGTGAACATCAGGTGAGTATGGCTTGCCATCGGAGAGAGGGCGTGCTCACTGACTTTGATTCAGCGACGCCTTCGAGTCCTATGGCGCATATACCGTCGGCCAGATTGACGACGAGCAACGCTTCGATGTTGTTCGTCATGCTTGCCCAGGCCCGGGAGCTTGTGGTGGCATGTACACGTACGTACGGCATGACTGCTGAGAGATTTGCCTCTGACATATTGCCCTGTACAGGGCGAACACCATGAGTACCGCACTGGAGGTCATGGGCATGTCCTTGCCCTACTCGGCAAGTATCCCTGCGACATACGCTGGTGAGTGCATCCACCTTCTCCCCTGCCAATGTTGAGCCATCTTTTGCAGAGAAGAAGAAAGAGTGCTTCCGCGCCGCGGGCTACCTGAAGAAGCTTCTCGAGCTCGACATCAAGCCTCGCGACATCATGACCCGCAACGCCTTCCTGAACGCGATCGCCGTCATCAACGCCATCGGCGGCTCGACTAACGCAGTTCTGCATCTGCTCGCGATGGCGCGCTCAGCCGACATTGAGCTGACCATCGATGACTTCCAGCGTGTCGCGGACCGAACGCCTTACTTGGCGGATCTCAAGTACGAAGTCTTCCTCCGGTGTTGATAGACAGATAGCTGACGAGTTCGTTTAGGCCGTCGGGCAAGTATTACATGGAGGACCTGCATCGCGTCGGCGGCATCCCTGCTATCATTAAGTACCTCCTGAACCACACCGACCTCATCGATGGTTCGCAGATGACTGTCACAGGCCGCACTCTGGCGCAGAACCACGAGGATGTGCCCGAAGTCGACTTCAGCGCGGGGCAAGACGTCGTACGCCCCTTGTCGGACCCGCTCAAGCCTACTGGTCACCTCACGATCCTGCGCGGCAACCTCGCACCCGGAACTGCGGTTGCAAAGCTGACTGGTAAAGAGGGTACACGCTTCGAGGTGAGCACTCCCGGATTCAGTCGGGTGCAGCGGCTGTTCTGACTGGTGTTTAGGGCGTGGCGAAGTGCTTCGACAGTCTCGAGCCGTTCTATCCGGCTCTCGCTGCTGGGGAGATCAAGCCGGGGATGGTCCTCATCTTCCGCTACCAAGGTCCCAAGGGTGCTCCCGGAATGCCAGAAGTAAGCGTTCAATGCATTGAATTCGAAAGGAAGGGGTCTGAACCACCTTGCCTGCAGATGCTGGGTCCGACGGGAGCCATAGCAGGCGCAGGCCTGGCGAAGTCGACTGCCCTTATAACCGACGGCCGGTTCTCGGGCGCCTCGCGCGGCTTCATCATCGGTGCGTTGCCCTCTGTCGGGGTTCAACCTATGGCTGTGCTCAGGTCGTATAGGACACGTTGTGCCCGAGGCGCGTTTGGGCGGTCCGATTGCGCTGGTAAGGGACGGGGACAAGATCACTATCGACGCTGCAAGCCGCACCATCGACTGGGATGTGAGCACCGAGGAGCTAGCAAAGCGGCAGGCGGAGTGGGCCGCTTCCGACCGGTCGAAGTTGACCGTCAAGCGAGGGGTGCTGATGCGCTATGCGCGAGATGTCGCGGTATGTGCATTATCTGTCGCTCATGAGGTGTTCATACTGATGAATGGGGACAGCCTGCGAACGAGGGCGCATACTGCGACTGATTTCACAGTGCTCGGGTTTAGTGCAAATGGAAGGATAACAATAGCATTCTTGTACAGTATACATGTTGGCATCGTAATAAAATGGTCACGTACTGTCCCCCAGGCGAGAAGACGTGTTCAAAGGAGGAGGTTGGGGGGTGTTCGGTGTCGTCCCTAGCGTCTCGGTGTCGGTCACGGTCGTAAGGGCATCGGCTGGGTATACAGTTCATAAGCTCGTGTATCTAAAGCTGTGCGCTTGACTACGCACTAGAAGTATCCGCCGTGATCTGGCCTTTACCCTTCTCCCTATGGTGCCTATGCCTCTCCTTCGCGTAAATCGCCCGCGCCTTCTCCTCCCCCCCGGAAGAGGCCATGAGGGCGGGGTCGGGCGGTACGACGTATGAGGGTTCCGGAGTCGGCTCGACTGGCTTCTTGCTGGCACGCGGCGGCTTACCGTGGCGCCGCCTGTGTGCTGTGTTTGCACGCTTGAACACCCACGCGATGAAGATGCCGCCCCAGATGGCGACAAGCAGCCCGGTAGTAATGAAGGCGAAGATCCAGGGGGTCTTGGAGTGCGCACTATGAGCGGTCAGTGACGCAACTACAAAGGAAGAGCCGGAGCGCACAGAACACTTCTTGACGCGAGTATGTGGTCCATTGTGGTGGTAGTAGGAGGCAAAGCCGGTTATGCATCCGCGATTTGTCTGGGTGCCTGCGCGTAGCTGTGGCGCGGGCCGGACCCGTCGGATGCATATGATTAGAGCACGTCTGCGCAAACAGCACTAGTACGTATAAAGTGAGCTCACGTATACCGCGGATACCCAAGCACGGGGAGGCGTTGGCTCAAACGCACCACCGACCGTCCACAAGCAAATACAGGTTTTCAGGGAAAGCACTATATTCCTCATAAACATTGTACACAACGCACAGATATACATATACCATAGCAGATCGAGAACAGAGCAAAGAGATACAGGGACAAAACGATCGGGTTGCAAAACGATATGATGGTCCGTATGGAGGTCGTAAGGAAGCAAAGCAGCTCTAAAGTGTGCTTTCACCGTTGGTGGACAAGCCAGAGACAGCCTGATCCTATGGAGGTTCAATAATATACATAGGTTTGCGGATGATGCACGCCTCACCTCAAGCCTCAGAGCCTGCGTGGTCAGGCGAAGGTTTCCGCCAGAATGGGCCGCCGCAGCGGCTGCCATGACGTGAGACCGTCTCGTCGAAGAGCAGAAGCACGGGACCGTTGGATACATGACCGCCATCGAGGGCGACAAGACGGAAGAGTGGGTAGTAAGTTCTCGCGCCGTCGGGGTTGATCTTGCTCTTAAAGTTCCCCGCAGTAGAGCTGATAAGCCACTCCGCCCCAACATCGACGCCGGCCACGTCGGGCAGTGCGGGTGCTGTCGCGCGAAGGCCGATGCTGACCTGCCGCTCCACTGATGTCCCAAGGTATCGCGCATAAGATGAGGTAGCATGCACTTCCGAGACAACGACTATACCCTCTGGCAGGGTCGGGTCGTCAAGAAGCGGTCGAAGAGCGCCTGGCGGGTCAATCGTCGCTATCGTGTCACCGTCCATACAAAGTACTGCGCCTTGTCCAGCGTTGAACTTGAATGATGCCTTGGCCCGACAGTTGGCGAAGGCGGGGGTTTGTCTGTAACGGGATGTCGATATTGGTACTCTGAAGGATGTTCGATATATGCTCACGAGGCCGCATCCCCGTTCATCCCTATTTCCACTGCGTTTTGACTGACAACCCAACTGATACCCGTACTTCCTTGGTGCTCATGCGTTCGAGGAGGGGGTATTTCGAACTTCGCCGCGCGGCCGTCCTCGTATATGTTCCCGTGCTTAAGAAATATACCCCGCCGCCGACCATGGCCCCACAAGACATACCAAGGTACACGAGAGCCACGAGTAATGATTCCCCAGTCACCAACGCGCACTGGTACTTCTGGGTCCCAGGATGCGTACTTGCGGGAGGAGGCGAAGAGGAGTTCAGTGTAGGCACGCTCTGGATCACGTGGCATTACGTAGTGATCGACGGTACTCGGCCGTTGTATGGTGTCTATGTGGTCCCGTCTTCAGTTTCTTCATCCAGAAAAAAAGCGCAGACAACTAGTTACATTATGTCTTGGCGCTGGTGGGCTGTTGAGGTAAGGAGCATCCTGTTTGCACCGTCGAGTGATATTATACTGGGCGTACGCGTGCGTAGTATCTCCGAGCTCAGTAAAGCAGCCGACGCTCGGACCTTTTGGCCTCCCCCCGGAGCATGGATGTGCCGGTGTATTTTACTTTAGAGTTGACGCGTGAAACAATCCTTTGCGATATGAACGATTGATAATTAAGACACAGCAGCGCGCGTTGAAGAGTCAGCCCATTGGAACCCTATATTCACGTACTCGCGAGAGTTGATAGAATACGACTGTGTATAATAGGTACGGGGAACCAAGGTACTCCAGATAGCTCGACGAGCGAAGGGCGGGTAGGATATGTAACGACAAGTAAAACGAGGTGTAGGAGGGAGATCATATGTTAGCTAGTTGTAGCAGCCAGGAGAACGGCAAGGCTAAGAGGGTACACGAGATAAGTTTCTACGGACACAGTGAGAATAGGACAGCATAGGCATCAGAGTCAACGAGGGACGGGCGAAGACGAAAGCGCAGCACGCGCATACATAGGCAAATCAGAGAAATTGTACATCCAGGAGAGATCTTACATGCGCAAGAACGCCCTGAGCGGCGCTGCGGTCCTAACCCCGTTCGCGGCGAGCCTCGTAGCGTGCACGCAGGCCCAAACAAGCGCAACTAGACACGATAGTCAGCATACGCATAGGTGATGTTGAACCGAAAAAGACTCACTGATGAGGATAGGGATCCAGAAGAGTAGCAACATCCGGTCCTCCTTCTGTGTTCCAGGCCTAGCAGCTGGGCGATAGCCGTACGCGGCGACCTCACTCGCGTCGACACACTCATCGTACTTGGCCTTCTGAGCCTTTGCGCGACGTGCAGCACGGGCGCTAGTCTCCGGCTTCTCATCCAGCTCGACTTCGACCTCCTCGATGACCTCCTCGACCACAGCGACAGGTGCGGGCGCGGGTGCAGCGAGAGCAGGAGCCTTGCCCTTCTCGTCCGTTGCAACAACTTCTCCATCAGCCCGCGGCGTATACACCGGTGGCGGCTCATCCGCCTCGACGCTCCTCGTAGCGAGAACCCACTTCTCCAACGCAGCCCTCCACTCCTGCGGTGTCAAGAGCGCGCGAACGTTCGCGGGCACACCACGCATGTACATCATGTTCGCGTCGGGTTGTTGTAAGAACGCAGGGAACACGAGTGGCATAGGCAGCTGCATCGGGATCATCGGCAGCTGAGTCGCCCATTGCGGGACGAGACGGCGTTGGAGAGCTTCAAGGAGCGTCGCGGCCTGCTTCGCGTTGACCTTTTCACTGTTGTCTTTGTGATCGCTCTTCTCGTCCTTGTCCTTCTTCTCCGACCGCGGCAGAGGAGTGCGTTCCTCTTCTGAAGAAGACAGAACGGGCGGTGGCTCGGTGGTCGAGCGCCGTCCGCGCCTGCGCCGGCGTGGTACGAGCGCATGCTCGTCGGCGCTATCCTCTTCCGCGTCACCCCAATGGCTCTCATCGTCCCTTGCATCCTCCTCTTCGGCGGCCTGTACAGTATCGATAGGCACCTCGACAGCGGCTGCAAGGTCGAAGTCTGCAACTTCGGCCGCCGTCTTGCCCCACGCATCGACAATCTCCGCATCGGCACCAGCGGTAAGCAAGGCCGCCGCGCATAACCGGGCGCCAGCACGAGCAGCGAGGTGTAAAGGAGTGCACCCATTCGCATCGCGGGAGTCGATATCTGCACCCCGTTGTGCGAGAGCACGCACGAGCGTAGGCAGGTTGGCGAAGGCCGCCAGATGAAGAAGACTCTGTCTGGCGCCTGTTGCGTGGGCCAACGCTTGATGGACAGGTATACCCGAGGAAGATGCGGCGGGAGTGTCGAGGAACGCGAGAGTATCGAGCACAAGCGTCTCCACATCCTTTGCGCCGGCGCCATATGTACCGCCAGAGGTGGCGCCACCGGCACCTGAGCCGGGCTCGATGATACGCATCGCAACGCTCTTCGCGTCTTCGATCTTGCCCGTCATCTTGAGGCCGACAACTTGCAATGCGAGTTCCATCCTATACACGCAGACGAGTCAGTGGCCTGTCATAGACGAAGAGTACGAGAAGTGATACGCACAATTGGCGGTCACTTTCATCTGTGTACGTAAACAGCACCTCAGGCTGGACAGCACCATCATGCGCAGACTCGAAGCCTTTGACCCAAACGGGCACAACGCCGCTCGCGACTCTCGGCGGCAACACACAAACGAGCGTATTCTCGCTCCATCGGGTCGTGCACGAAGACGCAACGCCATCAAACACGACTTCAAGCTGAACACCCTCCGCGAAGTTCTGACCCAGACATGTAACCTCAACGCCACCAGTTATAGGACCTTGAGCCGGGATGAGCCGGTGGATCCTGGGAAGCGGCACCGGGGCGGCTTGTTGGGGTTGCATTCCCGTGTTGAAGAAGAGGTATGGCATCGGGAAGCCCGTTTGTGGTTGGGGTTGCTGGACCGGTGCTGCCGTTGATTGACTGAAGGAGCTCGTTGACGGAGTCGGCACGAAGGACGATACGTCTGGGAACGCGCTCGCCAGGTCAAGCTCGAGGGACATGGCGTCCACATCCAGTGCACCAAGGCCTCCTGCATCCGAACCTCCACCGGGTGATGCGCCGAAGTTGTACGTGCTCCCCTCACTCGCACTGGCCGGCGGCGTGAGCGGAGCGGGCGGTAGCATTGCAGCGAAGTTCTGCATGTGTGCAAAGCTCGAGGCTGGGCTCGTTGATGTCACCGGGGTGAACGCGGCTGAAGAAGCGGGCGTCGCGGGACGCGTGTCGCCCGGCGTACTCAGGGTCTCGCTCTTCACCCGCTTCGCCCGACCAGCATCAGACGAAGGCGCCTTCCTCTTTCCCCCAGTAGGTGCAGTGACTGGCTCCTCATCTTCCCCAGCGGCATCCTTCTTCACACCGGTGCTCTTATGATCGTCCGTGATCATGATCGGTGGACTCGCTCCTTCCCCAACGATACGACCATTGATGTCCGTTACGCGGAAGCGGACGATGAACCCGCGGCGCTCGCGGTGGTGCCGGCAATAACATGTAATGCGCAGAGGTAAGACGGCAGAGCCCGTCGCGAAGTCGAGAACCTCGGCGCAGTTAAACTGCACGATCCCGAAGGGAGAGTTCGCCGCGTCGGGTGCGGAAGTCTCTGCCGGCTGAGGACGAACGCGTTGGGCAATCTTCCGGGCAACGCGCTTAGACTAATCAAAGGCGTGTCAATTGTTGAGTTCAACTGATTGGACACGCCGGAATCCCGCACGTACCTCGCGATTCTGACACGACGAACAGCAAACGACGCGGGCATGGGGAGCGCTCGCGCAAGTGACGTCGCATGAGAGCTGGAGGATGTCCTCGGGCTGGGGGTCTACACCGACCCCAAAGAATCACAAGTCAGCGATTAGAGACAAGGTTTGGGCGCCACAGCGACAATAGAATAAACAACTCACCGATCTTGCCTTCTTTGCGTGTGCGTTTCTTGGTCGCGGTCCCACTGGGGAGACGCAGCCATTTCCACGAGCCGACGCGGGCGAATGGCGCGGTCGGTTGTGCGAGGTCGAGGGTGACGCGGATCTGCGTTTCGACGCGCGACTTTGCGCCCGAGTCGGGCAAGTTGGGCGTAAGAAGTTGCAATCTAAATGACATTTGATTTAGAGATCAATTGACTTGTGATTGAGCGAGCAGAGGGATCCACGCACCCTGTACACTGATGGCGCGGGGGCGAAACGACGGGAGGCTCGTTCGCGGACGAGGCTCGCTTCCGTGCCGGCGAAGCGGTCCTCTTGCGGGTGGTGTTCGACGTCACCGTCGCAGCACTACCGTTGGTAGACGGAGGCTCTGGTGACATCGTGTTCGAGGGTTTGGGGGAGATGTGCTGGGATGGTGCGGCAGAGGAGGAAGGGGAAGACGAGGAGCTATGAGACATTCAGCCTGTGTATAGTATAGCACAAAGAGAGGATACATACTCATTATCGTATGCATGCTCTTGGATAAGGTCGTGCAAGGAGAGCATAGTGAGGTCGTGTTCCTGCTGCTTGGGCGGAGGATGATGCCAGAACTGGCCCTGGGCCTGAGCGTCGTCCTGAGTGACGTTCGCGTACCACTGGCCGATGTCCTCAATCGCAGCCGCAGGGTCAAGGCAGTCAGCACTTTCCGGAGTCGCTGGCCCTGGAGGCGAGGGCGAGCGGCTGGACATGCTTAGAGCTAAGAAAGAAGTCGGTTGAGTTTGTGGGAGGGAGGAAGTCGTCCGAATCGAGCGAAGCGGCCGTTTACCTGCGCGCGGGCACGTGCCCCGTCGGCAGACGCGACTTTGGTGCTCCAGCCTCATCTTCGCGATGTGCATTTCCCGTCGCGAGTTAAGCGGTTGGGGGACGGCCGGCGGAGCCGGCACGGACGCGGCCCGATACGAGCCGCCCACCCATGCACAAGCTGCAGGCGCCCCGCGGCACGAATCGGGCCGCATAGCCCAACCTCAAGCCGAAGCAGCGGGTGCCAGACCACCCATGTGCGCCGACGCGATCTCCTGGAAAGCCCGGATGTAGGCCTCGTACGCCAACGACTTCCAGCGTCCAGCCAGGCGAACGATCTCCGGGTTCACCCCCTTCGACAGGTAAAATGACGCGCCACCGATGCGGAAGGAATGACCGAATGAAGTACCCCATCCGAGTGCTTCCGTGATGCGATTGATGCAGTCGAGAGCCGGCTTGCGGACCAGCGGGCGAATGGCCCCACTGCGGTCGCGCCAGCAGAACAAGGGATCATTGGCTGCAGCAGGGACAACCCGACTCAGGTTCGCAAGGGCAGCCACGACGGAGAGGGGACCGGGCTGATCGACAATGTGCACTGTCTGCACTTCGCCAGGAGCTGCTGTCTTCGCCGAGGGGAGGTGGAGCATGACCACGGTGTTGCCGAAGGTGTCCGTGCTTAGCTCGACGTCACCCCTCGTCAGGTGCCGGGAAGGGGCAAAGTCCGTACGCGACTTCACGGACACCTCGCCGAACCGCATCATTCCCCAAAAGGCACAGCACGCCGCCGCCCACACGCAAGCCTGGAACGGGTCCGACAGGTCGAGTGATTCGCGCAGGGCAGCCAACATGCGAATGGTGACAGGGGGTCGTGGTGGACGCTTGCGCTTCCCAGCCTGCATAATCGCAAGGCCACGGAGGTGCCAGCGGATAAGCGCCTGGTCAACATCTGCCAGCGGGGGGGGCCACCCCTGTGCGAGGTGCCAAGCCCGAATGCCCGAAAGGTATTTCGAGACCGTATCCGGCGATACCGGCTCGAAAATCGTCACACCGTCTGCGAGGACCCGATCGGCCGGGTCTGGGTCCGCTGCACACCACAGGACGAAGGAATTGAGGAGAGCGAAGGATGCGGGAAGCCGGTCCGCTTCTGGGATGGAGAAATGGTCGCAGAACAGGTGGTACTTGCGAAGTGCCGAGCCGTAAGCCTGACGATCACGCAGCGAGTGGCGAGATGCGATGCGGGCAAGGTGCTGGATAACGGGGTGATCGATGGTCGAGCGAGGTGGGGCGTGAACCCCTTTCCAGAGGAAGATGCGGTCACCAGATGGGACGGGCGGGCGCAACGGCGACGGTCGCAGCTCCAACCGAACTGGGACAACAGTGCCCTGCTCCTCGAAGAGCTCAGGGGGCCGTATGACGAATGCCCGGACAGGCATCACCACCGCGTTACGAAGGTGGCGAGGTGCGGGGGTGTGGGCATCGAAGAGCGGGTGTGTGCGTCCGGAAACCCAGCTAGAAAAGCGGGTATGTCGCCTCGCGACAGGGCGTCGGTCACATTGTCGCGGCTGGCCACATACTCGGGCACCAGCGACAGACCCCGTCGTGCGAGGTGCAGGTATATGCGCTTGAGCACCTCGTTGGTGTTCGCACTGCGAGATCGTCCTTTCGTTAGGACAGTCACCACCCCCGTGTTGTCGGAGAGGACACGAATACGTGACGCATTCGCTGGGAGCCGGTCGAGAATGCCATGGTGATCGGCCATCCGCAGCCCGAGCTCGACGGCCAGTGCCTCTGCCCACCCGATGTCGTACGCCTTCTTCGGACCGACAATCACGCCCGGCGCATACGACCAAGCATCCCAGAATCCCCCGACTGACACCCCGATGCCGAATGATGTGCTGGCATCGCCCCACCACTGTATGTCGGATACGTCGGGGAGGGCGAGCGGGCGGCACACCGGCGATACTGCGACAATCTCGAGCACCCAGCCTAGGTCGGCCAGCAGCGGACCTGGTACCCGCAGGCGTGCATGGCGGCTCCGGAAGCGGCTTGCAAAGAGGGATATCGAGCGAAGGAAAGGTCGGATGAGGCGGAAAATGCAAGAGGCGTGTACGAGCTTGCCGTGCAGGGATTCGGAGTCGTGTTGTGAGAAGCGGGCATCTGGTTCCTGCCATGATCGAATGAGGGCTAGCAACGCCTCCAGCTTCTCCTCTGGCAGGGCGACCGTCTTGTCGGATAGGTGCCATACGAAGCCAATGAATCGCTGGATGACGGCAAAACGCTTGAGCTTGTCGATGCTCCATGGGACCCCGAGGGTACGAGTGAGCTCCATGAAATCGTCCTCTGTCCACGACTCGCCGGGTAGGCGCACCGCGAAGAAGTCGTCGACCCACTTGACAACATGGGTGAAACCCGAAGCCTTATAAATGTCCACGAGCATGTCAGCGATCGCGCCGAAGATGCCGCAGCTAGACGACAGACCGAACGAAGCCGCGAAGTCGAGATAGACGAGGTCGCGCCAAAAAATGCACAGCACATGTTGCTGGTCGGGACGAATGGGAGTGATACGATAGGCAGCCGTGATGTCAAAGGCAGCTGCCTCTGCACCGGGCGGGAGGCTTAGGATGAGACCCGAGACAATGTCGAAATCGTCGAACTGTGTCGGGAACTGATCGACGTCGATGGGTTCGTTCACCGACGGCGTGTCCGAGTTGGGCGACCATGAATAGTCCTGCACGACACGGATCTTGTGCGAGTTTGGCTTAGGCACCGCCCCCAGCGGCGATGTCCGGAACGGGCCACCGAGAACGTCTTCGAGCTCTTGCGGCGAGAAGCCACGCGAATAACGGCCTGCCGCCTGCTCGGCGGCGATGTGTGCATCGATTGCAGAAGAATGCTACGCAAATACGTGAGGAGTAATTACACGTGTGGTGCGGGAGGTACGAACAGTAAGGGCCGAGGCGTGATTACGAGCGAGAATTGTAGCAGATACGATGGTGTCGACACCAGTGTCGAAACCGGACCGCAGACTGGAAACGACATGCTTCCACTTGTCGAGCAAGCCGAGACGAGTGAGAACCTGCTCCACGGCATTGGCGTCGATGGGTGTGACAACCTGACGGGGGTCGCGAGACTCAAGCGGAGCAGGAGCCGGCACCGTGGGAGGTGACACCGCAGATGGAGCAGCCATGGTACAGGCGGCACCCAGCACCACGCGGACAGACTCCCTTGGCGAACGCGAAGCAGTAGTCGTCACCGTTCGGGCCGACGAGAGCGTGCGGGCTTGCCCGAGGGCGGGATGAGATGTTCGCGACGGGCTTCCCGGCAATGGTTGTTGTTGCCGTGCAGGTGCCGGGGAGGTGTCCTGCGCGGCCACATCGAAAGCACGACGTGGGCGACCCTGCTATGGAACCCGTGTTCGCCTTCTTCCTCTTCGGCCCTCCCTCATCGAAGTCGGCCCCTGCCGTGCGCTTCAGCGGCGAAGAGGTGGCGGAATGAGCATGCGCGGCGACTGCGGCCCGGGCAGCGCCCACAGCGATGTTACGGTAGTGCTGGTTGCAAACATCGCCGAGAAGGATCATGTTCGGGGTCGACAGATCGTAGGTTTCGTCGGCGAAGGCCTTGCGCCGCACGAGGATGTCGTATAAACGGGCGACCACCCAGCCGTACTGTGGCTGGGCGGCAATGGAACGGACGTAGTCATGATGGCTCTTGATGTACGAGTAGCGCGTGGGTAGCACTTCGAGGAAGAGGTCCTCGACGGTCGTCGCTGCATGCGACCACGATTCGTAGGACAGCTCGGCCTCTCGCACCGGATCGACGATGGATGTCGTCGCGGTCGGTGTGATCGAGAAACCGAGGTCTGTGACGAACGATGGTGCTTTGCGGAACGACGATTCCAAGTCTGCCGCGCCCGAGCCCGTGACACTTGAGTATGAGAAGTATGACCACTCGGCAATATGGTCGGCGACCACCTTGTGTCCTACTGGGAACAAACGTGGACGTGAGTACAGTGTATTCGAGAGCGGGAACGCGATCGAGAAGAAAACGGGATCGGCATGCGGGAACGAGAATGCGAGCGAGTAACGAGAGCGAGAAAATAACACGCGAAGCCTCGATCGAGAAGAAAAGCGGGATCGGCATGCGGGAACGAGAATGCGAGCGAGTGACGAGAGCGAGAAAATAACACGCGAGGCCTGGATCGAGATCGAGAACGACAACGGGTGTGCGGAGCGGGGTTAGCCGTGCCGCAGGTATCGCGACGAGACGGGAACGCGATGCGGGTACGCGCGGTGACCAGGCGCGAGCGGTCAAGGTCCCGAGGCGGGTGCTACCAGGCACCCGGTGCAGCCCGTATGCCGCATCGGCGTATGTCGGAATAACCGCCGCGGTTCGTGCGATGACACGATGCAGAGCAAAGGAATCATAGCTCACCAGCACCACCTGGCTTGCCGTGATTGCCCGGTACGATGTCCTGAAGCGGGCCGCGTGGCTTGCGAGGACCGCCTTGCTGAGCTGCTGCTTGCGCCCGTGCGATGTCGGCCTCGGATGCGACGAACGGGTTGCCGCTGGCGCCCTGCGGGACGCCCCCGGACTGCTCCGGTGCGCGAGTCGGCGGCTGAGGCGCTGGCGGCGTGCGGTTGCCTGCCGGGTGAGCGGCAGTGGGCCTCGCCCCTACGAGAGGCTGCGAGCCGGGGGGCGGTCGAGCGCCGGCCGAGTGGGCTCGCGGGCGGGTCCTCCCCGTGCCGCCTTGGGGTGCTTGGCCTGCTGTACGGCCGAGCGCGTTGGCTAAAGCATCGGGTGTCGGCTGTGGGGCTGTTGCGCCGCCTGCTTGTGCGGATGGGTTGGTTTGAAAGGCGGTCATGACCGAGTGTAGCGAAAAATTATAGAAACACCGAAGGAAATAGCGAGAGTATTGAGCGAGGTAGGTAACGACAGGTATATTAGGCTGAGAGCACTGAGAGTAAGCGCGCCAGCGCGAAGTGTATACGACGAGAATTACGAATAGGTGGTGGTGAGATGAGAAGAACCGACGCGGGAGCGAGACGCGCTGGCGCGCTGCGAGACTCGCTCGGGAACTGCCGCGCTGCGCTCGGCTGGACCGCCGCTCTGGCCTCGCAGGCTCGGCCCGACCAGCAACAGTGTTGACCTTTACGCGTTTCTTGTTTCAAGTCGCGACCATGAAGCGCACAGCTCAGAAGCAACTCACTAGGGATGACGAGCCAGAGGAGGAGTCCGAAGTATGTGAACCGTCCCACAATCCCACGGAGACTGATATAATCTTCAGGAAGGTGTTGAGGGACTCCGTAAAGCCGATGACGCTGTCCTCGCCACCAGAAAGTCCGTGCATCTCATATTTTCGGGAATGCATTGTCTCTGACTGTGTATTCAGAATACGTGGTCTGCCCAAACGTGCCGGCGTGGCTCCCCCACCTGCGCCTATCACAAACGGCGGCACTATACCTGTATGTGTATCATACGACTCTATGTCATGCTGAGAAGTTCATGTTTTGTTCATAGGCGACAGACAAGCCCAAATTCGGCGGGTTTGGTGGATTCGGAGGATTCGGTGGCTTCGGCTCCTCAGCACCTGTACCTCCAGTCTCTGCAGCACCAACTACATCTTCCAATGCGACAAAGACCTTCGCTTCATTGGTATCCTCAACAAAGCCAGCGTCGACATTCTCTCCGTCCAGCACTGCATCGGCGCCAGCACCCGCACCGACAACAGCAACAGAAAATGGTGGCTCAGATGCCGCCTTGAAGTACTACACTTCTTTGCGCGGACTGAATGCCTCTTTCGTCAAAGCCCTCACCAACGCCGTCGACGACGACCCATTCCGTGACCTTGCTGGTTTACTGGAGCAGTATCGCGCACATCGTATTAGCGTGCAGTCGGAATACGAAGCAACCGCTACAGCTACACCTGCGCCGTCTGGGACCCCGCCCGCGAGCAAATTGCCCACACCGCCGGGTAGCTTCAGTGGCTTTAGTGCACCTGGATCCGCACCCGCGCCTGCTCCTTCGGCATTGCCTCGAATCAACCATGGCTTTGGCGACGTGGCTACAGGCTATGGCGCGCCTGCAACTCCGTTTACTCCTGCTGCTCCCGCTCCACCTAAACCACCTAGTGGCGGCTTCAGCTTCGGTGGCGCATCTGCTCCTACAACTACGTGTACTTCCAAACCCGCATCAGGCGGCTTCACCCCCGACCTCTCTGCCGCCCCCGCCGCCAAAGCTGGCTCGTTCTCGTTTCCGTCTTCGACGCCATCTGCTTTTGGCTCGAAACCAGAAGCGAAGGATACGAAGGATGCTGACGAGCCTAAGGAGCCGAAGGCACCACCACCGGCGTTTGGTAGCTCGTTCAAGAGCGGACCTATCGCGCCAACACTCTTTGGCTCGGGTTCCTCAAGTTCAACCTCAAACCCCTTCGCCTCGAGTACGAGTCTCGGCAGTGGTGCTTCCGCTTCGCTCTTCGGCGTTTCAGCATCAGCGTCAACACCAGCAGTCGAAAAGACGGGCTTTTCATTCGGCGCCAGCTCGACATCGACATCCTCCGACAAACCCTCAACAGGATTCTCGTTTGGCAGCAAGCAGACTACACCGGGAAAGAGCCCATTCGGGTTTGGGAGCGCGACGGGAGACGCGAGTCCTCCTGCAAGCCGTACGCCGCCCGTTGGATTCAGTTTTGGCGGGCCGCCACCTAAGTTCGATTTAGGTTCTGCAGTGAAGAAAGACGAGGCGGGTGCGGAAGAGAAGAAGGAGGAGGGAGGTGAAAAGAAGAGCGGCGGGTTCTCGTTTGGAAGCGGGAGCGGGACGGGCGCGTTCGGGAGTGGCGGAGGAGCGTTCGGCAGCAGTGGAACTGGTGCATTTGGAAGTGCGAGCGGCGCAAGTCCGTTTGGAGGAGCAAGTGGGACGGCGTTCAAGCCATTTGGCTCGAGCGCGCCGTCTTCATCGCCTTTCGCGTCCTCGGGCAGCGGCTTCTCATTCGCGAAGCCTGCTGCATCAAGTGCAGAAGGAACCGCCTCGCCCGAATCCGCTGCTACACCTGCGCCCGAAGGGGACGGAGACGATGCTGCGGGGAGCGGCAAGGATTACGATACAGTCGATGATACACCCGACGTCGATCCCACCGTCCATAGAGTTAGGGCGAAGGTTTATAGGTTTAGGACGGCGCAGGGAGAGAAGGAAGCTGGTTGGAATGAAGTCGGAGTTGGTGAGTGACTTCCTTCGCATCTTCTCGTTCTGTGTCGTCTTCTGGACGCAGGTTGGACGCACTGGAGTGTTTCATATTGGATCGTTCCATGGTGTCCTTGCGTCTACGGTGCTGACCAAATCCCCTACAGGCATCCTGCGCGTGCGCAAAAACGACAGCACGCACAAGCGTTCCGTGTTCCTCCGCAACAGCTCCACCGGCCGCGTCGTCTTCAACTTCCTCATCAAGTCCGACATGGCCATCCCGACCGTTTCGAAGAAATCGGTGACATTCACGGGTTTCGCGGAGGGCGAGAATAAGCCTAGTAGGTTCATGGTGCGCATGGCTACAGGCGACGAGGCGGCCTCCGCGGGCAAGGCGATCGAGCGGGAGATCGAGTTCGTCAAGGGGCATGAGTAGAGGCAGTCGCAGGGTGTCGATGAGGATGCTTGGGGAAGATGCTTGATGCTATGTCGGATGACCGCCGGATATAAGGTGGCTGCGTCTGTAGGATGTGTGGTGTGCTGATGGACGCATAGTTGCTTATGTTGACTTGGCTAGCTCTTGATTGTCATAAGCGTGCAGCCCGCGAGATTATTCTGCTTTTGCAGTTTCTGTTCGAGTGCACCGATCGCCTGCTCTGAGCCGTGCCCAGTACTCGAGCTTTGCTCTGTCAAGCCTTCTCACTAGAAGATCTTCGCCAAATGAAGATAACCCGCAATGTGATCAACTAGAGACCGTTGACAACCCGTTCGCTCTTTTGGGACCTCAACCTGCCATGCTATCCCTATGTGCCGAAAGAGATGACGTTATTCAGGTTCAGTGTTTTATAAACCACAACAACTAGTACTGTAGTGATTTCATCTGCCAACGCGAACACTCCAACCCATGTCCTCCGCTTTCATGTCTGAGTCCGAACGTACGCCCTCGCGCGCGTCTATATCCCACGTCATCTGCAGCTGGTTGATGAGTAGTAGCCGGAGCTCTGGTGTCGCTCGATCGTATGTGGCATATACGTTCGGAGAGCTTGAACGTACTCTCCGATCTGGTGATGGGTGACCTCATATATGCAGAGTCTCTCTACTCAGTAGGGCGTGTAGCACAGTGGTAGCGCGCATGCTTAGCACCGTACGGTACATGCATGAGGTCTTGGGTTCAATCCCCAACTCGTCCAAGATGTTTTTGGTTCACACCTTCGTAGATTCTGATAAAGGTCCTTGGCTTGCGCCGCCATGTTTGTGGTCAACCTTCCTTCCCTTCGAGATGGTCTTGGACATGATCCCCGAATCACAAGCTTCCTATGCGGGAATCGTCTAAGCATGTCGGAGTACGTGGTTTTGCCCGCCGATCTCTTCTACAGCGTATTGCGATATGAGAAACCATCTGGGTTTTCTACTGCGATTCGCGGATCGTTGATGCGACTGGGGCATCTTCGGCAAAATCCGAGCCTCATCAGCGTTGCCCAGGTATCTTCTTCTTGTCGCATAACAGTTCGCTGCCAAGGCGCCCTACACAGTGTGCAGATAATCAGCGCCCCGCACTCATGACTGTATGATTACCACCCCGGTGACGCCGCGAGGAGCTCTCACCTGTTACTCGCTGCATCCCGTCGACATATGAGGTTATCCGAAGTCCACCTGGCGCTGCCAACCGTCATGCAATGAAGTACGTCCGGCCAGTCCTCGTCTCTCGTCACTCTCGCTTGATGGACCTCCACCCCCCTTCAGGATCCCCTTCAGGGTCCCTGCTTTTTGATGTGATCGCCTTCAAGCTTTTCGGTATGATCGGGACGGTAAGTATCCAGCGTCACCACAAAAATATCCTAACCTTCTTCAGGTATAAAGGGTAGCCGGTGGCAGCCCTATCACCTCGCATCGACATCTCCCCTTGCTCCCAACCACCTTCATCCCTCCGCCAGCCACCGTCTGTTGCATCCATATTCTACGCATCCTCGATCTATCGACAGTCACTGTGGTAGATGGCACCGCACGATCCAGAACGCACCTACACCGAACTCCTCTTCGCTTCATCTCGCAAGTATGCGGCCTGGGATCCAGAACTCGAAGTGCGCGTCGGCGACTATGGCATAATCACACGGGGCCAGCGCGCTTCGTTCCTCAAGTTCTGGGCGCGTGATAGGCGGCAGGGTGTCTTCCTCAAGCAGGGCAACATTTACGATAACGGAAAGGCCAAGAAGTTCGATGTGCCACCGCCCAAGACGTATGAACACGAAGGCAGCACAGGTGTCAGCTGGGTTGTGAGCCAGAATGCGTCGGAGACAGACTTGAGCGCGGATGTCAGCGCGTGCGTACCCGTTGCTTAGTTCCCACCTCCCAAGCCTGCCGCCTAGCCGCGCACGTCGCCTATCCCCATCCCATGCCACTTCTTCATCCAGACCCTTCTCGTGAGTATAAGCGGCTGAACTCTCTTGCATAGACAAACGCCGGCGTTGGCAAACTGCGGCGTCAAAGCCTCTTTCAAGTTCCATTCGGGCCAGGGTGCGGTACTCTCGATGAACGGCGACAGTGTCACGACCATCGACCCACCCGGCGCATTGCGACCACTACTTGATGATGCGGATCTACCCGAAGGGACCGTGATCGTGTCGGAGGTGCACGCGACCTCATCTTACGCGCGCTACCTCGGGACGCCCGAGGTGAGGCAGGTCAGCATCGGCCTCAACGTGGCGCCTCCGGCGGTGGCGAACGTAGCGAAGGCCGACGTCAGTGCTCAGTGGTTGCGTAGTACCACCATCGGCAACTTCAAAAGCAAGGTCAACGCGGACAACGAAAGGACATACTATCCATTGTTCCGATTGGTGGCACTCGAGGGCGACGCGGTATCTAACGGTCTACGCGCTGGTATTGACGATGAGATGGAGATCCCCCTGCCTGACGCGGTGCCCCCGTGGATGACCTCGGGCGCCGAGAGGGAAAATGAGGAGCAACGCAGCAGGGATCTCGTTCGGTACTTGCCCTCGCGCCCAAGGTGAGGCATCACTTGCAAGGACCGCAAGTGCGACCATGCTGATGTGCAATAGAACGCTGACAATGATCGGCATTGGGTTGATCGCGGGGCTCCTCGGTGCACGCCTCTTGTCGCGGTAAAGGAGCCACCAGAAACCCTTCATGCTGAATTGGTGGCATATGCCGAAGTATCGCACATGTACAAACTTTACGACAACATTGACTGAGTATTAGAGCAATGGAGCAATGGAAGGACCCGGTAAATTACAACGGGATTCGACCACACTGAAAGGTCCGTTAGGCCATTGTATAATGATGTATCGTTTCCCTTGCATCATATACTTATTGCTATACGCTGAGATGTTCAGATCAGACCTTTGCTGGATGTATGCGCCCCGTTATGCCATTAATTTACAGCCAAGTCCTGCCATCCAACGACATTATACAAACCGCTTATAGAACCGGAAGTGTTGTGTTGTACAGGGTATGTGATAGTCCAGTTGCAGGGCAGTCTACTTTCCAAGGAAATGGCTCTGCGCATTCGCCCACGTCGAGTTGAGCACGAACGCCTGAGAGAGCAGCATTTCCATCTCATGATCGCCCCAGTCCTGAGTAGGAAGGGACTGCAAGAACATGATGATGCCCTTAGACTATGTCAGAAGGGGTTCCCGTTCAGAATGGGTAGTCGAGCTCACCTGGAAGTCCATCGTGCGAAGTTTGTCGCTCCATCGAACGAGGAACGCGGAGCAGACATAGAGATGGAACTGCGAAAACGCGTCGGTGCCCTCCGCCAGATACGTATCCCACATCCGCACGGTATTGCGCACGCTCAGCTCGCGCATAAGCAAGCAGTTCATCCATCGGAATGCGAACTGCATGAACTCCACACCCTGCTGCGCGAGATGTTCGTGCAAGGGTGGATCGATACGCGCAACGAGCTCCGACATGCGTCGCACCGAACGCTGGATGCCCGGCTGTGCACTGATATAGTTGTCTTGGATCCCGTCCAGTAAGCGCGTCAGACACCAAAATGAGTCGGCTTCGGCCGCAGCGAGCACCGCTGGTGGCAGGATCCCGGGATCCGTGTTTTCAGGGTCAGACTCTGCGGTAGTGATCGTCAGTCTACATTCTGGATTGCAGTAAATGTGTGAACAAACCAACGTAGGCCGAAAGGAACACCTGGAAGAACGGCGTCGCGAGGTCATTGATACCTTGAACGTAACCGCTCGCAGGATGTCGGATGGCCCAAACGTAGAGGATGCGCTCGAGGCAACGCTGCGTTGTGCTATGCATCCAGAGTGGTACTCCGGGCCTGGTGCGAGGCACGTCGATCTCGATCTGATGCCAGATAGCTTGGTCGAGACCTTCGCGCCCTCTGGCGAACGTGAGTTCAACTAATGAGGTGTACTCCGCACGCTTGCGCGCCAGGGTTGCTTCTCGTACGGGCTCGTGCAAGGGCATGTATCCCTGATACCACAGGTCAGTCAATCTATTTGATACTCACGAGCATGCGTAACTTACCAGGAGCATCTGCCATGCTACGGGACGGAGGTGTTCGGGTATACCAGACCATGCGAGTTTTCGTAGTTCAGCTTGGAAGGATGTAAGCCACAATATAGTTGGGTGATTTGAGGACATACCCATATCAATAGCCTCCCTGCATAAACATTCCACGAATTTATTCTTCCTATTCGTCTTGATAGAACGCTCGCGCTTGAGACGCTCGTTAGGCTCTAGGGAGGGCGAGCCCGCTCTTGAGCTTGGCCCGCCAGCGCTCGAGCTTCGTTGTGGAATTGGTTGTCGTACAAGTCGTAATGGATCTACGGGTGAACGATGTCCATATGAGGACATGCCAGACGTGATGCATGGAAGAAGCGCGCACCTTTCGCAATATCCTCCGCATCGGGCTTCACCACGCCGAGTTCTGGTCTCGATTTCGGAGCGATAGGCATGTCGACAAAGTCAGCGTCAGAATCCGCCAGGCTGACAGCCGATGAATCGGGTTCGAGTTCGCCAACAACCATCTCGTCATCGCCTTCCCGCCCGCTCGCTCCCGCTTTGGCCTCATCCTTCCCAACAAAAGTCCATTCTCCTCGCGGCGGCGTTGCGGCCACGCCAGATCCGGATGATATAGATTGCGCAGCCTCGGATGGCGCCGATGTCGACGCGGATGCCACGCCTGCGCTGGGGGGATACGAGCCAGGACTGGGAGCGGTAACGTGCGTGAAAGAGAAAGCTAGGGTAGATGCATCTGGCGGACTCTGAGATTGTGGGCGTGGTACGGGTTTAGGTGCAGTTGATCGGGCTGAGGACGCGGAGTTTGGAACAGGAGTGCGCGCCCAGGATGTTTGTTGCTTGTCCTCATCGTCCGAGCCAGAATCCCAAGCATCATCATCGCCCCATTCGGCAATTGAATATGATAGATGTGCAGGATTGAGCGAAGATATGTGTCGCCTAGCCGGGGGTGGGCGGGCGCTCATGGAAGTGGAAGGTGAGCGTGCACGTCATGTCAAGCTCGATCTTTGTTCGCTGCGCACACGTTCATTCAAGGCGTTGTACGATTACCAGGCATATCGTGCATGTACATCGTGAATATGCTGTGCTAGTTGCGTGTTAACAGTGGTTATGGCATCAGAGCACATGTAGGCCTCAGTATGATGTTCAATACGATACAAGTAGTAGTGGGCTGAGTGGGCATCGGGTGAAAAGTATCCATGCATATATACAATGCGCTGCGTAGCCACACCATTCCGCGTTGGCACGCTTCGGTAATGTCATCTATACACATGCGGAGAACTTTTACGGCGGACAAGCGAGACAGCTCGCCAAGGGCTCAATACGAGATGATGACCGGAAGAAAGAGGGCGTGGGGGCGAGAGCAAGTGATGGCTTGCGGACAGCCCGCCGCGCTCTCCAACACCACCACCATCACCGGTCTGCTCTCATCTCTGAATGTCGCCAAGTGCACATAGGATACCTTGGCGAAAGGCTGGAAAAGAGCTCTCTATAGCCTGGGACGCGGAGCTCCTGCGGGGCAGCATCAGTACGAACAGTGTGACCTCAAATCCTACCATGAACCGCCCATACATGGCCATGCCGTTCACACCGGCTGAGACACCGCAGAGCTTCTCGCTAGAGTAGCTTCTCTCCCTGGATGTATAGCCTGCCGGATAAGGCTGCGCGCAGATGGACTTACACGAGGACTGAGCTTCGATCCCCGAATATATCTTCCTTACTGGGAGAAATGAATCACTGACCTGCTTCCATACGTGTATACATCTCCTGAGAAGGCCGTCGACTGTATAGTTGCATCTCCGGAGAGAAGGAGCCGGACAATATCGTGATGATATGAGCGTGAGTATCGTACTAACGCGTGGTTTTATAGGCCACTGAACCGCCGGGTCTCCCGATGGCTAGAAGGCCGCCCCTCATCTTCGTCGTACTGTCGCCCCTGTATGGAAGCCCCGAACTTTGCACCGAGCGATACTTTGAACGTTGTCACTCGCTTACCTGGCTCGTCTTCTACACTCTTCCCTCACCACACACTGCCCGAGAACTCACCTACATTTGGCACGGGCGATGGATGCGCTCTGCCTATACATTGGCGCAATGAGCATCCTGGGATGTGGCCATGGCTGCGCCCGGCTTACTGTTTGATGTTCAAGTTTCTCTGTCTGATTGCCGTAGGAGGTCCGGATCTGAAACAGAAGTGGCGTGCAGTAAACTTAGAAGATGGGCGCGAATTTCAAGAGGAAAAGAACCGCATTACGACGATGGTTCTGACAACCAACATAGTCGCAAGTATCCATTCTCACTGATAGGTCCTGTTGTCTTCTAAGGACTATGACAGGCCAGCCTTCTACTTGCATCGACTGCAGCCCTTATTTCTACCGAGCCACCAAGAGCGGACATCATCGACTACAATAGCCGCGGCCCTTATCTATGCCTCTTGTGCTCTTTTGGCATCATTCTGGGCAGCATCATTGTTGGATGCGCTGTTCTGTTCGTGTTATCGACTGCGAACGCACAGTGGACACGCGATGTATGTGACAATCTTGATCCTCATCTCTGGACGCGTATCTCATGCCTTATAGACAATCATGAAGACTAGAGTACGCATATGGATCATGCTCCTACTCCTTGCGTACCCCTTTCTGTCAATTGGCGTTGGTACAACTGTCAACTTCATAGGTAGCGTCGACTTGGTCCAGCGCGCCGAAACGCTCTGACGTACTCCACAGGATTACTTGCGGCGGCTTGGTTGTCAGAGGATCGCACCGTCAATCTGGGCGGCGCAGCTTTACTTGCTGTGCCGGTGTCACTCATGGTGTTCTTCGCGCTGATAACGAGAGGACGTGCAGAGTCTACTTCAGGTTCAGATACAGATGCTGAAGCGAATGCCCCAACTACCCTTGCGCCACCGCCACTTCAAACTGACCCCAATCGCCAGGCTCCTGTAGTGATAGCCAATACTCTACCTCCCACTGTGACACGCTCCTTTACGGTATGAGCGATCTTTCCATGCTCATGCATCACTCGAGTAGCCACCGGACGGCCTCATGTGTGTCTTTCACGTATTTCTGCGCCAATGGGATATCGGGCATGATATAGTCGAATGCATGTGGCACGCCAGGATATCTGATAAATAAGTCAAGATGTGATAATATGATGCAATCGTATGCCGGCTTACATTTCCAACTTCACTTCCACGCCGGCAGCACGCATAAGCTCCGCGTATAATATGCCTTCGTCGCGTAAAGGATCCAGTCCGTCAACCTGAACAAGGGCACGAGGTAGGTTTGCAAGGGATGGCGCCAGAAGAGGGGAGATATCTGGATGTTTGGGGTTGCCTCCCAAGAACCCTGGGAAGAGAAGGTCAACTTGCGGCACGCCCTCACGGGCTGATCGCTTACTATGGGCAAGACGAACGTCTTCAGCGCCGAGGAACCCATCGGTATCGGCATTCTGCTCCATGGAGAGCAGTTGATCCTTCAATCTGTATCGCAGATAGGTTAGGGTGCTGCCACAAGTGCGATACTAGGGAGAACTTACTGGGCGGGATAAGCGTCCGGGTGAATCAGAGCAGGTATCTGTAACACTTGGCCCGTGATCGTCGCCGGAAAGTTCGCGTCATCTCGGGCGCGGAGGGCCGAAACAGCAGCGATATGACCTCCGGCAGAAGTTCCCATAACAATGAGGCCTTTATGAACATCCGCTCGCAGAGCTGCAGCGTTGTTGATTGCCTACAACGCGCATGAGCATGAACATGGAGGGATTTGAATGAGGGCAACGTACCCACTTGAGTGCAGCATAGCTGTCTTCGATACAGTCCGGATACGGGTTTGTCCTGCGTACCAACCTTAGCTTGGGAGTAAGAAGAGTTCCGTGACATACTCACCGGTACCCGACGTTCACCGTAACCGCTCCCGTCTTGACTGCCAAAACACGACATTCGTAGTCACACGCGTCGATATTGCCTCCGAAGAACGCTTGATCGAGGCTCAGCAAGGTATGACTACAGCGGCCACGGTTACAACTTACATCCACCGTGGAAGTAAACGAGTAGGGGGAATTTCTCCTCTTTTAAGTCAGACGGTATGACAACTCGCACTGGGATTTCGCCACCCTGGACCGTTACCGTATGATCATTGATTTCGTACTTCGCATCTACGTGGCTTTGATGAGCATTGGAAGGAGATATCTGTAGAGAAGTCAAGTCACCGTCTGGGAGATGTCGCTTGAAGGCCGCCGTATTCTGAGGAACCCAGATGTCAATTGTGCGCTGCCTCGTTCCCTTGATCACCTCTTCATCCGACTGAGGCCCTGATGGTTGCGGAGGATGAGTCCTTGACCCTTTGAAGCGTAAGAAGTCCGGATCCGGCTGCGAGTAGTGTGAATATTGTGCCATGGCTGCGGGAGCGATGGATAGCCGGCGCTCATGAGCAGTCAGACTTTATAGTAAGGCGTCCATGCACATGGGAGGAATCCAGGCTTTCAGGCGACCGGCGTTACACCGATGAATGGCATGCCCCGCCAGCGCTCAGAGCTGACCGACTAAGCTATCAGCTTTGTCTCCCGACGGAGACATGGTTCGTTTTCTTGCAAGAAGAAGATAAGGCGAATGGGGACGCGTGGGTTACACGGTCGTCGTGCATGGCTATTCATCGTGTGACCAACCTGTACATGTCAGCAAACAAGCGCCTCCGACGGTGACAGGAAAGTTGACCGACGCCGTCGCTGAATTCACACTGAACCTTGATTGAACCCGCACTCTGTTCAACGGGACCCGAGAAGCGCTGGAATCAGATCGCAGCGATCGCTTCGTTGAGCGCCTGTCGAGGCGACCTTGAGGTGCACAAGTCGCTTTCGGGTACGATATGTGAGCTGGGTACAAGCGCATATGACATCGAAGACCAAGAATCGCGCTTTCAAAAGGACGATTTGCCTTATGCAGACGATCGACCAAGAAACCCTCTCGCGTCCCATATAGTACCCAATGTCTGAACCTGGCGGACAATTTGAACAAGACCTTGAAAGATGAGCAATTTACTCACCAGCTTTTCAAACCCGGGTTCTCGAAGCACTTGCCCGACAAGGACCTCGAGCTCCGCGCGCGACATATCGTACAGCTTACGATCCTTCTGTAGCATCGATAGTACTGAATCGTGTAGAGACTCTGAGTCGTTTGCACTGGACAGATCAGGAGCAGACGCAGGTAGCTGAGGTGAGTTCATACTCGTGAGAGGTGGCGGCGGTGGCGGCATTAGTGAGGCAGACGGGATGCTTGACGGCGGAAGTGGCGACTCAGGCAGAGGGTTGGATGAATGCGCAAACATAGGCTGTTGACGCGTTTGAAGTCCTTGGGTCGACTGCATAGATGCTGCTGAGGCAGGACGGGATGAACTGGTCGTAAAGTTGAGAGATGAGGACGGTATGAAGTGGTCAGAAGAGCGTATGTCGAAGCCCGATGAACCCTCTCGGCCAAGACTATGAGACTGGGTATTGGGGCTTAGTACCGCAGTTGTCAGCGTTCTGGAAAAGGGGGCCGAAGGTTTGGAAAAACCGATGTCTGATGTCGGAACAACTGGGCGGCCTGTCGAACCGACAGCAGTCGCGTTACGAGCCAAGGATGAGCCAGCAGTGCCATCCTGGCTTTGACAAGGGCATACAGCGCGGATAGAGTCAATGAATTGAGATGCAGATGCATGATCGTGGAAGTTGACCTGAAATCGGCGAAACGTCTGAAGACGCGTTCAGCTTCGGTCAAGAGCCCGGTAGAGCATCTGAAACGTACCTGATTGGAGCTCATACCGCCGCCACGCGGATACAAATATCTCAGACCAACGACTAAATCTCGGAATACAGCTTTCAAAGGAGGCGAAGACATGCGATGAGCGCCTGGCATGGTTGAGAACGCGTATAGATCAAGGTTTTCCTATGCGAGCGTGAGCGAGGGTTGCGTATATATGCGCATATATTCGTACCAGAACGACCTCAGACTGGTCCACATCCATTGATTCATCACCTGAGTTCATGATCCATATAATCCGAAGTTTCACAGCCTCGAGTATTCCAGACGGCGCAGACTTGGTGGTGTCCAGACTCAGACGCAAAACCGGGTTCGTGAAGTGTTGCCATTCCGATCCAGCAGGCGCTTGTGAGGAAGAGACAGATCCACTGTTTGGATAAGACCGAGAGTACTTCTTGAGCGTATATGTTAATGTGGAGGTGGTCGAGCGCGAGGTCGACATGGCGGTTGGTCGAAAAGTCGCGTCGCGACGCGTCGAATTCGCGACTGAGCCGCGGCGGTTGCCGCGCATTTAGGCGCGCGTCCCAAGCGCCACATCACTTGGAGTCGGACACCGCCATCACCAACGCAACCGACAGTGACCAGCAGCTCCCATCCACCCCTTTCCAACCTTTGAACCTAGCATGTCTACGGGAACTAAATTCAACCCCAAGGACGTCTGCAACTGGTGCCTTAAGGAATTAGGCAAGGATAATCTTCGCGCCTGCGGAGGATGTCGGTACGGCCCCGGATGGGAGGTAACGAGAGTTATAACTAACTGACGTATCACTCTAGGATGGTCCGCTACTGCTCCAGAAACTGCCAGCGAGGGGCATGGAAAACGCATAAATGTATGTCTCAGCTGGTCAAGGCTCTCCAGTCGTGTACTCAAGTTGGATCACTCACGGGCGCACAGTCAGTTGCTCGCAGAACCAGCAGCTTATAGACAGTCTCAAGGATGATCCGGTACAAGAGTCTTTCAACGCGCTCCTCACTCGCTGGTTGACGGTATGGAAACCGTTCTTTGTTATGCATGGACCAATTGCGTATGATATGGTACGCTCGGAGTTCCACTTTCACCTAGCGCTTTCATGACTCAGACCCCTCACCACAGGCGAACACCCCGAGGAACAGAATGGAGACTCACTGGTACGTAGTAACTCTCGATCACTATGAGCTTTGTCTCATATCTCATCAGTGTAGTCTACGACCTCGTGTCACGTCCAGGTGAGAAGGACATCGCAAAGGCATTCAGGGTACGCTCACTTTCTTATCATTCCTTGACTGCTCTCTGACGTATAATCTCAGATGGTAGGCGGTGGCTGTGTACTCAAGACCACATGGGCAGACCGTCTACGTGCCGACGGCAACGGAGAATTCGCCGACAACTTCCTAGCAGACAACCGCGGTCAAGATACCGCGTTACTCTGCTTCTGGGTCGTAAAACACGACGAGCCAGGCCAAGGCTTGGTCCGACAGCTGTACTTCACCATGCGCGATGGTGGAGACTCTTACCGTCAATTTGACAAGGAAACCTCGGCTACCCTTGCTCAAGGATGGGCAGAGGCGACGGCGTACACTATCGAAATAGGCGACCATACCAAGCTCTTGAAACCGTCTGAGTATCAGTCCAAGAAGGCGAAGGCGCTGAAGTCCTCCAAGTGAGGACACTGCCTATTCTCCCTCCCTTAGACTGCACAACCTTATATATCGCAATGCTTACTGAACCAAGTCTTGTTGTTTTGAGCTTTCTTGCTGTCGAGCTCCGTGCAATTGCTCTGCTCGCTATGTACATATGCTTTCGCTGTGCTTCTGTCCTGTATCTCCCCCTCACTACACATCAACTCGCAACCCAGGGACTCATACTCGATCACCCTAGAGCATTGATGATCCACTTGTATATCGCGTCTCAGACGGTGTAAACAAACCAGTATACTATAATACATTCTCGGATTCCCGATTTAGAAGCACACAAACACAGCAGGCAGAGAGAGAGACAAAAGGAGTAAACAGAAAGCGACAAGAGCAAGCATGGGAGACGCAGCGCATCCAGAACAGCGGGATCGGGGAATAAGTGAGCGGGTAAGTGAGGTGGGCTGGGTGATACAGTAGGGTACGCGGGTAGGGTAGCGGTGCTGGTATGTATATGCGACAAGCGAGACAAGACAAGGTAGAGAATATATATGTGCACACGAGGAAAGGAGACACAGCAGAACTAGAAACCACGCTCGTTCGATGGTCGAGGTTTCTTCGACGAGCCATTACTTGGCCGAGGCGCTGGTGCGCTCTGAGCCGTCTTCAACTTCTTCGGCGGTGGGTCCGTCTCGCGCATCATCTTCGCGTGGATGCCCTCGAGCTTGGAGGCCTTGACCTCCTTCGGCCAGAAGAACGTCACAAACCTGCGTGTGAGAGTCAGCATCAACTCAGCACCAGAGTCCAAAAGAGCACGTACGTCCACAAATGCCTTCTCCACCGATCCCTATCCGCGCCCTCCTTCTCCTTCCTATCCAACACAGCGCGAATCTGATCTCCAATCTTCGCCAAGCTCTCCTTCAGAATCAACACCTTCTCCTCGCGCGGCATCTCGTCGCCCGTCAACCTCAACTGCTTAAGGTACTTCTTCACCGGCCGCAGCTCGTCCTTGGTAGCCTGCTCCGTCGCCTCGCTCATGCTCTCGTCGTCCGAGTCTTCAGAGTCGGTGAACGTCGGCGTCGGACGGCGTTTACGCTTGCCGCGCGCATTGCCTTCGACACTCGCGACGGCCTCGCTCTCCGCGCGCCGGCGGTCGATGGAGGTAGCAGCGGCGGAAGCAGAGACATGGCGCATGGGGGGCGTGGTGCTCTTGAGCTGACCCTTCCGACGGAGATGGTCCTCGTAGTTCTTAACCTTCTCGTCGTGCTCGCGGAGGAGGCCGAGGAGGTAATCACCACGACGAACAAGATGGATGGCGTTGGGTATAGGTCGGCTCGCGGCGTCTTCGCCCTTCTTGCCTTCCTCGAGGAAGAACTTGCCCTCGAGTCCCAGACGTGGATCCTTCTGCATGGACTCCCAGTTGCCGAACCCATGAACGAAGGCCCCGATAAGCAACGCGCTATCCTCTTGTGTCGTCCAGCGGCCGGACCAGTTGAGCGTGGGGCGGATGTTGTCGACGGGTAGCGTCCACTTGAAGAGGTCTTCGTCTGAGAGGATTGAGAGGTGGTCGTAGAGGATGCGAAGGTCCCGCGCGCGCGAGATGACGGTCTCGGCGTTGATGTTCGCGACGTTGCGATATGTGACGAGCACAGCCTTGCTCTTCTCCGCATTAGTAAGAATCTCGCCAGCCTCCGCCTTAATCCTCTTCCTCTCCTCATTCTCATGCACGGCCCGCTCGCACTCGCTCACGATCTCGTCCGCGACGTCCTCGAGCATACCACGGTTCTTATCTTGCAACTTCGACTCGTGCACGATGAGCTCGTAGCGCTGACGGATATCGCCCCACTTCTGCATGCTCCTTATAAGAACGCGGACGTCGCGCTCCTTGAGCTCCATCGCCTTCTGACTCGCGGTCTTGCGTTGTGGGATCGGCTTGGGCTTGGGCTTCGGTGGCGCAGAGATGGGTTGGTCGACGTCCATACCCTCGTAGCTAACGTTCGCGGCTGTACGCTTGCGATCGCGCCCAGACTCCGCAGCGGCGAGCTCCTCGGCCTTGCGTGTGTCCTCCTCGCGCTCGATCTTCTGGCGCTCTTCGAGCGGGATGATGTCCTCCCAGTTCATGTCGGCCTTGACGTCGTTGACCTCGGCGACGGTCGCAAGGAAAGAAGCGCCACCGAGCGAGGTACCACCATCACCACTGACGGTGGTTTCGTGGTGCTCGGCGCGGTTGAGGATATCGTCGAGGTCCATCTCGTCGAGCTTCTTGCTCTGGTCCGCGTCGTCCTTGTCGAACATCTTCTGCGCGCCGTACTTAAGCACGGCTTGTAGCTCGTCCTTGCTGAGGTTATCCGACTTGTTTGTGAGCTCCTTCGCGCCGTTAGCCTTGCCGGACAAATGCGCCTGGGACGTGTCCATCTGGTTGATGACTGCGGACGGACATGAGCGTTATGAACAAAGGGGTGAAACAAAGGATCGAATACGCACTAGCGTACTCGAGAACCATCTTCTTGCGCGCGCGCTCGAGAATGTCCTCCTCCATCGTGTCCTTGCTGACGAAGCGGTAGACGCTGACATGCGACTTCTGGCCGATACGATGCGCGCGCGCCATTGCCTGCAGGTCGTTCTGCGGGTTCCAGTCGCTCTGTATAATCAGTTAGCACGCGTTCGCCATGAGATCAGCGCCCAGGTTGATCACTTACGTCGAAGATGATGACGGTGTCAGCCGTCTCGAGGTTGATACCGAGACCACCAGCACGAGTCGAGAGCAGGAAGACGAAGTCGTTGCTGCCTGGCGCGTTGAAGTGCGCGATCGACTTCTTACGCAGTTCGCTGGAGACCATGCCGTCCAGACGCTGGTGAACGTAACCTCGGAGAGTCAGGTAGTCCGACAGAATGTCGAGCATGCGGACCATTTGCGAGAAGATGAGGACACGGTGGCCGTCGGAGCGCAGGCGCGCAAGGAGCTTGTCGAGGAGCACCATCTTTCCGCTGTTCATGACGAGGCCCTTGAGCTGATCATCTGTGCCAGCGTTCCGGTCCTCGGCGCCATCGAAGAGGTAAGGGTGGTTTGCCGCCTTCTTGAGCTCCATCGCTACGATCACAACGTCAGACCCTCTCTCCGCGATGCAACGGACAGTGAAACGACGTACCGATGTTCAACAACGAGATGTTGTTGTTTCCATTAGCGCTCTTGACAAGTCCTTGGAAGTTCTTCGTGAGGATGTTCTTGTAGAAGTGCGTCTGCAACGCGGACATCTCGACGCGCAAGATACGCTCGCTCTTCGTAGGAAGATCATTGAGCACGTCGCGCTTGAGCCGACGGAGCATAAGATCTTCGAGCTGCGCGTGCAGCTCCTTGATCTTCGCCTCGTGGTTTGCATCCGAGAGGTCGAACTCGTTGGTGAGGGCAACTACATCGATACCATCAGCACATGCGGTGGGAAGGGTGGAGGTGGAGAACGTACACTTGTCCGGCATCAGGAAGTGCATCAGCGACAGCAACTCCTTGACGTTGTTCTGCAGCGGCGTTCCGGTGATGAGCAGCTTGCTGGCCGCGTTGAACCCGCGAAGCGCCTCGTAGAGCTGACTCTCGCTATTCTTGAGCCGATGCGCCTCGTCGACAGCAAGCGCCTGCCACTTGATCTCGCCGAGCTCGCGCGAGTCGCGCAGCGTGAGCTCGTACGTCGTGAGCAGCACGTTGAACTTGAGCTTCTTCGGGCTCGCGCCGAACTCGTACTTGCGAATCATCTCGCGTGCGGGCGCGGTGCCGACGTACATGATCACGTTGAGGTCCGGTGCCCAGGTCGCGAATTGAGATTGCCAGGCGGTGATTGTCGAGAGCGGGACGATGACGAGGAACGGGCCGTACTGCTGCATCTGGTGGAACAGATATGACAGGAACGACACGGTTTGGACGGTCTGAGAAGTAAAAGTAAGCGCGTGTGACTTGCATGAGAGAAATCCGACAAACCTTGCCGAGACCCATCTCGTCGGCGAGGATACCATTGTCACCCTTGTGCCAAAGGTATGCGAGCCAGTTGAGACCGGTAAGCTGGAAGTCCTTGAGCGCGCCTCCCGTCTCGGCGATATACGGAGGGTCCTCGGTGATCTTGACGAATTCTGGGCGGTTGTGGCGCGAGTACTGAACGGACTTGTACGGGTAATATGCCTGAGCCTCGCGTTGGCGGTACTCGGCGATCTTGTCCTGAGCGCCCCACGTCTTGAGCTCGTCGAGCGTCTCCCAAGTACAGTGCTCGTAGTTGAGACCGGTCCACTTGACAAGATACTCGGTTGCCTTGGTAGTCTTGTTAACCTGCTCCGCGACGACGCGTTCGGCGATCTGGTACTGCTCGTACTCTTCCTTCTCGCGTTCCTTGTCGAGCAACAACTGTTCGCGTTCTTCTTGTGTGAGACCGGGCGAATTCAAGCGAGACTCGTAGGCCTTGTACGCCTTGATGTAGTTGTCGACGCGCTTGAGACCCTTGAAACGCTTCAAGAACTCGTATGTTTCGTCTGTGTTGCGGAGATGGGAGTATCCCTTCCACTTGATGTGGAAGCGCTGTGGCGAGGTGGTGAGCATGCTGTGGCGATACACCAAACCCTAATACACTTACGACGTTCTCCGCGAATACGTCCTCTGGGTCGTCCATACGGTCTTCGTCGCGTACGTGCCCGAGAACGGCCTCAATCTCGTCAGACTCGCCTTGCTGGGAGACGTCGACGTAGTAGTAGCCGGGGTCGGGATCGTCGAACTGGTCAAAGTCATTCACGTCGTCGTTGTAGTTGGGCATCTTGCCAGTACGCGCCGAGGAGCGGACTTCGTCGGCAGCGGGTCGCCTCTTCTTCTTCTTGGACCGTGCACCGTATTCAGAGTCGTCAGAGTCGGATGTTGGGCGGCGCGAGGAGATGGGTGTGGCTAGATTGATGGTTGAGCCACAACGTGTCATGATATGCATGGAAGTGGAAGGTGGTTCTCCCCGTCATGTAGACAGAGTCCCGATCGGGAAGACAATAGGACGTACGTTTGGGTTTGGAGGACGAGCTCTCTTTCTTCTTCTTGGAGGGTTTCTTCTTCTTCTTGACCGACGCGCCGTACTCGTCGTCGCCAAAGGACGCGTCGCCGTCGTCGTCGCTGGCCTCGGCGTCCTCGTCTGCCTCGGCATCCTGGTCCTCGTAGCCCTGCAGTGATCGATATTAGGTCATGTGTTAAGCAGAAGTGAGATGGAAAGACGAACAGAGTCCTCATCCGCGATAACCTAAATAATAAATGGGGAGGTCAGGACGGGTGAACCTGCTCTTGCCTCCTGCAACCACATACCTTCCTGGCCGAGGGACGCGACGACGAGGCTGGGACGGGCTGGTCGACGTCGAGATAGTCGGCGTCAGCGTCTGCGTCAGAGTCGTTGCCGTTGTCGAGGTCCATGGGCTCGTCGCCGGAGAGGTCGGAGTAGTCGTTGTAGTACTGGCCGACGGCGTCCATGGCGACGACGGGACGACTGGGGGAGGGGAAGGGGAGTGGGTGGGTGTCAGGAGCAAGCGCGGGTGCGTCGTGGCTGGCGGCGATGAGAGCGCTCTCACGACACGCGCGCTGATGTGTGCAGTGGTCATCGGCCCCGTCCGGCGCGGCGTCACAGCGATGCACGGCTCCCGTTTTCTTCAAGCACCCGCTATTCGCTCCGCAGCTCCCACCGTCTCCCACCTGTCGTAGATTATTATGCCCAAATACTATTATCCTCATTATCCTTGAGCACATCGCCCCCATCAGGCCCCGGCCCATACCCGCCGACGCCGAGCTCCCATCCCTGACGACATCGCGAAGAAGCACCAGACCCGGCCTCTCGGCGTTGCCTGTCTTTTCCGCAGTGCTTCCGCCCTCGTTTGTCACGTTCCAGACCTGTCACCCTTCAACGCCGCCCACGTCGATCAGACGACAATTTACGTCCATTCCACTACATCCGCCGGCGCAATCCCTTGTCCGCATGCGGTCAGCTCTGGCCAGCTGAGAGCCTTCCTGGCCCCTCGTGCTATCGCGGCCGAATCAGGCGAATTCTGCCACGGGCGCCTCGCCCTCGTCCGTCGGTCACTCTCGGTCACATCAAACGTTCTCGAAAACGTCCGCGCGTCGCGTGGAACGTCTTGCACGGGCTTTTATCCGTTTCTGAGCGTAAACCTGGGCGCTTCGCCGGCTTCCTTCGCACAGCGTTGCTGTGCGCTCCCGTGAGACGGCACAAGGCGCACCCGTGTGAGAAAGATAAGAAAATACACTAAAAGTACATCGTACTCAGGGCGACAGCGCCTACAGCCATCAATCGTCCGTCTCGTGCTGCACTAGAAACTCGTCTGCTAGGTCGGGATATGTCTCCTTGAGCCTTCTACCCCAGTGAGCGAGCGTGACGGGCTCGATGGCGTCCGTACCATGGCCGTGCGCTATCATCAAGGACGATAAGCTATTGAGACGCCGTCTATTCAGGAGATGTTGACGTACGTTTGTGGAAGTGGACTGGCGGGCCCTTTAGGACACCGTTCACCGGCGTGAAGCAAACCGACGAGCTGCCAGTTGTGTGGTCTACCTTGAAGCCTACGCTCGCCATCGTCTATCACGGCGATCAGCATCGAGTCATATTGGCTGTCAGACTGCACTCGCCTTGCAGAACGTCGTCCATCGCATCGGCCGACGAAGGATTGCATCCTTGGTTTGCAGCACCTGCCCCATCGCGTCCGCGGCCTTCCTACCGAGTTGACCGAAGACTCGGGGGATCTTCAATGTCTCCGCTACAACTCCCTGCGCGACCTCCTTGCTCTTTCCCTTATCACCCCGCAGGCGATCCATGAAACCGGTCTTCGTCGGGTTTATCTCTGAGACTACTTTCCTTGTCTTCACTTTGCCCTGTCCCTTCGCCGCGAGCTGCCCCAAATATGCCCTTGAAGACTCTGCTATCGTGCCAGAGATAGGTGTCTGTGGCGTATGCACCATATCCGTCACTGTGCGCATTCTTGAGCCCGCCGGTGCGGGCGAGGTATCCTCGGGTACGTCTTCGGCGACAGATGCTACTATCCTATCCTCACGGGCCCAGTGCTCATTGACAGGTACCGGGTCGGTCACGTTCGGGATGTCCAATGGCAATGAACTCGCGGAAGCTACACTCTCCTGCCCGTGCCCTTTGGATGCAGTTGGGCGTGCAGTAACGCCTTCAAGTTCCACTGTGCTCAACGCTTCAACGACACCATCGGGCTCTGGTCCGAATAGCAGTGGTGCGGTAGACCGGGACGGCCCCGTCACTTCGGATATGGGAGCTGCCAAAGCCTTCCTTGACTGTAGAGCCGCCACAGTGGGCGGATCGCACCTGTCCTCGACAGGCTGAGTGTATGGCGGATCGGCTAGAGGACGCCATGCTGGTGGAGCCGAAGGGGACACGGTCGGTAGACTAGCCGAAGATGTGTCAGGCTGGGGCGTTCTCGGTAGGGTACGGCTTTCAATCGCCGGGCGTCGGTGTGCAAGCTTATCGACCGACAAGAAGTGTCCTTCGCTCCAGCCATAGGTTGTTTTGAGTTTCTCCCCCCATAGACGCACAGTGACGGGCTCGATATACAAGTAGGGATGTGCTGCAAGTGAGCGTCACTATGCAATCGGCACCTAGCCCAATAGGAATGGCATACGTTTGTGGAAAGATATAGAGCGGCCCGTGTCATCCGGCGGGTCAAAGCGCGTCGAGGAGCTTGATGTGGTACCGTGGTTGGCAGTAAAGCCCATTTCTTCCATCATCTTCAGGTCTCGTCAGTTAATGACCAAAGACAGTATGAAACGCAAGTACCGCACCATGCAAAAGTCAGTCCAACGCATAGGTGGTTGGCGTGTTGTCTCCTTGGTCTGCAAAAGCTGCCCCATGCATCTTGCAGATTCCTTGCTCAGGCCCGCGAAGTTTTCCTTCGGTGGTTGCCTATCATTCGGAGCGGTACTTGCATGCACCGCTTGCCACCTACTCTTCGTGAATCGGCTAAGCGCTCTCCGGATGAATTCCTTCCTCTCTTCCTCCGGTTTGTCCGTCGACATACGTTGGAGGTGAGAGTGCGCCATCTCCCTCACTCTGCAAGATGAGCATAAGCATCCGGTCCGTGGGATGACATGTGTGTGGATGCGTTACCGGAATGCCAGGGGAAGTCGATGACTGGAACGTAGGCTCGCCCATCCAACGAGGGTGGACGTAGAAAGAAAGCGGGAGCTGACAGCAGAGGACGGAGCCAGATATACTTCCAGCGTGTGGGATCAGTTTCCCATGGCATTGCGGCAATATGCCAGTGGTGGCAGTGGCTGGTCTAGATGTCGCGCATTGCAGTCGACGCTATGCATAGGCCAAAGGAAGAGAAGCGAAGGTCCTTCAGGCGTAGTTAGACATACGGGTGACCCGCACTGCGAATCAGGGTGACTCTTTGACAGCGAAGGCATCAAGACGGTACTTGAAGTCACAGGTCTGCTGAGCACGGCGAGCGCCTTGCTACCATGCACGACAAAGAAGCAGAGAGCGTTGCGCGAAATCATGTAGCAGATGCGAGTACCAACATTCATCTCGCACTCTCGCCCTGAGGAATGTCAGGGAGCCAGCGAGCGCACTCCAGGAGAAGCTTCGAAACCTAACGATAGCACTCCATTTCTATGTCGCGACACGCATGGGTGATACCCGAAAGAATACCTAGAATACGTGGAGTTATCTCAGTTTGACTTGGGGTTCCCATATGCGGCGAGCACTGAGCGCAAGGCGAATCATGTTGCGAATCCGATCTTCGTCGGCAATGAGATGTCACTCTACGATGCCAGCTGCCGAGTATTCTCTTATGCGAAACGCAAAGCAGACGATACAAACACACCGTATGGAGGAACATTCGGGGGGATATTCGCGCCTGTTACTCTGCACTATGAACGAAGTCGTCGTATCCATGATGTTCACCTATTGGGCGCTGCGAGCCTGATCGAAAGTCTCTTTATCCCATTCATAGAATTCCCTCAGCTTCTTGCCCCACATGTGCAAGGTAACGGGTTCAATGTAGCTTCCAGGGTGAGCTGTTACGATATGTCAAGATGCGAGCATATAGCGCTGCTGGAACCTCGGACTTACGCTTGTGAAGAGAGACAGAACGCGCCGTCGCCTCGGGTGGATCGAAGCGCACAGACGAGCCACCAGTGGCTGCATCAAGGGTAAAGCCCATCTCCACCATCATCTTCGACGACTTGTCAGGGCGTTTTCTCACACCATGAGCCGAGTAGACGTACTCGGCTAAAGTTCGCCCAGGGTACAGGCTGAGAAGGCATGCGTTGCTCGAGCAACTGACTCATGCATGTCGCGGACTTTGCACTGAGCGCAGCAAACTGTTGGGACGAGTTGCTCATCATGCGATGTTCGTTTCTTGGTCAGGGTAGATGACGGCGAGAGGGAAAAGGAGAGGGCGTTCGCGCGCCACAAATGCATTCCGCCGTCGCGTACCTTCCCACGGTGGAGACGCGCATCCCTCCCAGCAACTGGGCCAGTGCACGCGTCACTAAAGTGCTTGCCGCTGTTTGCCGCTATTACCAGATACAAGAATACCTGGACCGCGCGCCACTCAGTGCGCAGTACACCAGTCTGATGTTGGTTCGAGCACCGCGCCCGCCTCGTCTGACCGAATGCTTTGACCGCGCGGACGAAGCTCGAACCGCACACATTGTCGATGGCAGCGATACAGTGAGTGAGACAGACGCTAGTGTGTCCTGTGAATATCAAGACGACATCTGAGAAGGAGGGAGTGGGGGTACTATCGAGACAAAGTCTTCAGACGAGAAGGTGCGGAATCGCGAGTGACTAGACAAACAAAGGCTACAAACAGTACATGCAAGATACAGCGGGGCTGTCGGATAGAGAAAAATATACACAATTTGGGAATCACAACGAAAGCAGCGATGGAAAGATATGGACAGCTGAAAAATGAAAGGAGGGGGAGATATATCACAGGAAAAGGCACACGTGTGATGATCACGGTCACATGAGTTTACTTCGGTAGGTTCTTGGCGCTCTTCAGGAAGATCTCCTCGTCCCAACCGTAGTACTCCTTGAGCTTCTTGCCCCACAAACGGAGAGTGACCGGTTCAATATGTTGTTCGGGATGGGCTGCACAGACATATGAGATTCGAAGAAGTCACAATAATGAAGAGGACTCACGTCTGTGGAACGAGATGGAGCGTGTCGTCCCATCGGGCGGATCAAAACGCACGGACGAGCCAGCTGTGGAAGCGTCCATCGTGAAGCCCATTTCGGCCATCATCTAAGAGTGATACGTCAAAGCTTTAATCAAGAGTTTGCATATATGTAGACGACTAACCTTACAGAAATCCGTCCAGCGTAAAGGCACGATCTTGACGGTTTCCTTCGATTGGAGGACGTAGCTCATATGTAGAGCCGCTTTCTTGCCGAGTGCCGCAAAGCTCTTTTCAAGTCGATGATTGTCGTCGACTTCCTCCTTCCTGTCCTTCGTCTCCTTCTTGCTGCCCGCGAACCGACTTTTGAGCTTCGAGAAGAATCCTTGCTTCTCCTCCGGCTGCTCGTCCGCAACCTCCTTGCGCGTCTTGACCTTAATCTTCTCCGTCGTGCCCTCGCGTTGCAAGTACGAGTGCGCTGACTCCGCAGTCGAACCACTAAGAGACGTCGTGCTCATGTGCGCCCATTGGTTGTCCGAGACACCCGGATATTTCGGCGCAGCCGGTGGGCTCTTCGGTACCGGCGGAGGACTCTTTGGGACTTCCTTCTTCGGCGTCGTGGGCGCGGATGTAGTGGTAGGTGGAGGCGTGACGGGGCGTGTAGACTCGGTGGTAGTCGGTTTCTTCTTTTTCTTCTTTTTCTTCTTCTTCTTGCTCGCGGAGTCCATGCCGTCGCCTTCATCCTCAACTTCCTCCACTGTCACTTTGTGCGCCTTGGTTCCTGTCGCCGTAGCTACGAGTTGTGAGTGAATGCTTCTTACAGTCAGCAGAGAAGAATACACACGTTTGGGCGGCGCTTGGGTCTTGCCGGTAAACCCTGGAGGCTTGAAGGTGCCGGGCTTGGGCGGCATAGGCTTGGGGCCCTGCTTGGTCCTCACATACGGTACCTTCTTCTCCGTAGTCTTCAGTGTCGAGTTCGTCGAGAACATACGCCCTGTTCTTATCTCTCAGCACAAGATCTGCACGCCATAGAAAAAGACGGTACCTCTGAGATTCCCGAGCAACTTCATGAACGGGTTGCCCTTCCTTTCCTCCGCCGTGATGCCCTCGTCCAACTCCTTCGTCGGATCGAAGAAGTCAGGATTCTCGTGCGCAGCGTCCATAGCCTCCCTGAACATATGTCGCATCTCCTCCTCGTCAGAGTCGTAATCGCTGTAGTCGCTATCCTCCTCATCTTCTTCTTCGTCGCTGTCCTCTTCCGACGACGATTCTTCCCACTCCTCCTCAGACGTGTCGGATACGGTCTCGAGTGATGGCATCGAGTCGTTGTCGGACTCTTCGCCGTTCGTGAGCGCGAGAGGCTTGGACTTGCCCTTCTTTCCGCCTTTCGAGCCTTTGACGAGCGCGCCTTTCTGCGGGTTCGCTTCGAGACCCCAGTGTGAGATACGTCGGGATACGTCTTCCAGCCACCAAAGTTGCCAGAACGTCACGCCATAGTTCTCTTCGGTAATCTAAAGCGCATGTAAATATGCAGCATAGTGAAGTAGTCAGATCGAAGAAACATACATGGTCAATCTGTTTCCAGAGAACATCGACGGTATGCTTCCTCTGAGCCTTCTCCAGCGGGACTATCAGGTTGTCCGCGTACGTATCGCAAATGATGTTGAGGACGTGCTCCGAGAACGGCTGATGGTCCTCCCACTGCGCGAACTCTTCTGGCATCTCGGGATCCATCGATCTGTACTTCTTGCCATCGCGACCCAGCGCAAGTAAGGGCGCTTCGAGGATCTCGAGAAGTAGTACGGCTTGCTGTTGACGTAAGGTTAGCTCTCTTGTATATTGAGGTATAAGAAGAAGTATACACACAGAGAAATCACCCAGCACGTCGAACATTGCCTGCGGAAAGCGCTTCGCTTCCTTCGGCGACTCCTGGATAGCTTCCTCCAGCAACGCCGTAAGTACGTACTTCGGGTACGTCGTACCAGGCAGACACAGCTCGATAACGATCGAGTCGACGAAGTTCTTGTAGGATTTTTTGAGTGATTGCCAATTGAAAGCCGCGGTGGGATTATCTCCGTTCTTTGTGGCGTTTACAGCGTCGAGATACTCGCTGAAGTGTGCTGGTCATGAACAGAGCGTGAACGCTGTTCGAATGCACACAAGCGAGAGACGTAGACCTACCCGAGCGAGAAGCGGCTTGAGCGAAGCGAACTTGTAAGGCGTCGGTGAGCCTCGAGACGATGTTGTATAGCACGAGATAGTCAATCCTGAGCTCCTCGTTCTTGAGGAGCTGCATACGGACGTTGTCATCGTGTAAACCGACGTTATCGAGGTACTCGGTACGATCACGGATGATCCGCCAAATGGACGCAAGCATGAACGAGTTGTGAATCCTGTAGACAACCAATCAATATGAGATAGTAGAATGAAGGGGCTCCGACGCACTTGCTCGCCAATGCGTCAGTGATCTTGTCGTGATCCTGTAGCATGTTGGGATCTTGCTTGCTCTCGGGCAGACGCGACTTCATCTCCCTGACCATGGACGTATAGAAGCGTTCAGGAGTCTTCAGGTCGAGGACGTCGTCGAGGTACACTGGCACAAGCTGAATATAAGAGATACAGTATATGAAATTATAGCGACGTACTGTTGAACTGAGAGTCCGCAATGCGCATCGCCAGTTCGAGATTGAATGGTCGCATGAGCTCCTTGTCCGCCTTCTCGAATCGGGTCGCCAGATCCTCTGCACAACCAGGTCAGCGGGTCCGATACTCCTGAGACAATATCCGTACAGGCGCACCTCCCAGAAGATCCAGCTTCTCGCGACCAGCGATATGTTTCGTCAAGACAAGTTCTCCGGCGCCCATAGCTCCATGTTTTCCATTCCTGAGAACTAGTGCGCGTGCAGTGGTAGGTAGGTTGCCGTCGGCGTCGCGAATACTCTTGCCCTTAGGGTGATGTTTGATTTGGACCTCCTTGGGCCCGGTGCGCACGAGCTCGCGCGAGTTGCTCGGCGCGGCGCCGTTGCCATTTTTTGGCGCCATGGCGAAGGCGCGAAGGGGGCGTGGAGTGGTGAGCGTAAGAGGTAAAGCTAATTCTGCTCGCGTCTTTAATGCGTTCGCGCATGTCGACTTGTCAACTGAGAACCGTCGCGGCGGCGATCATTTGAGGCCACAACGTCCCTTTGCTCGCAGCTTTGTTTCGTTCGGCGGCGCCTAACACCGTTTCCGGAGGTTGTCAAATCAGCAGCGCGGGCGCAACACGTCAATACTTTCCGGTATCCAACTGCGGCTAGCGACTCCGATAACCACAAGGGCGCCTATAAGGAGCGTGTAAGAGACGTCCGACCGATTGGGGATCGCGGGCCGCCCGGGAAGTCCGGAGAAGAGCGCTTTACGATCTTGTTGCCACGAAGACGGACCAGGCCAAAAGGATACACAATGATACACTATATCTAAGGATGACCACAAAGCGCCTAGGGTCGGAAAATAGTCAGGTGTCTCGTACTGCGCTGCAGGTCCCGGCCAGGACGGATTCCTGACACATTGGTCTTGCGAGGGAGAATGTATCGCCGAGTATGCAATATCGAGAACGAGTCTACCGCCTCACTTCTTAGTGAAAAATGTAGACAGCTTCGACATCCCCTTCGTGCTCGCTTTCTGCAACTTCTGCACCCCATTACTTGGCTTCTCCGCTTTCGCTCCTTTCCTCTTCTTTCCTGCGGCGCCATCATCGTCTATATTTGTATTCCTCGTTTTGATTGGCACCATAGCTGCGTTTTGTTCATCTTCGAGGGCACGAGTGTGGGCGTCTAGAGGCGAGAAGCTAAGGAGGTAGCGGTGAGCCTATGGGCTTGAAAGCGAGAAGGAAATGTCGTACTTGTATGATGCTAGCAGGGCAGCGTAGAGAGCCGGTGGGAGGTACTGTGAGACCACATTGCACGCCGCCTTCGTACGTCCAACTAGATACATCCTGAATTAGTTCATATATCAACATCACGAAAGAAACGAGCGTACGTTGAAGCAGTTCTTCTTTCCCATCCTCCATCAATGCGTCCTTCGCCAGTGACCGAACGACCGTTTTGCTCAGCTCGCTGACCCGCGGTTCTGCTAACCTGGCCGTCTTCTTTCTCAAATATTCCACCACCTTGCCCTCAGAATACCGGTATACAGCTAGTTCTGGTGTAACATCTATATGCATTCTCCGTCAGTCACATCGAGACATACAGTCGCGAGCGCACACACCCTGAACGTCGCATATTCTGCGCATAGCACCCACTACGCAGTCCAGGTTGATTAGGAATGAGACATCCTCCGAAGTTACTCCCGCCAGCTTTTCGTGTGCGCTGTCGAAGACTTCGTCCAGTGGCCGGAACATGCCCACGCTCTTGTCTGCGGGGCGCACAGCGAGTAAAAGAGGTAGTAAGAGGAAAGCGGGGTCTATAGGGGTCATGACGAGTAGTTTGCCGTCTATTGACCAGGATAATATAAGTCGTGCGGCGTGTGGCGAGCAACAAGGGAAACAAACCTGCAACCACGGCGCCCTCGTCTGGTTCATCCAAGAACCAGGATCGTGAACCCGGCGGGGAGATGCTCTGCACTTCCAAAATATCCCATTCGCATTTCGATGTTGATGTCGAGGCAGTTCTCCGGTAGGGTAAGAATAATGACAATTCGCCTGTAGTTGTATGTTCGTTAAACTGCTGTGACATAATTTGGGCTGCAGGCTCACCAGTCCGTGGGTGTGGCAGGCGGAGGAATGATGCATGAGAGTTGCGAGTGGTATCCAGTTGTTGTGTGATGGTATCTATGACATCTACAACCAAAAATGTGGGTTATTACAGGCTTGGATGATGAACTAGGAGCCTCACCGACGGGAAGGACGCTGAAGTGCGTGGCTTGTGGTGTCGCCATTGTAGTAGTTCTACCGGTGAAATAGCCTAGCCGGAGGGAGCGCCCAAGATGATCGAGACGGGAGGAAAATTGAGGGTCGGGTATCGCGCGTGGTGGCAGCTCGAAACTGCAGCGATCAACGCTGCCGCGTCGCGTTGGTTTCGCTCAACGAACAGGTGTGATGGGTGACAAGACGCGTCAGTCACACAGTCCGCATGAGCTCGCTAGTTGTTCCAGACAACCACCATCTATTCTCGCAGCCCTGCGTGTCTTCTCGTGGATCTGGCCCACGCGAAAGGACACGCTTACTTTTTGATTGCCTTTTTGACATCATTCTGCTGGCCAAGTCCAGCGCAAACTTACACCAAGTTCGAGAGTCCCTCTTGAGGATCGAACACATCTTCGACGTCTAATCCCACTCTCTATCCGGCCATGCTACTTCCACATGTTACGCGAACGATACCTGCCGCCAAGAATCTTAGGCTCAGACTGGGCATTACAGCAATCCTGCTTCCAATCCATCACCCCGTGAATCAACGACTCCGCCCAACCGCGCGCCGAAGTCTTAGCTCGGATTCACAAGCTACTAGTACGCCAGTATCTCACCGTAAGGGACTGTGCTTTGTCTGTGGCTCAACCGAGTCTTATTCATGGAGAAGACGTCCCTGTCATCAAGACGGATACATATGTGAATTTAGCATGCACTTATAGCAATGTTCCGCTCAACTAAGATCCACTTTCAGGTGGTCCATGTTACCGACCCGTGAAGGTAAGCCCTACAAAACATTGAGGGACACCGATGCGACGACGCTCCAGCGCGCACTCGATAAGGCTCGTGGAAGGACCTGCCACGAGTGTGGTAAATTAGACAGTAGTGGCTGGTATCGCCATCCAAACTGTGCGGGCGCATACCTTTGTACGCATCTTCTTACTTGATCGTTTACAAGGCTGACATATAACTCTTCAGGTCATCGTTGCTACCTTCAAAAGAAGGCAAGCGAACTCTGTATCATTCTTACGGGCTGATATTCACATGTTGACTACAAGAACGCTCGAGACTTGCTCGCAGGGCGGACATGTCTAGGATGTAGCAACAAGGCGCCGTCAAGTTGGCACAGACACCCCATCATCAATGGTGCCTCTCTATGTGAGTGAACACTATGGTACTTTCCTACTGTCCTAGTGACGAAGGCTTGAACCTTCATAGGCGGACCCTGTTATAGTCGCTTCCATGTAAGCTATCTTCAAGCTGGACTTGACTCACGCGATTTACTCACATGGTCTTCATGAGGCTACACATACCGTCGGCAGGACATGTCATGAATGCGGATGTACCACCACCCGCAGTTGGTTGAAACATCCATCCGGTAGCGGCGCATCTTGGTGTAAGTTCACTAGAGCATTTCGCCTCATCATGTCGGGCACTGAACTTGACCAAACAAGGCGTTGCGTGCTGGCAACGCGATTACGTGAGTTTTCATACGATTGGGTTCGCCCATAGTGTTGACGTTGAGTATACTCTAGCGTGCGAAGAAACGCGCAGCGGAGCTGGCGACGAAAAAGGGTACATCATGATGAGCCCTTCATCATCAATGCTATCCATGCTTTCGTCGCACCTGCAGATGAGTATGGGCACAAGGGAAACCGTTCTTGCATAGTATGGAGACACGTCGACCACGACTGATTGGTGGAGTGAGGAAACAGGTATCGCATTGTTTTCGGTAGTACATCAAGCATCGGGTAATTGGTAGGTAGCTACGCATCAAGCAAGCAGGCAAAGGAGGAGAATCCCAGTCGGATACAAACAATCCGTAAATCATACTAGTTGATACTCTTTACACATCGTAAAGGGGAAGGAAGGCGCCCTGGCGCCACTATACCACAGCCCGTATCATCTACGCAAGGAGTCCATATAACTATCGTGACAGAAGGTCGTGGTCCAGGAAGATAGGCTGGGGGGGTGTTATGTAGCGCGTTGTTTGCCCTTAGATTTGGATGACGGCGCTACAGTCCTGCTTTGGAAGTCAATACAATACCCCAAAAGCAGAGACAACGACGAAACGTACTCGTGCACCTCAATCCTAACGCTAGGACGGCTCAATACGCTCATTGACTTATTGCGCGTATGCGCCGAGCCAGCGGGAAGCGGCGGACCTGCGGGTATGATCACGGCCGTGTCGGTTGTTCGATCACGGTCACGATTAACCAGCGATGATCGGCGGGGTCTTGCACCAGATCCACTGGGTTCATGTTTGTGGCGGCTTGATCGGGGTATAGCAGAGGGTTTGGCCACGACTTGACGGCCGGGTGGTCCAGTGGGCGCAGGAGTGGGGAGAGGAGCGGGACTTGGTTGGCGAGGTAGAGGGACGGGGAGGGATATCGCATGTTGTTGAAGGGCAGGCGCGCCGGACGTGGGACCGCCGATCTGCGACATGGCCGTGCGCAGATCCTTCACTTCGTCGCGGTGTCGCTTGTTCGTCGCTGCGGGTAGTGTCATTGGGAATATAGACTCTGGACTGACAGATAATACCTTCGAGTAAGCGCAGGTCGGCCTCACGATGAAAGCTCTGCATGAGCGCCGCATATCGCTTGACCTGCCATCCCATCTGGTTTGCCCTCGCGGAATTGCCCTGCTCCTGCGCCCACTTCTTCTCCTCCTTGAAACGTCTCCTCTCTGAGTCGGCCATGGTCGCTTTACGTCGCAGTGCGGCGACTTCGCGTTCAAGCGGGGAGAGTCTGTGATTTGGATCAATCCAGTCGGCCAGACTTTCGAGGGATTGCGTAGTCTCGGTGGCTTCGGTGGTAGCAGCCGTAGTAGTGCTCGGCGCGGGCAGGTTGCTTGACAAGAACTCGCGTCGGCGGCGCGCGGCATATTTGTGACGTTTCTCGACCACAGAGTCGCTACGTAGCTGGACCAGCCTCCTGGGTCGCGTGCTCACGTCCGTCTCGCTGCCATCGTATCCGCCTGGTGCTCCCTCCTCCTCTCCGTCCTCGATGACTTGGGAGAGCAAGTCCGTCAGAAATACTCCAACGGCACTTCCCAGCATAGTGCACGCAGCTTGCATGGCGTCGCGATATAGCACAAAGTTGACGAGTATACGAGCCGCCATGCCGAAGCCCACGCCGAAGGAGAGACCAGGTTGCTCCATGATGAAGTAGTACAGCGCGACGCCCTGCCACAGCCCTCCGAGTACGTGATCCTCAATGCCGGGGACCATGCGCCCGACGAAGAACTTGTTGTACAGAATGCGCGCGCCGAGGCCGACTAGTAGTGCCAGACCGGTCGTAAATCGCATTACAGCCATGATTTATGCCGAATGAGAAGAGAGTTCGAGAAGCAGAGCCAAAGCCTGAGATGGGCGCCAGTCGTAGAGTAGACCGGATGCTCGAACGCGCGAGGGCGTCCGGCAAGGTACAGTGGGAGGTCGTACAATACGGGGATCAGGGCTTTGTCTGAGCTTCGACAGAAGGCTCGGAAATGAACTTGACGCGAGGCACGACGCGTGACCTTCGCGTGGGCTCATTGATTCCGACGCGTCAAATCGAGGCGCCTGTGCGCTTACCCTCGACCACCATCGCGGGGACGCGCAGCCGGATTCTTCTCATCATTCCATATCGAGAAAGCGTGACGCGGTCATAGAGATGGGGCATGTATATGTACTTGTCGAGCTCTGTAACGAGGATGATATCCAGTCTTGGTCCTAGTACTACTACGCCACGAGTGATTCTCTCCCAAACCCTCGGCTCTACCACTCTAATGACACGCGAGGCTGTCTTGCTCGTTGATATCCGATGAACTCACTCAGTGCAGAACTTATGAACATTCCAAATTTCAGGCTTGTGTGAGCTTTGCAGGTCAGTACATTTTCCAAATACTTTAGATAATATATACATGCAGCACTAACAGAACCGTGTACAGAAAACCGAGAACCCGATAGCAATGTATAAAGAGTGGATGCTCATTCCAAGATTGAGCCGTGTCAGTAGCGGTGGGTTGTCTAGCTCGAGGTCCACACCGTCGCAGTCTGTAGTTGGCGTGGTCAGAGTCGAATCATATGCGGGATGAAGCAAAAGACACACGTTGGACAGGCCATTTTGGAGCGGCGCGGCTTGGATAACAACGGCACCATTCACGCTGAGCGAGCCACTGGTGCCAACGGTGTTCAACGAGTAGACGCCGATGTCAGTGCTCGCAGAGTCGATGTTGAACATCTGTGTCTGGCACTCGAGCGGCGTCACGCAAGATCCATCGTAGTTCTGTGAGATGGTCCAGTCAGCACACTGGCGGGTTGCGAAAGAGGTTGGAAAGTACGCACGTCGTACCAGCTGTAGAAGCCAGCGCCGAAAATGAGGATATCCTTCGAGTTGACGATGTTCATGCCCCACCCCATGCCGTCGCTTGGGAGGTCGGGGTCGCTGTAAGCGGACTCGACCGTGAAGGGAGTGGGACCCTTGGGGGTCGGCTGGAAGTATGCGGTCTCGGTCTGCGCAAGTCCGATGTAGTGGTTCGCAGCGTTGGCAATGTTGTATTGGTAAAGAACGTGGTGCTCGGATGCTGCGACAGTCGTCAGTTCAGTGGAGCAAAGTAGTGCTCAGCGCCTCGACATACCAGTACCGATCAGCCAGACGGGACCCTGGCTCTCAGAGAGGATACCGCGACCGCTGAACAGCGTAACGTTCGTTCCGCCCTCGACATCATGGTCCTATACCATCCGGGCGTGAGAGGATGAAGCAGAGACGGCAAGATGTATGCTCACAGCCAGCCACACCCAAGTGCTCTCGAGGTATGCGCTCGAAGACTTGGTCAGATGAAGTCCGAGGAATGCGGCCTGGCAGCTTGGGGACGTGTTGGCACCAAGCAGGTTACCGCACTGGTCTGTTTGCATGTCTGATGCATGTTAGTACCGGTCATCAGTGATAGATAGCCAGTGAACGTACTCGTGCCCTTAGCGCCTCCAAGACGGAACAACTATATATCCATGATTAGCGCAAGGTGCCGCACGCTGATATCGTTGGGCTTACAGTGTCCCACATGCCAGCCGCTCCTTGGTTTCCGGACGGGTCGTGTACATTCCACTCGACAAGGATAGCACCGCCGGCGGGAGCACGCGTGGTGAAGAGGATCGAGGAGATCTCGGCGATGCCAGTGGAGCCCTCGGTGCCGACCTGGACGACAACACTGGGGTCGTCAATTGACGAGAACGCGTCTCCGCTGCCCATTATCGTAGTCCATGCCTCTCCGACGATCTGCACACCCGCGGGGATCTTGAGCGTCGACGACACGATGTAGATACCGGCATCGAAGTAGATGATCTTGCAGCCGGCGTACTAGACACGTCCAAGTACATCAGCGGATATCCATGCAGCGGCATGGATTCGGACGTACCTTGTCGAATACTGCCTGCAGCGCTGCAGTATCATCAGTCGTAGCGTCTCCCTTTGCGCCCTCGTCCTTCACACTGACGAATTCGCTAACGGCGTAGTTGGCGTAAGTAGGGCGGCCCTTGCTGAAAATGCGGCCAGAGTCAAGTAAAGACGAAGGCTTGTTGATTGCGGCGGCACTGCCCGTCGTGTAGGTGGCCGTTGAACTGGAACCCGAGAAGACGTTGCCCTGGATCCAGGTGTCGATGGTCGTGGTGCCACCAGCGAGAAGAACGGTTCCGTCGTCGACGCCCACAGCAGTCGGGACGCTCGTCAGCTTGATGTTAGAGAGGACGATAGACCCGTCAAGGGTGCTTTGGGTCTTGGTGCGCTGGAGGAACACGGGAGTGTTGGTCACGACCGCATCAATGATGGCCTCCGCTCCCACGCCCTGAGGTGTCCCGCTGACGTCGCCAATGTTGACCTCGAATCCAACCTATACTCTTGTCAATTACGACTCACACTATCTCATATGCGATGCGTACCTGCGCGTTGTTGATTGTAAGGCCCTGGAATGTCCAGCCCCAGTTCCAGTTCGCATAGACAGCCGTGTTCGCGTTGTTAAAAGTCAAGTTACGAGCCGTGAACTGCTGGTTGCCGAAGTACGCGCCGTATTTCCCTGTTTGATTCTGCCTCAGAACGATGGAAGTAGGAGCCGGAATGAGTTCACTCACCTCCGTTGAAGACCAGGTCGCCCATGAAGCCTCCAGATCCGTTCTCCATGTACTACACCCTTGATCAGTATGAGAGGCCGCTGTCGCGCCGACGGCGTACGTACTATTCCCTGTTGTTGCCCACCTGTCGTCATATCGAAGACGATGTTGTAGAGCGATGTCGCCTGAGATAGCTGCCAGTGTAATCCCGTACTCGACGCAGCTGCAGTCAAGTCGATCCTGGGGTTTAAGAATCAGCACTGAGTATAAGGGCGTAGCTCAAGGGCAAGGGCTGAATGCGTTCATGACACTTGCACAGCGACTATAACGGAGATCTAACTTACCTGAAGTTGCGCACGCTCCGATAGAAGTTGTTCTTTAACGACGAAGTCAGCGCCTCTCTGGATAGATAGAATAGAAGTGTGGCTAACCTGGTTCACATACCACTCGGCACCATTGCCTCCGTCAATGTATGGGTCAACATCGATGACGGCAATCCCGGCAAAGCTGGCTGACGCCTTCAATGTCGGCAGGACTTTGGCATCGCCGACGAGCTCGGTGTAGTAGTACGCGATGAGCGGTGCGCTGACGAGATAAGTACCCTGGGGGAAGTACACCGTAGCAGGCGTCAGTGTGGTCCCAGCACATCCCGAGCCACATCGGTCTCCGTCCGTGATTGCCGCGCTTTCAGTGTGATTAGGACGATGTCCTGTGCAGATGTCGAGAAGACACGACGTACTTGATCGCCGAAGTGTCGTCGTGAACTCCGTCTCCCACCGCACCGTAGTCTAAAACAAGCCTCAGTACATCGCATCTGCGCGCTTGGAGGTGAATCGCACCTTTGACGTTGCGGAAGACCTTGTATCCCGACTCGGCGTACGGCGCGGTGCCCTGGTGAGTGATGCTCTCCTGCCAGTAAGGATCACCAGCCGCGGCGCTTCCTGATCCAAGTGCGGCGGTACAAGAGGATCCGAGGGCCGTGACAGAGGAGACAGACCCAGCGAGGAAAGACGCGACAAGGGCTATGCTATTGAGAAGCATGTTTGGACGGATGATGTCGGACGTCCAAAAGATCGCTCGAATGTCCGGGAAGCGAACGTTCTTGTTTGAGCAGAGTTGTTGCCATACGGTTTATATAGAGCTCGACGACAACAAGCCGCCTCTGGCAACGTATCTAATACCGAGAAAGGTCCACGAGGAGTACAGAAGAGCCCGCGTGGGTTCGCACATTGTCGCGCAGAGGACATCTAAGTCTGCACCAGGCTGTACGACACAGGACGCGAGTCCGCAGCTTGTAAAACGGCCGGTCGTCGCGTGATTATCTAGCTCCCTACTGCGACGCATGGCTCGCAAGACGGCATCCGAGGTGTGAGAGTAAGCGCGATGGCGACCCGTTTACAGAGCACCCTTCATCGGCCGGTCTAAGATAGTAAGCGTCGTGGATCATTGTTCTGACTCTTCGAAGAGGATACACCGTTCGGATCCATGCGACCGTAGAGCTTGATGTCGCCGATGATACACATCCAAGTTTGCGTTGATCGGCCCAGTCGTTGCATCCAGTCGGATAATGATACTAGATAGGGACAGATCGGTGACGCCAGATGAAGCAACCGGAGTTACCCGGTGTACAAAAGGTCTATCAGAGCAACCAGACCTCCCGGAGTCGACAGGAACTGCGGTCTATTGGTCTATTAGCCTTTCATCGGCAGCCAAGCTGAATCACAAGCTGATATTGATGGAATTGCGCGAGTTTGCCAGCATCCGAGCTCTTGAGCCGCCGTAAACAGGGGTTGTGTCATTTTGTATCAATTTTATGGACCTTCAAAAGGGATGCAGCTTCAGCGATGACGATTTGAACGAACCCGATTTCGTACGCTAACTAGGCATTGCGCCCCGTGCAAGGCCGGTCATGAAAGTGGTTTGCCCTCGGAAAGAGGTGTTAATATTCCGCGTCGGGACAGATACGGGACGTTCAAGCGTCGATTTTTCAAGCACGGGGAGAATCTCGGCTCATCCTGCAACAGCTCGCAACATGGTCAAACAGCACGGCGATGGGTTTGACCGCGCTCGGCACCTCGTGCTCACGATGCCCAAGGCCAATCTTCGTTGTAGAATAGTGGGAAGCATGTGGTGCAGACGCCTGGTTCCCAGGAAAACGCGATGTGAGCGCGGATGGTCACGGTGATGATGGTCAAGCGAGGGTGATCGGATTCACATGCAGGGCGAGGACTAGTCTCGTGTGAGGTTCCGGAGCGGCCCGGGAAAACCGTACGTGCTCCAGATTCGTGCAAGCTATACAGAATTCTTGTAAAGCTCGTACCTATGAGAGCCCGAAATGATGTCCACTCGTGCGTCGGAGGTCTACAAATACATTTATCATTGGTAGCGGTCTGTTCCCAAAGAAACTACAGATACAGATATTCGAAAGCCTCAGGAAAAGAAACGTGTAAGAAGAGGGTGAATGCGTTCTTATCGATATTTGTGTTCTGCAGCCTGCAGGCCAACCTCAGCCCTCCTCCTCACGAGCGAGTCCATGCGGTGACGGTCTAAGCACCGTGAGCAGAGTGCACTCATTTTCTATCGAAAGGACGTACATTGGCGAATCCGTTCTTGCCTGTACTGGCGGCAATGACGGCCTGGTTATTAATGCTGAATGAATTCCCCGTCCCTACGGTAGACAGAGAATAGACGGAAACACTTGACGACGAATCGACGTTGAAGATCTGCTGTTGGCAGGTGTTGGGAACTTGACATGCTTGATTGTAATCCTGTAGGATAGTGAGCAACTGCCTGGCGAGTAGGTGTGAACGACTTGCATCAAACCAACTGTAGAACCCAGCACCATATACAAGAATGTTCGAGGAGCTGGCGATGTTCATTGCCCACCCCATGCCACCAGAAGTGGCCGGATCTCCGTAGGCGGAGTTGATCGTGAACGGAGCCGGAGAGGCCGGGCTCGGTTGGAAGTAGGCGGTCTCGGTCTGCGCGAGACCGATATAGTGATTAGCGGCGTTAACGAGATTGTACTGATAATGGACGTGGTCTGGTAGGGGTTGAAGTTAGATGAGTAATGGAAGAAGAGATAGGGGGCCCACGTTCAGATGCCGTCTGAAAGGCACGTTAGACCGACGACATGTCTGGATAGTAAGCAGGAGACATACCCCGATCATCCACACAGGCCCTTGAGACTGTGAGAGGAGCCCTCGGCCGCTGAACACATTGATTTGTGCACCGTTATCGATATCGTGATCCTGGTTGGCAATCATCATGAGCAAGACCGGAGGATGAAGGTTACGCCACGACTTACTGCTGCCCACAGCCACGTTCCTTCGAGGTACGCGGAGGCAGAAGAAGTCAAATGCAAGCCCAGGAAAGCTCCTTGGCAACCGGTAGTTCCCGAGTTGGAGGTTGGGCATTGCGAGACTTGCATGTTCGTTCCAACAGCGCCACCCATGCGGAACAGCTGAAGACGCGTCAGCAAGCAGCAGATAGCGCGGAGAGAACCAGACGAACAGTGTCCCACATGCCCGCGGCGGCTTGTTGCCCAGAAGGGTCGTGTACGTTCCACTCGACGAGAATGGCGCCGCCAGCGGGCGCACGGGAAGTGAAAAGGATGGAGGAGAACTCGGCCAATCCGGTAGAGCCTGAGGTGCCGACTTGCACTGCGACTTTCGGGCTAGATATGCTGTTGAAGGCCGAGCCGCTCGCCATGATGGTAGTCCACGCTTCGCCCACAATCTGCACACCAGCCGGGATCTTGAGCGTGTTGGAGATGACGTAAACGCCAGCATCAAAGTAGATGATCTTACAGCCGGCGAACTAAAGACATTGTCAGGCTCCGATAGTCTTGAATAGACCGACTAGCGCACCTTGTCGAACACGGCTTGAAGTGCAGCAGTGTCGTCGGTATTACCATCACCCCTTGCGCCTTGGCTCCTAACACTGACGAAGTCACTTGCCGCATGATTGGCATACGTTCTACAGATGAGGAGTCAGTGTGATATGCCAAGTATGAGTATAATCGGAACGTACGGCCTGGTCTTTCCAACAATGCGACCTGCACTGTCGAGAAGGGAAGAGGCCTTCGGAATCGAGATCGAACCAGACTTGTACGAGGCCGATCCGCTAGAGCCCGTGAAGATATTGCCTTGTGCCCAGCCAGAGATGGTTGTCGTGCCACCATTCAGTACAGTCGCACCGCCTTGTACACCGACGGCGATAGGTACATTGGTGAGCTTGATGTTCGATAAGACGACGGATCCGTCGAGAGTTCCAGTACTGCCTGCCGTCTGACGCAAGAAGATCGGAGTGTTTGTCACGACGGCGTCAACAATAGCTTCCGCACCCACGCCCTGGGACGAGCCGTCCTTCGTGCCGATGGTCATGTCAAAGCCGGATGTCTGAGGAAAAGTCAGCAGCCGCATGAACACAATAGAGGAAATAAACGAACCTTGCAACCGTTGAGGGTGATGCCTTGGAAGGTCCATCCCCAGTTCCACAGAGCGAAGATACACGTTTGCGCATTATTGACGGTAATGTTCCGTGCGGTAAACCTGCGAGTGTAACCTTTAGACCGGAAGCAAGGCGGAAGGGAGCGTGATAGGGCTCTTACTGTTGATTGCCGACCCAGATTCCGAACTTTCCTAATCATCTCATTCAGGAGGGAGCGCATGAGAAGGAAAGAATGTTCTCACCGCCGTTGAAGACTAGATCTCCCATAAAGCCACCTCTAAGAAGGGCGACACGAGTCAACCAGGGTTCAATCGGAGAGAAGTGAGTTCTACGTACGATCCGTTCTCCATGAATATGCCCTGATGCGCAGTATTGGAAGCTGTCGACATATCCACGACCACATTATATAGCGAGGTCGCCTGGGAAACTTGCCAGTGCAAGCCCGTCGCGCTCGTAGTCGCAGGCATGGCCGTCAAATCTATGTGCAGATTGCGAACCGACCTCCAGAAGAAAGTCAGCCTGACCGCATGCCTACCACTGGCTTGACTGTCACCTGTAGAAGTTATCCTATCGCAAAGTCAGCGCGTAAACTCTACGTGGACAAGTAGATAGTACGCGAACTGACCTGGTTCACGTACATGTTGGCACCGCCTGAGAGGTAGGGGTCGGCATCAATGACCGCAATACCAGTGAAGCCGGCAGACGCTTTCAAGGTGGGGAGCTTCTTCGCATCACCAACGAGTTCGGTGTAGTAGAGTGCAATGATGGGAGTGGACACGAGGTAAGTCCTGGGAAAATACTCAGTGAAACTCCCACGCTTCTGTCTATATCAATGACCCACCCTTGAGGAAAGAACACAGTCGCCGGTGTAGTCGACGTCGCAGCGCAGCCTTGCCCACATCTTCCACCAGAGGAAATAGCCGCACTGAAGAACGAGTGAGTCTTGATTCGAAAGAACGTGACGACGAAGACCTACTTGATTGCGGCGGTGTCGTCATGAACGCCATCTCCGACGGCCCCGAAGTCCTTCACGTTGCGAAAGACGGCGTAACCAGACGGAGCGTAAGGTGCAGTTCCCTGGTGTTGGATGGTCTGTAGCCAGTATGGATCAGACGGAGCGGCGCCTCCGGAACCCAATGGCGCGCTGCAAGACGAGCCGAGTGCCACGGCCGACGAAATGGCACCGAAGAACGAGGTGAGGAGCGGGAGTGCAGTCGTGAAGAGCATCTCCGATGAGCTGAAGAACAACGCGGGGAGACCTTCGCTGCTGAAAGGATTCCTTGGCAGCCTCGAGTTCTTATAGCTTCATACCTGTCTAGTTCATGATCGTTAGAGGTAAAGTCAAGGGTAGAGCTGCCCTGGTACGCACGGTCTATGTCGTGAAGAGCCGAAGCCACACGATGAAAGTTGCGAAGCCACGCAGCGTTCGTGCTCTTCTGACCAGCCTGGCGTATGGCACTCCTTGCGCGAGGGAACGCTGCCGGTAAGTAGACATCGATCCCAGTACACTCAGCCCGACATGACACCGTCAAGTGACAAGAAGTCTGCGGCAAAAAGTCCGTGCTGGCGGTGTGAGAGAGTCTGGCTATACCTGAAGCATGCACTGCGTTAGTTCTTGTGCAAGAAGAGCTGGCGGGTTTGAACGTATCCGGAGGTGTACGCATGCCGAAGCTGTAAGATGGAGATCATGGCGGTCCTAAGGCGGTTTCAGGTAGCGTAGCCCATGAGCCTCCACGTTGAACAAGTGATCATGAGATTCACTTCGCCCGAAGAGTTCTCTCAATGGGAATGTGGAAGTAACCGTATTTGTGATGCTGATGTCCAGATGGTATCGGCGGTCGGATGAGGGTCGGTTGATCTCAGCAGGCATTCCTGTCTCATACATGCACTGTGCGGGATTAGGCATAGGGCTTGGAGCGGGCAAAGAAGCCTTGCGTCTCGAGACGTCATGAGAGTCCGAGGATTGTACGGATGGAAGTTGGGAAGCGAGTCGGGGCGTCCCGACCAGACGATTGTCGTCCATCGGACCAGCGGCAATCCTAACGTTCGGAACCATGACAACCAATGGCAGGATAACATAGACGTTCCAATATCGATTCGATCCTCTCGCCAAACACATCATACTCGAGGTGCCTTCTCGGAGGTAGGCATCCGCGAGACGCAAGTCACAAGGACCGTCGAGTGACATACGCGAAAGCGGACAAGTCTCAAGATCCTCTGAACCTTCGGTCCGACAAGCGTGGGCGACATTGTGGAGTGGCAAGGTCGCCGTCTAGCCTTAAATCAAGGAAGCGAGATGCGATGTGCCAAACTGTGAGGACGTGTCGCGATAGGGAATCCTGGCGCGAGATACCGCAAAATCCCGGAACTACGCCCACGCAAATGGGCCACTGCGCTCCTCTGACGAATATGCGCTCAATGGTATGTATTACGTGAGAATATATTCCCAGTAAACACCTGATGGAAGAGTCAATCATGAGAATGTGTAGCAGGGATACAATCACTCACGGTGTGCTGCTTATTGTCTGTTCAAGCTAATAGCGGGATTGTATCGCAGCTTTCATTCGGACTTGATGTTTCTCGGTGCCGCCTTAGCTCGCGAGCATGGTGCGATGCGGATACCCGGCAGCTTGGCCGGAGGAGCGCGAGGACGAGGGGACTCGTGCGAGCGCGAATCACTGCAGATGAACCCGAGGAGGGTTCACGTGTGCTTGCCACACACTGGGCCTTCACTAGCTTCACTAATGGGGAAACACATATGCATGGATAGTATATGTCAGGAAGAATGCAATTTGGACACGAGCCAGCAGGGAGAAGAGATCGGAGTCGTGGTGGTTGGAGGGAAGAAACGCGACACGTGAGAGCCCCGGACGTGCACCGGAGACAACACGGCGCTGATGCGCGCATATCCCGCCCTCACCACTCGCCACCATGTATCATCAACCGTTGCTTGTGTCCATTTCCGGACGTATACTTGCCGTTCTCATTCGCCCTCCCGTCGTGTTCTAGACTGTAGACACCCGTCGAAACTACTCAAGCCCCCACGCGAACAATGAAACCGGCACCCGGCACATTTTTACTACAGTTCATGGTCAGAGCGGCGCTTCGAACGCATCTCGGACAATATGGCCTACTTCGACCTCATTGCGTGACTGTGTGAAGGATGTCCCTTGGGCTACTGGTCCGTTTAAGATCCTCGATTGTCGGAGAGGAAGCTACTCCATGTGAAGCTAGTACTCGGACCTCATCGGCGTGCACAGGGTGCTCGGATGATGCCTGGAGGCTGAAGGTGCTGGGAGAGCGAAGCACCTATTTCCCTCGACTTCAGTACCTGTAAGCGCGTATAGATCAATCTAAGAACTTACAGCGGGATTGGCCTCCAGAAACGGTACCGACCCCTTAAGCTCAGCTTCCGCACAATCGCGTTCCCATGTATCCTTTTGGCACTTGTCCTGCAAGTACCAACGAGTCTGTACTTCATCCGTCTCGTTATTCCATGCATCCGCGATGTACTGATACTGTGACATCTCAATGACCGTATTGACCGCGTCGGGATTGCGTGCATGCTCTCGCTCAGAATTCCAAGTGTTTTCTTCCTGACGGTCGGCTATGTACCAGCGCACTCGCACATGTTCATCCTCATTGTCCCAATCGCTCAAGATTGATTGATACAGCGGACTTGCGTCCTCGCCAGTGAGGTCATGGGCGCGAGAGGCGATTGGAGTGGGCGAGGTTGGGCGCTGTTGGGAAGTAGGAGAGTCAAGACGAAAGTCCAGGACACGAGATGGGCAAGGTGAAGCGAAAGCGACGTGGTTCGGATGTACATCGGATGGGACACTGTCCTGACAGTGGCATGGAGAGCTTGGATGGCAGATGGTCTGTGAACTGGGACGAGTGATGATAGCGGAAGAACTCGATCCAGTCCGGACATGGGAAATCGCCTCCTCCCTTGCTGTATTGCTAGCGGTTTGGGGTCGGCAGCGTCGGGTAGCCGAGAGCACCCTCGAGTATAAGGCCGTTGTGAGTTGTGATAGTCGCTTCATGTTCTATCTGATGTATAGGACAGCGCTCAAGATATGGTGGACTAAGGGGTGTGCGGCGTTTGAGGGAGACTGAAGAAGCGGGAAGCGAGGGAGGTGATGACGACAGTAGCAGTAGAACGCGACAGCCTGAGTGGCGGTTATATGCTCAACCGTCTGTCCTTGTACGAAGCAATGACCACCTGCGAACAAGACGCTCCACATCTATGTTGTGCACTTCACACCCGACAACAGCTGTTCAACAAGGTTGTCAACACCCATTTGGGCAGTTAGACAGGGGCCTGGGAAAAGGACAGCGTAGATTGATGTTAACGGGAAGCAACAATGTGTCGCATACACAGCCTGTGGTCTGAGCGTCTACGGCTACAAGGGGAAAGAAGCTGGCACACGCATCCGGGAAGAAGACGCGCCACCGTGAACTTTCTCGGCATACGGCTTACAGAGGGATACGGGAAGGTAGACCGTCTGTACAAAGACTTTCGAACAATACAGAACAAGGGCAAGATGGGCGCAACTGGACTATACACAGCTCCTTACATACTTGATCGACATTGACATTGAAGCCCCCACCACATTTACACAACGCCGCTGAGATCAAACGTTCCATCCGCTCTCCTGGCAGCAACGCCTTTCTCCGTTACGATAGCGCTGATGAGTTCAGCCGGAGTAACATCGAAGCTGGGATTATAGACGCCACCCTCGCTTTCCGCGACACCCTCAGGTGTGAGAAGTACGCGGGCCTGTGGGCGACCCTCCTCGAGCGGGAACAGCGCTCCGCGTACTACGCAGGCCTCGACCGGGGGACGTTGCTCAATCGGGATTTCGGCGCCACTCGAAATTGAAAGGTCGACTGTCGTAACGGGCGCTACGACGATGAACGGGATCTTGTGTCGGGCAGCAAGCACGGCGGCGTTGTAGCTCCCGATCTTGTTTGCCGTGTCGCCGTTCGCGGCAATGCGGTCAGCGCCAATGGCTAAGTTTGTGGTGAGCATATGTATATCCACGAGGGAGCCACCAACGTACCAATCCCATGAATTGGGTAGTGTTGGAATAACGAGCCGACCATCGTGTCCACGATCATTGTGCTCGGAACACCAAGGCTTTTAAGCTCAAAAGCAGTGAGGCGAGAGCCTTGATGGTACGGTGCGCTTTGAGTGTAGTACGCTCGGTTAAGTTTGCCAGTCTCGAAGAGATGCGTGATCAAGCCGAGCGCAGTGCCGTATCCCTATTATCTTATCTTAGCGCCAATCTCATCGCATCAATTGATCGCACGACATACCGAAGTGGCCAAAGAGCCAGTATTGCAGACCGTCATGACGTTCAGTCCAGAACCATCCTGCGAAGTCCCCAACTTCTTCGTCTCCTCCTGCAGCCATTCCGCACCCAGTCTGCTCATCTCCCGGTTCCTTCCGACGTCCTCATCTGCTACTTGCTTGCCAACTTTCACTAGTTCTGCAGCGACGGTGCGGGCATCCTTGCCAGTCTCGAGTTCCGCATTTAGAACCCGTGTAAGACGCCGAGTCGCCTCGCCAAGGTTGACTGCTGTCGGTCGAGCGGTGTATAGATACGCGAGCTGAGGCTCTACGTGAGCTCGGAGGGCGTCGGTTGATGATAGAAAGGCCGGTGCAGGCTCAGTCTTGAGCGCGCGCTCTAAGTTTTGTGCGAAAGTAAGAGCAGCCAGTGAAGCAATAGCTGGTGCGCCACGAATCTACTGAGGCGCCATGTTAGAAGGCACAGTGTATTTGTGTGGGGAGATCTGGGACCTGCATAGTCTTGATTGCAGCATGCGCCTCTTCGATGGTGTCAATCTTGAGCCATTCAACGGTATGCGGGAGCACGAGCTGGTTCACAATCTCGATCTTGTCCTCAGACGTCCGGATGGAGGTGAGCGGTGCCATGGTCGGCCGTTTCAAGGTAGTGATGGGAGAAGGAGAAAGTACAAGATGAGTGGCCGGAGCGAACGTGCTCAAGGCGAAGATGGCGACAGCAAGTTCGAACAAATCTCAGTGCCCCTATTCGGCACGTGGAGATGTGGCCCAGATGAGTGCGAGCATGAGGCTGCTCGTAGGACGCCACGTTGCGCGTACGGCTCTCAAGTTCACTTAAAGTAACAGTAGAGGTGTAGATGTACGTCTAAGGAGATTCCTGCGTCTAAAGGCGAGCCCAGACCATCGCAGGGAAGAGGGCTCGGAGTTGAACTGGGCACGCCTCACCAGTCATCTCCCCCGGCTTCCGCTCGTCTCTCGGTGTAAGTTGGTGGGGTCGATGTGAGCATCATGAAACCAATATCGTGAACAATCTCTGTCGCCGCAATGCTGATCATGCCCACTGAGAGAACGTCCAGTCAGCCATAGTTCATACAACGCAAGATGAAACACGTTAACACACTGATCCATCAAGACTTTAGGGAAGCGGTCTGACGCAAGTCTGACGGCGTCTGAGGGACTCTGAAGCGGTCTGACGGCCCTGAAACGTCTGAAGGCTCGCTTAAAGCTCTGGGCTCACGTGGCCCTCAGAGCCTTCAGACCGCTTCAGACGCCCACAGGGCGCTTCAGACCGCTTCCCAAATTGCTGATGCGCCTCGTAGGCAGACGCAACTTCGACAACGTCCACATCCCCTACGTGCCATGAATGGGGGTCATGTAGTGAGATTACACCGTGCGACCAGGCTACATGGACGCAGCTCGAGCCATGGTGCGCTTCACCTCGCGTATAGTTCCGTCGCTGGTCACAGAAGTACTCTCTGTCGCACGTTTCACTACGACTGATCGAGCGCGCATGCGAGAACCTGCAACTCACTTGCTGGTGACAGACTAGAATCGCTGTCACTCATGTCCAGGCTGCATGGCTAATGAGCGATCCATAGTCCGAATGCGGCTGTTCACAGGCTTACCTGGGGCCTGAGGCACACAGTCTAAGGCGAGTCTCCGGCGCGGTTAATGTTACGGATGCGACAAATGACCTCGTTGATGCCTATGTTGTCAGCTTCGTTCATGGATGGGTTCTGAACCCGACCTTCTCATCAATAGACATAGCACCGTAGAGCTTGGTTCGATACCAGCATGGGTACTCCCATCGCGTGTCGAGCCCTCCTCGTATATGATGTAACAGGAGCTTCCGGAGCTTCCGTGGGTGATCCTTGCCTGTCTGGATAGAGCTATAACTGTCGAGGGATGGTGTGGTCGCCGTCGATTATCACAATGCGTGGATGGCCCGGGGCTTGCTGTCGAGCGAAAGCTTCGGAGCCGCCTGCATCAATGGCTTTGTGAACCGGGCGGGCAAGCATCGTTCCATATGCAACTTCTATGTACTCTATAGTAGCAGCATCATCATACGCGTTGGTTGAAACCTGTGTGTACAATCGGTTAATGACTAGTTGTGAACATGATCACTGTACTCACGTGCCCATGATCAATGACCTTAGCTAGCCGATATAGTCAAAGCTCCGTACAGTGCGGTAGGCACGCTTGCCTTTGCGCGGTAAACAGGTTCTGTGAGCGGCCAAAGTCGAAGATCGGGTGCGCATATATGCTGCAACTAGGCTGCGAGGTAGCGCTATACATTCGCCCGCGCATTCGTAGCCTGGAACTGCGGACATGTAGGGTCTTCTTCCGCCAAAGGGTAGCTCATGTATATCAGTGGCACTCGCGCGCACAAATGCCGCTGCGCACGTACTGCGTCCAGAGTGAGAGCGCCGCGTCCCTGCCTTCGCCCACCGGCACTTTATGTGCCCATCATTGCCGGTGTCGGCGCTCACACCGACACCTGCAACATCCATCTGATATGCCTCGTAAGCCCATTCAAGGCAGGGCAGGAGCCATGTCAACGCGATGGGCAACTCGGAGTTGGTGATATGAGCGGGGCGCCGCCTCGAACATTGACAATGACGGCGGTTCGAGTCCACTTCAATGACGCGAGCGGGCCTTGGAGTGGGCTTTACATTCACGAGCTGCCATTGATGTCCGTGGCGCCTGCAAGTCATCCATCGGGGAGAAGCCTCAGTAGCATGAGAGCCGCCTATCAACGCACGAGAGAATTCCGCGCGCGTATCGGAACGACGGAAGAAACAAAGCCAGGCTACCATATGCAGCCTCGGATCGATGGCGGCTGGCGGAGGTACGACGATCATCCACCTGAATCTGCCATCCGCAAGGAGATGAAGGGCATGCGAGTCTGAGACGTATAAACTGTTGCATCCGGGAGAGCATCACTTCCGTTCCTCTCTAAGGCCCTGTTCGACCTCGCGTTAGGCACCTACGTTAGGCAGTGCGGTAGGATGTGAACTCTGTTAGGCCACCGGCAAACTTCCGGCAACCGAGACCCGGACTTCCAGCGTCACACACCGTGACCCTCGCCGCGCCGCCTCCCGCCCCGTCCCCGACAGGGTGCCTTTGAGCTCGACACAGACGGCGATGACCTTGCGCTCGTAAACGATCAAACATCCTCGTTGTAGGGATGATAGTCTGTGCACTGCTAATCATGTTTGAAGTAGAGAGTTACAGAGACAGAGCTAAGAAGATGCACTAAGCACTGCGCCTCGACGACGTATGGATCGCGCGCCATGTTGTGCGGGATAGTACGCACGACGTCGGAGCGTCGTGGGTACCGTGTCGGATGGCGTCGAAGATCCGGAAGATCTGTGGGCGTTACCCGGGCGTTACGCCCGCATATGGTGGGCTGTCCCACGAAAATGCCTAACGAGCTTCCCATCCTAACGCACTGCCTAACGTAGGTGCCTAACGCGAGGTCGAACAGGGCCTAAGCTTGGGTCTAGCATCTGTAGCATGTTGCGATGCAGGAAACGGATTGTATCGCACGCGGCCTTGTTCGGCGAATCGCCATCGTGCAGTTACTCTCAGTCCGCGACAACAAAGCGAGGCCACTGTTCTTCGACATGAACAGTACTCATGCAGCTGTCAGGAGGTTGACACGCAGCGGCGTTGCCTTTGCTGCAGACAAGAGTCATGAAAGGCTTGTGGTGGCATGTTGGAGCGAGAGTCGAGCGAAGGTCCGACCGAGAGCGAGGCTGGCGTGCGAAGACTAGAAATATAAAACCGGGCTGCAAGAAACTTCCGGCCCCCGCCCTTGTTGTGCTCCTTGACCTCGCCCAGCTCTTCCAGCTGCCGCCTACCGCCAGTGCCACATATCTATGACCGACGAAGACTCTAGTGAACCGAGTATATCAAAGTTGATTTTCCTCGCGCCGCTTGCAAACCTCCTTGTCGACACGGACCGACCCCCTTAGAGCTCGCCGGTTACACCGCTCTCCTCGCTCTCGGAAAAAAATCTATTGTTATCATCTCTCTCGCCTTCTATGGGATAAGCCTGCTCTTCTTCATCTAGAGGTTGTCACAATATTCGATACCCCCGCACGCTCTCGCCCGCACATTATGATGCACGCTCTCCGCCCGTCCTCCATTTTTCGCCCGTCTTCCCGCCCGTCCTCGCCAGTGCCAGGTGGCACATCAGCCCGCTCAGAGAGTGCGCCACCTGTAGACCGTGCGCGGCCGATGACAAAGCTATCGTCCCTCACATTCTCCCGCCGGCCTTCACCATCGCCGGCGGTCTCCGCGACACCCGCACCAGCTATCGTTCAGGATGGATCATACCTCGAAGTGCTCTCGCTCAAGCTCAGCGAGATGGTCTCCAAGAGTCTTATGGCTCCAACCGTGCCTGCCGCAACTGGCAGCAGTGACATCCTGAATGGTCGGCGTCCCATCCCAGCCGGCCGTGGCCGCGCTCTTGGCGCTCTCATTGAGACGTACGCTACGTTCTTGTGTCCATTCGTCGGCCGGAACTAATGCAAGAATGGTCTGTTTGTTCAGTGAGATCAACGCCTCGAAGGAGAACCCACATCTCCGCAAGGCAGTTCTACGCACGCTTCAGCGTCCGCTTTCGACATGCCTTACAACACTCTCCTCACACCTCCTCCCGCTTCTTTCATCCCCGACCTTCTCAGCGTCAATCTCGATCTCATCGGCTCCAGGAGCCTCACCATTCAATGCCACGCAGATCCACGCACTATCACTTGCTACCTTCGCCGGCGAGCTCCTCGAGGCCTTCGATCGTATCGGCCTCGGACACGACGATGGTCTGCGTTCAGTGCGCGAGAACCTCGCGTCTGTACTGTCACGCGTCATGAACCCACTTGTGGCATCGATTAGGAACGACATCCTGCCCCTAATTGTCGCAGTGGAGGAGACGCCCGCCCCAGCCGCTCCGTCCCCGTCCACCAAAACGCCCTCGCGTGTTCTGCACCCGAGCATCGCGGCACTGCAAACTTCGATGCCGTCTTACACGCGTGCACTCGTGCGTTTATTCAGCATTCCCACGACTGACGGGACGCTGGCAACGCTCGACATAGCGCTTGTATGGCGGGCACTGGTGGCGCTTGCCCACCGTCAGCCCCCGGAGAGCTCACCGCCGGGTTCGCCTCAGCCTCTTGGCCTCGTACCCACAGTTTCACGCAAGCGCCGGAGCGTGACGCCGCCAAACACGCCACCTGCCGCCAAGTTCATCGCCAAGCTTCCCGGTCCTCTTTCGCGTCCGCCCTCACCGACCGTACCGAAGCTGTCTCCGCACGCGGTAGACGCCCGCGCATTGCTAGATATTCTTTCCACCCTGCCGCGGCCATCGCCGGACAGCCTCGCGCGCGATGCAGTGGATGATGCGTTCTCTGCACTCCGTGAGCTCGTAGGGCTTCTTGAGGCGGATCTTGGATCCATGCGTTCAGGCGATGCTTCGGCGCTCGCGCAGCAGTTGACCTCACGGACGGGGGAGACGCCCACGCTCGTAGCGCTTCCCGTCTTGATGCATGTACTGCGTCCAGGGAAGACTCGAAGCGTCGCGCGCATGCTCGGGCTTGAAGAAGCCGAATACCGTCGGGGATGTCTTGCCGGCTTTGGGCGTGCAGAGGAATGCGTGCCGAGTGTTGGCCGTCGTGCACTTGAAGTGTTGAAGCGCGAGGGCGGAGAGGACGCGCTTGTGATGTGGCTTGACGCCGAGGTGAAGGCCGCTGTTGATGATGCGAATGCGACGAGATGACTCGCCGGCTGTGCCGGAAAGAGCACCGTCTATAGTGGGCGTAGAGATCTATCATGGACTCGGTCGATTGGTGTATTCCTCCTCTTTATTGTGTTGGGCTCGTCGAGTTCAGTACACCTACTACCCACGGTATCGATATATACGTTGTTGGACTTGTTGGTCCGTAATACGCTGTGTGAACGCTTTCTGACTGCTCTTTGACGATGCTGTCTTGGGCTGCGGTCGTTATATTTAATATATGTTCCCCGCCCCATGTTCGTCCTTACACCGACGTAGTGCATCTCCCTATCCATATAACTTGTCTGCGTCTACAGATAATTAATCAGAGTCCATGCGCGTAGAGACGTTTACTTGGTTATCCACCAAGGCAAACTGGATGTCAAAGCTTGGGCTGGCAATCGGGCCGATCGTCGGTCGCGCGATTACACACCCTCCGCGCGCGCCGTCTCTTCTTCCGTACGCTCATCATCCAATTGCATACCATCACTCCTCCATGTACATGGCCTCAGCGAATTGAAACTTTATGCAAGCTCTGGAGAGTAGTCAATATTCATCAGAACCTGATGGCTGGCGCCATCGGCGACCTCCTGAGGCTACTCACGCAATTGTTTTGCCCCCAGCGCAAGCTCCCCATACCTACACGTTCGACTCTCTGCTATCCATCCAATTGTACCACGGATCTTTATTGTGAAATTCCGCTACAAGTATACTCACGTCTCTTCGACCATACCCGCTAGTTCTTGCTCTCGTCTTCTTGGTGCTGGTCACCGGCCTTCGTACCCTCATCATCTACTAGCACATCTCTAATCTAATACTTCTCAGTCATGGTTCAAGTCTCAGAGCGACCTCCTCCCTACTCGGTCGAGAATCCTTCCTTCCCACCTCCGATTCAGGGCGACTTTGGTCATAGAGCATGGGCCTTCCAGCGTGCGTTCGAGGGCGCCCGTGAGCTGGTCCGATATTCGGTTTGTGCGTGACATGACACCCGTCAACGACTTTACGCTGATGTGTCTTCTAGTGAACACCTTCAGGATATGGCAGGCGGACTGGTCATTTAAGGGCCAGCAGATCCCGAGGGAACACATTCAGCAAGCGTACATGAGCGCCCCGGAGGATCTGAGGATGGCGGTTGGTATGTGTATCCCCGCTTGCGTCCTGATTGATAGTGACCAAGGGTTCTCAGAGTGGCAGCTTCGATGGGACACCGCGGCTTGGATGACCACCGATTTTGGTCGTCGCTGTCATGAACATTTCCGGAAGGAGGATTCCGGCATGGAGCAACAGATCCTGACTATGGACGAATTCCTTAACGAGTACGACACTGCCGAGCCTGCTACGCAACAGGCTATCCGTGAGACCTTTCATCTTCTTTATTGTGACCTATCGGAACTGAATTACTGGCCAGTATTGACCTTCCCATCGTGGATGGAAACGAACCATGGCATCCAATGGCCTGTGCCCGATCGAAGCAATGTTGGTCAGGCGTATGAGGCGGCGACTTTGCCGCTGAAAGGCGCAGTATGTGAGTAACCTGGCTCTGCATGAAATTATCCAAGCAGAATGTCGCTCATATTCGTTTTGCTCTAGGCTTCATCCTCGAGATTTGCTTTGAGTTCATGCCACTGGACTCTGCGAGGGAGATTGACAGGGTTAAGACGCGCTATCGGCAGATGATCACGTCGCATCAGGTTGAAGCACGAGAATGGGATGCGAAAGGACAAGCCCTCGGCTTGTGGTAAACATTGCAATATACTGTATACTATGTCGCACGGAGATACCCGTAATGTATGTGCGTGATCAAACTCTCTCGACGTGCAAGCCTCCGCGGATCGATCGAAACACACTGCGAACCCTTTTCGGTAGGAGCTGACCACCACGACTCGCCGGTTTCCCATCGTGCATATTTCTCGGCGTCCGAGCCTCCTTCAAGGTCATTCGCTCGGCAGGGGCATGTACAACCGACTCTGTACCTGCGCTCTCACTACTTTGCGCTTGCCCGAGGTTCTCTTCTCTATCAGGACGGCCATGTATGACGAAGTGACGCGCCACTAAACGAGACGATGAGGCTCAGTTCATGAACCATTGCGATTGAGTCAAGCTCACCATGAATCAGGGCGTTCTCTAGATCTTGTCTATCTTCAGGTATATCGCAGTGCTCGGATAAGTACGCGAGGGCAGTTTTACCGGCTTCCGTCTGAGGCATCAACCGGATGACAGTGGTGGACGGTCCTGACGCTTCGCGACTTTCGTTGGGGTGATTCGACACGATGTCTCTGTCTTGTACAGTATGGAAGGGCGCACTCGTTCGAGCCAGTCCTGAAGCGCCGGGTTGCGCCGCACCTGATCCTGACGGCGCGGCGCTGCCAGCGTGAGATGCGTCTTGAGGGGCAAGCTCGCTTGTCATCTCTGAGCGCATACTGTGTAAAGAGCGAGCAGAAGGACTGTTACGGGTCACGTTGTCATCCTCTTCCTGCCCAGCATCCTGGGATACTGTCGTCTCTTGGGCCGATCTCGCATCGGTGGCCGTATGGTCGGACGCTTCAGAGGGTGTGATGTTTCCGACCTGTGTGAGTAGAGGCTGTGGAGCAACTACAGCACTCCCTGATCCGATGAATGGTGCGTCGTCTCTCGGCATAAGAGGGTTGGATGGTCCCGGAGAGCCTGGTAGAGGTGCAACGCGATTCTGAGGCGTGAAGAGACCCTGCTCTTCAGCTGGATAGGATTCCACTGGTTGCTGCGCATAGAAGCCGTCGATGAAAGTCGTGAGGACTGCGCTCAGAAGCCGCAGACGGTCTTCAGAGCGGGGATCGTCAAGTAAATGGTGATCTTCGTACTGAAGAGCAGTCGTGGCCGCTTGTATCGCCAACAGCGAGATCTGAGCGATGGGCGAGTCAATTACCAATTCACAATTTTGAAGATCATGCCCACCGGAAGCGGTCCAAGATGCGCAGTTTCGTCATGCAATTCGTCGCCGTAAGAGGGCAGGGCCGCCAACCCAAGTTCTGGTGCGCGTGGCGAAGTTTCCATGATTCGAGGCGTTTGAAGTCGTGATGCTCGTAGGGGGTCGTTTGGTCCACCACCACGGATGCCACTGTGGATATAAGGCAGCCCAAAGAAGACAACGCCTAGAAATGCAGTGAAGAGTGAGTAGTCCCATTAGGAACAAAGCTTTCCCAGAAAGGAAGACAGATCCTTGTTCCAAAACTCCCTGGGAGAAACTATACATATCACGATGGAGCAGGCACACACCTGGGACACCGATTGCGCCGAGGCCACCCAGAAACGATGCTGTGTGTTCGTGTTGTTAGGGAAGTGTACTTGGTCGCCATGATACCATGGCGCTGTACAAACGACATGCCTGAAGCGATGCTCGCTCCTTCTCTTCTCTTGCGAACACTGATACGCTCACACACGAAACAAGACAGAATCGTGAACGAATGCATAAGATATAGGCATAATGATTAAATTTCGGATAGAAAGGGCACGATCCCAGGGCCTTCGCCCAGCGAAGGTGTGAGAGGAATGGCCTTGATGGGTGAGGCATCATGTATCGGCGGCCCCGGATTGAGATTGACATTCGCGCAGACGGTTGCGTCCGAGATTATGAGATTGGCATGATCTTTGAGAGTCGTCGAAAGACCTTGGTGCGCCAGCATGACGTCCTCGATTTGAGCATGCCGCTGAGAGAGCTGGCCGGCCGTGACGGTATGAAAGATTGTCGGCGCTGCTTCTATAAGCGTGTGTCAGTACTGTGATTGGACTGTGCCGCATAAACACGCACCGATGCTCTTCCTATACAATGATCGTCCACAGACAACATCTCCTCATACGAGTCCGCTGCCGCCCTCCGTGAATCTTCGTGGCATTTTAAATCGTCTGAATCTCGCAACCAAGAGACGCTATCCCAGCGTATGATATAATCTGCAGCCCGAGGTAAGTCTATAGTTTATTGAGATAGGTAAGTAAATCGCACCTACGGCCGCCCTCAGATCTCCAGGAGCGCGTGTATATACGGAGTGTAAAGCATCGCGAGGCGGATATGCGCCATTCAGCTCCCAATTCCAGATCTTGAACGTATGCACTAGATGCCAGATGGTCAGCGGGATGATCTCAGGCCATGAAGAGACTAGACGTACGAACAGCGAAACGCACGGGCTCCCGGGCCGCCTCAAATGCAAGCTGAAACGCCCGCGCAGCGGGAGAGGAGCTGTAATGCGCATGCGCCAGAGGATGTGTAAGAGTGGGAGGGAACATGGGGCTGCCATAGAGCCCAAGCCCGGGCGGTACTTTTATCGCGTTCCCAACGCGCACAACAGAGGACACGGCCGATGACCAGACAATAAACGACACAAGCGACTGCCTGGTCATAAGCTTAGAATTGGCACGTCTAGCCGCTGTGAGAGCGGACAGCCGGCGCACAGAGCTTTAGTGCGTAGACAATAGTGTGGTCGTAGTATGGAGAGCTAGTCTGGTCCCTCGACGCCGAGCCAACCTGGCTCAGCACAAGCTATGTTGGGTCGCCATTAAAGGTTTCATCGCATCACGGTATGCGCAATCAGACAAGGAGCGTTGAAGGTGTAGATGGATATTTCCCCCTCGGCCATGGTGGTGGGAAGGCAGATGTGACGCGACGCGCCAAGCGCGCGTCCCGGCGGTCGCGCCTCGCCTCGTATCTACCACCTCGCATGTAATCTAAACGTTCATCCTCGACGCCATGTCTGTTCCTAAACGTACAGCGGATGAAAGCCTAGAGAACGAGACTCCCACTAAACGTCCGAAGGAGAAACAACAGAGTGACCTGTTCAAGTTCTTCTCTTCGGATTCGGCAGCGGCGTCGAGCACCACACTGCCGACGCGCTATGTGCCTGGGCCATTCGTCCCCGTCTCTCTGCCCTTTCGACCGAAGCCGTATAAACCAGGAGAGATACCAATATCATCTCAGGCGAATGCGACCGGGGAGTTACCCTTCAATGAAGACCCTCCGAACCCGTTGATCACGCCCGAAATGCTGGCCCGAGCGCGTTTACCTCCGCCTGGTCCATTTGTACCAGCATCTCTGCCGTTCATTCCGGCACCCTCGTCCGCGGGAGTGTCCGCGAACTTGAAAGGGGTCATCAATAAGGCTCATTCCGAGGGTTCAACCCATAACCATATGCCCCCTCAAGCAGCAAGTGCCGCCAAGGCACCCACGCAAACTACGCTTCCCTTCCAACTTCAAGCGAAACCTGAAGATGAGGTTCGCGTGAAAACGGAGCTACAGGACGATTCCGCGTTGCTCTCATCATCAGCGCTAGAAACCGCTACACCTCTTGGGTCTTCGACAGCAGGTGCTACTGTCAAGGTTGAACCTGAAACTGAGCCTGCATTGCGTCCTCTCTCAGAACCTGCCGCGTCCACATCGACAGTGCTCGCCGCGCCGAAGACAGAGACGACCGAGGGCAACCTGGTAGACGCAGCGCATCGTCCTTTCTATGTGATAGCTGCTCATGCTGGTGCAGGTGTACACCCACCCGAACTCGACTCGACAACGAAAGCTACATTGCGAGCATCCTTGTCTTCGCCCCCACAGACGGACGCAATCTCTGCCGCATGCTCCGCACTCTCTGTGCTAGAAGCAGCGCCCCATCTGAATGCTGGCGTCGGGTCAAATCTCACCTTCGACGGACGCGTCGAATGTGATGCGTCTCTCATGTGCGGCGAAACGGGCTCATTCGGTGCTGTAGGAGCGCTAAGCGGCGTACCTCGACCTAGTGATGCCGCTCGAGCAGTTTTGGAATACAGCAAACAAGGCGATGTTCTCGGGAGAGTCCCTCCGGTGCTCCTGGTTGGCCCGGGTGCTCGTGATTTTGCCCTTGAACATGGGGTGAATGGGTGCGAAGACAACGCCATGATCGCTGAGGGGGCCAGGAGGGACTGGGAATACTGGAAGGGGCGTTGGGAGGAGACACGGAAGAGGGATTTGGAGGGTAAAGACGGGCAGGAGGTCAGAGACGCATTGGCTGTTCGACAAGATACAGTCGGAGCTGTTGCCCTTGGCTTTGGAGATTCTCCAACGCTGGCAGCGGGTGTATCTAGGTGTGTGCATGTCTTGTCCGGACATTGATATGCCGTCTAACCTCCATTTCTAGCGGTGGATTGCTTCTTAAGTCTCCCGGGCGTGTTGGCGAGGCTGCGGTTTACGGCGCGGGAACATGGGCAGACGCACGGGTTGCGATCAGTGTATCCGGTCAAGGCGAACTGATCATCAAGAGCATGATGGCAAGGACCATCGCTGAGGCCGTCGAGGACGCCGGAGAAGATATGGACATACTTGACATCCTGCAAAAAGTCATCGTAGATGGGTTCTATAGTATGTCGCGCTCTCTTGCCAGGGTTCGTTGGAGTATGCTGATCGTTTCTTTCAGAGAAGTGGAAGACACGTGGAGAAATACGGCCGGATATTGGTGTCTTGTTGCTACATAAGGATTGTGGGGAATACGGGCGACCGATGGGTCACTTGTACTGCGCCTTCACCGCCCCTTCCATGGCGATCGCATACGCTACTTCCGCGAATCCTAAAGCGAAGGCTTTCGTCTTGCGCAACAATATGAACGCGCACTCGCATAGCGACCATGAGAAACCACCATTCTACATCACCCAATTTCCAATCTAGATAGATATACTACACCCACTGCTGGGATTCATTCATCCGTCTGTACCTGCTTTCGATCTTGCTCTTAGCCCTTACTCGCGTGTCGTAGATACATACCGTTCATGCTTTGCTCTTCATACTACCCATTGACACGCTTCTGGCTCATAGTGACATAGTCAAGACCTCTTGAGTGTGTGTGCACAACGCGATTAAAGCCGATAGGTTCTGACGTCGACCTATCAAGGCGCGTTGCGGGCACGGGCTTGAAGTATTGAATGACCGGGCCGGGTCCGCCGACCTCACGGTAAGGCGCTACAGCGTCCCGGCGCCTCCCACCTCCTGCCACCACTTGCGCGTCCCCCTTCCGGCGTTCAGCATGTCATCGCTCGCTCATATGCCCCTTCAGCTGTAGTGACCACACCGTGGCCTACAATAAGGCCATCATTGCCAACCATGATATTTGGTCCGAATTGCAGTACCAAGTCTTGCGCACGCGCCCCTCACCACCCTGCAACTCTATGACCCGTGTCAGAACGAGTGCTATGATACTGTATACGTTTTTGCTGGAGACATGCGTCACTTCAAGGTGAGCGCTACAGTATGCATCGACCCGTTATCCCGCATTCACCCGTTACGCCCTCCCTGTACTCTGCTCCCAAGTGCTCTAATACTGATACATTTCTCAGTACGACGTAGGATCGTCCCCAAAGGACTGCGTCTGCTGTGGTCATGGTGCTACTGGGGTCAAGGGTTACAGTTGCTGAAGCTTGAAGGGCGACGGAGCTGTACTATGATGTATGTCCTTTCGATGTTGGAGTTATGAAGGGTGCTGATTATGAATAGTAGAGGATACGCACTGTACTACGTCCTAATCCGAGTCACATATACACCGCGCTTATGGTCAACCCTTGACTATCGTCTTTCATAGGTCTTCAATCTTCAATGGTGCCCGAGAGTGTGCGGCCACAACTCACCGCGCTCGTCCTGACATGCTAGATGGATCTCGGCAACATGTTAACGAACTGAACATGAATCTATGTTCTTATTGACTATTGTCATTGGTAAATAGCTCCAATTACGTTCAAACTACTGAGTTCCGTGTTCACGTCTTCAGTTAATGCTTGCTTCCCGCGCTGCGAGTCGAGTTGTGGCACCTCATCTGGTTGCGTATTATGCAACATAAGCTGCAGAACAAGGTATTTCCCCCTATTGATGCTACATACCATCCGCCTAATGTCTTCCATCATAGGCATATGGGAGACTCTGTGGGACGACAAGCACTGCCAAACGAGGACAACAAGAACACCGCCATTCAGGTTAATACAGTCCCCCTGTGCGCCACCATCATTTCCACGTTGCCTATGAGCGTCGTCTCCAAGGCGTATTAACCCTTCACCGATCAATCTGAAGGGCGTCGCGACGTGTCGCAACCGACGGAAAATCGTGACAACCACAGTCAGGTTGACAATAAGTAGGGTTGGAGGACTGAACCACTTTACTTGCCTCCTACTCTCATCCCCATATCCCCGCCGAGATCGCCTTCGTACTTCTTAACTTCCTTACTTGCCTACCGTATCCTTATCTTGAAACCCACATTGTCCGCATCTGTTTGCCGGGCCACCGAAAGTCTCGTCCGATAGAGGCCATCAAATCCGCGGCAATCGCCGTTCTCGGGCCGCGTGGTGACTCTGGCTTGTCTGCATTGCGGGCCACCGACAGCAGCGACGCCAGCCCTCCCTCAACGATCCCCTCCTCCGATTTTTCTACTTTCTTTTCTACTCAAGCCGATTTTACGATTTTATGACCTTGGCCGCCACGAAAGCCTCATCGCGCCACCGTGTGCGCATCACCAACAAGACGCGCCTTCGCGTCACGCGGCAACCTCTCGATGATCTTCAGGAAACCCGCGACGACGAGGTGGTGAGGGCGGACGTGTCTACGGCCGGTGTGGACGTAGAGGACGCCAAGGTGAGCATATTTCTTGCCGCCGTCGCTCCCTGTCGCCCCGTGTTGGACGTGCCTCGAGGCGCGTTTTCATTGGCTGATGACGTGGGAGTTTCAATCCGCGGTTCGCTGACTAAGCTCTTTCCACCGCCTTTGTTTTACAGGAGCACCATCTCCAGGCTGTTCTCTCGGCCGCGCAGAAGCAGCAAGCCCAGGCCCCCTCAGCGGAGAGCTCCGTTAAATCAGCGCTCCCCGCTCCTGAGCTTGTAATTCCCGTACCCGACCATGCAGGCACCGTGGACAGTTATGAGCAGCATTACCCCGCAGATCGCTGGACGGACCCACATTCTTATGTCAAAGTCTCCAGCGTAGTCGAGGAGTGCATTGATGCGAATCTTAATGGCGGCTTCACCTACTACATGGACGAACAAGACCAGGAGTGGCTCGACGCCCAGAACAAGCTGGCCAGTACACTCCCGCTAACGCCCGTGAGCGCCGCTCCGCGTGCATCTCGACGCGGCAGCATGCGCGAGTCTGCCGAGCCGCCGCGAGCCTTTCCTGCATCTTACGACGAGTTTGAGCTTGTCATGGGCTTGCTAGAGCTCGTCACGGAGGAGAAGGCGCCGCTACTGCATCATGTGAGTGCTCTTGACACGACCGGCAAACTGAAATCTCATACATGTCTACAGGACCAGGTGTTCCCGCCATTCACCGATTATCTCGACGTCTTCGCTCACGAGCTGTCGGCCGAAATCTTTTCATCCTTCACGGTCCCTGTCTGGGTACCGCCTCCTGCACGCATGGCGTCGCTCGCATCCGCGATACATCCTTACTGGAAGGAGCGCCGTACTTGTCGCAGGGGGCAGCGCATTATCCCTACCTTAAATGTAAGCATCGTCAATATATGGATGATCGACCCACCAGTACTGACCTTACACCAGTATGATGAGTCAGACGTCAAGAACGAATCTTACGTCTGCTTCAGGAGACGTGAGGTCAAGGCTGTCCGGAAAACGCGCCATTCGACTGCCAACGCAGTCGCAACGGAGCGTCTGCAGCGTCTCAAGGGCGAGCTCGAAATAGTCGCCCAGCTATCTCGCGCGTTATGTAAACGCGAGACCTTGAAGCTCGAGCAAAACCGCGCCAATCAAGACGTTTTCAATAGGCGAAAGAACCTTGTCGACCTCCTGCGCGCCGATCCCTCCCTTGCGGAGGCGAAGGATAACGATCTGTTTGTTGATAAGGATCCGACGCCTCGACCAAAGAAGGCTAAGGTCCAAGCCGCCGCGGAAGATGGCGCGGAGCCTCGTCGTCCTGGTCGACCGCCCAAGGTTCCTCGTAATGCAGCGCCTCCACCAACGCCTACTTCTGCAACGAAGCCTGACAGGGCGCCCGTACCCATGCATCCTCATGAGCGCTACAGGCTCGCCAAGTCGCTCGAGGATGAGCTGGAGAAGGACGCTCGGGACTCCGACATGGACGATGCCTTCGATGATGTTAGTGAAAACGTGAGAACTCCGAGGGAAGACAGATTGCTGACTTTACGCAGGACTCATCAAGGTCGATATACCGTCCCGCATCCGACCGCGCCTTCCAGTCCGTCCTCAGACCCTTGAACACAGATTTCCCCGGTCCGGATCGCGAGGAGGACCCTTTCCATTACCGGGCTGTGCGTACCCGACGCGGACGGGGTGGACTCAAGCGTGTCGATCGTCGCGCCTCGCCGCATCGGTATCGCCAGGCAAAAGAAGACGACAGTCTCTTCGTTATGCCACGACGCACTGCCTTCGCTGATCCGGACGCCGGGGAGAACGCTTTGGACGAGGACGCCGACGTGCTTCGCCGTCGGCGTGCCCAATGGTTGTTCGACAGTGATGAGCCCATTGACACGGAGCCTCGTGTTCTTGCTGACGACTACTCAACGAAGTACTTGGCACGGACCATGAGCCTCGTTACGGACCCTGATCGTCGCAAACTGTACGATTGCACAGTATCGTGGACGGACGGAGATGGCGTGACGCATAAGCTTGGACCTGTTGTGGACCCGATGTCAGAAGATATCTACACAAAGCAACGCGCAATAGAAGCCCACCTTCGTGCCAGACGTCGCGAACATATGGAGGCTCAACGTCGCGCGATGGCGCAGGCTCAAGCTCGGGCCCACGCTCAAGCGCAGGCTTCAGCCAAGGACATCAAAGCCGAAGCCTCCCCCGAACGGAAAGGCGCCGATTCGGCGTCCATGGATGTCGACGTGAAGGTCGAGCCCATGGCACCTCCGACACCCGTCTCCGCACCTCCATCCATCTCCACACCACGGCTTCCATCTGCGCTCTTCGCTGAGCGCTCCGGGACGCCGAACAGTGCCATGTCTGCAGCACACATGCACGGACGCAGCGCAATGCAAGCCTTCCACTCCCGTGGTGCGATTCACATGCCGTGCGTGCCTCCAAAGGGCTCGGCATCATCGCCCCCTCTCGATGTTGGCGGACAGGGCGGTCGGTTTGGCGCCGCGTACATCACCGCGAAGCCGGGCCCGCTGCCTTCTCCCCCGACCACCGCTCCGATTCCAAGCGAGGCCTCGCCTTGAATGCCACCTCGCGTCTGCTAGCGCGCAGTGCGCGCCATAGATCGCCCTCCCGATAAACTCTCGCCTCCCAACTCACTTCGTCGCCGCTCATTCCGCCACCTTTTCGTACCTCCTCGACCCCGCATCTTGCTGCCCGTCGTCGCTCGTCGCTCCTTAGCTTACTATTGCCCTTGCACCCGTACTCTGCTCCGTGTTTGTGTTGGATTTTCCTTGTGTGCTACTGCTGGTCGCCTGTTCTCATCAAGTCAACGGACTGGTCATCGCTCACCCATTTTTGTGTATCAAAGTAGTCATAGTCTGTCAGTCAGTAGTAGGCTTCGTTCGCTCAATACCTGCGGATGATATTATTCCCCCCTGTATTCATAGTTCTATACGTTAGATACAAATTGCTGTCGAGTTTCTTTCCCCGACTGGTCTTGGTAGAAGTCCTGTATTGCTCGCTATCGCAGGTTCGCAGCAATCGAGGGGCGATGTGTGCCCGGTGTGCTACCATTTCTTCGAGGTGTCGCGGAGCCGTTCGGTGTGCCGGGAGTCTTCTCAGGCGGAACTGATGCCCGTAAGCGCTGCAATGATGGGATAGGGAACTTTGTCCTGTTTCGCAACGTTACAGTTTGCCCGATGAGGGAATACGGCGATACGTACTTGCACGTGGAACATATAGGTGTTGGCCTGCAGAATACTGTGGGGCATAAGGAGGCAAACACGCAATACGTTCGGGAGACGTACTGGAGAGGCATACGGAGCATATGAAAGCAATCTCCACTATTGTCTTGTGACAGAAGCATGCTGCACGGAAGTCAACTTTATCTTGTTTGGGTACCGCGATATATTGGCGCATAGATGGGGGTGGCAGGAAGGACATCTGTGGCACTTGTCAGCATCGTGTGACACGCTTAGACACCAGAAAGCGTACAATGAGGTACTGTAGGAGCGCGTTGCGGTGTTCAAGATAGATATAGGAGCCACCGGTCAAGTGTGCGACTTGCTGCAAGAAGACCGTGTCGGGTCCGAGGACCTTGCAAACATCGATCACTACTTTCTGGTCAGACATACGCGTCAATGTAGATTCAACTGCGGATATGTGATGCGGCCACTGACCATCTTCTGAGCAGAGAAAATGGAGTTCATGACCGGGATATAGGATGCGGAGAGATCGGGTGAAACAGACAGGATGAGTATGCGCGGCTCTGGAAGACTATCCGGGTCCTCGGGATTCGTTCCAGGTTTGTCTGCGTGCTGAGATATTCGATTGATGTCTGTCGCTTCAAGTCAGTATCTGAAGTTCAGTTGTGAATTGCCAAGGAATCGTACGACATAATGCTTTTGTGAGCGCCCCGACAAGCGCGACAGGTGCTTCAAGCCGTTCAGCTATGGAGCCGAACACAGCCTAGCGAAGACGCGCACGCTCATTATCATCCATATCGTATCCTTCCAATTCTCGCTCAATCCCTCGTGCGATGACCGAGTCCACAAGCTTGAACGGTCGGTATGAGTTGGGATCTCCCGGAACGTCCGTGTCCGTTCCAAGCGCGGCCTCACTCGAGTGAAGTAATACGCTAGTTGTAATGGTCAACTACAGCTATCATGGATGCATGCGTAAGCGCACCTCTTTCCCGGAAACGCGCCAAACACAGAGAGGGTGTTTTCCGGCTTGGAAGCCACATGCGAGTTGACGAATGTCAGAACGTGCGAGAGGAAGGTTGAGAGCGTGAGTGGCGTCTGGTTGCCAGGAGGCTCGCCCGAAAGGTGCCATTGTGAAGCAGACAGGTCCAGGATGAGTGATAGGTGTGAGGCGCGATCCATGCTGGTCGTGGTGCGAAGTTAAGAACAACTAAGCCCAAAGTTGCTCTGTGAATGGCGTAGAACGCGGTCTCGTGATAAACGCGTCCACAGGCACGACGAAAGGGCGTCCAGGAACGCCGCGATCGTGGCGCGGTGATGCGATGGTCTCGACTTCTGAGAGGCGCAACTGGATTCCTCGGAGCAACGATTGGAAGACCAAATACTTGGGTTGCTTCGGAGCGAATCAGCAGCTTCAACGGCGGCTTGAGACTATGATAGCCTGAGTGAAGGTCCACATGATAACTTCTACACAAGGCCGTTGATAACATCTATTCACACAAGACTACAGAGGTATTCTAGCGGAAGCCGGTGACTTAGTTCCCGTCAATATCTCCATCCAGCTCCGGACCACCTCTAATCTGCTCTTCATGTATGCTCTTACAACCAACGCTCGACAGAATCTTCGCCGGGCCCTCCTTGATAACAGCATCCATCTCCTCTTCGCACTTGACAAGCAGCATTCCAGCAAATCCAAGCGCATTCACGGATATCTCCTCGCCCGTGGCCGAGATGACCGCGTTCTCCTTCGAACGAGGGACGAGGATGAGATGTCGGCGCGTGAGAACGACGTTATACGATGGCGTTCCAAGCGGGTGGTCTGGCGAAGCACGGATGGTCGAGATGACCAGGTCAAGTAACGCAACATATGCGCCTGTCAAGACGCGGTCGATTGCATCGTGCGAGGCCTTCGGAGAGAGATCAAATCGCCGGATGTGGTGTGCGAAAGGTAGACTGGGTAGCGCAAAAGCCTTGTCTATGAACTATCATCAGCTCAGGCGCTGTAAGTGAGCATGAAGAATGTAGCGCACCCTCTTTGTCGATATCATGCGTGTTCGCGAGCTCCTCGATCGGAGGGCCGTCCTCATCAGCGGGAATGAACTGAAGATGCTTGTGCGCCTGACTGGCACCGCTATCTTGTCCGCCTGGATGTTTCACACGTCAACAATAGCCGCCGCTCATCAACGATGAGAAGACCAACAGTTGTAAAAGGCGAAGTAGTTATGCCCGGCCTTGTTGGCGGCCAACAACAGCGCGTACGCCTGAACTAGATCCGACGGGTTAAGCGGTGCATTCTGGCTCTGGAAGTCTATGCAGTGCTCGGCGTTAGATCGCCAGACCATCAAGCGGGGTAGATCGTTGTGGCTTGCCTTTTGTGCATAACAGGAAGTGATGCGGAATGACAGAGTACTTGTTCAACTAAAGACGGGGTACGCTGCATCAGGATTGATTTCAGGAGGTGATTGTGGAGAAAGTACGCACCAATACGACATACTCGTCTCCTTCGACCTCGTCCGTGAGATCACTAACGTGGAGCTTCTCGACGTATGGCGGCGCAAAAGGGTCCTTCTTCTTCTCGTCTGCTGCAGACGCATCTGACGAAGGCTTGGGCTTGTGCAGAAGCGCGGGGCAGAGTGTCAGGCGGAACTGTTGGAAGGGTACACCCGCATCACATCGCGAAGGCGAGGCGTGAACGAGTACAGAAAGATCAGCGGCGAGCGCTTGAGCATGGAGGCACGAGATGGGCGCGCACGTTGAGGTCGCAGTCACGGTGATGGCGGATCTGAGAGTCGAAGAAGAGCAGATCGCCCGACGCTTTCGCGGCGTCAAACGCGGCCGGGATGGCGTTGATGATGGCGGTGTGCGCTGGAGTGCTCATCCTTCTCTGTATCGCAGACCGAGCTAGTGCTCTTGTGTAGTTGCGAAGCAGAGGAATCCTGGTTGCGTATCTGGTCAGAGTACGGCGAGCGCGATTCAGAGCGTGGGCGTCGGGATCAAGGTCATCTCGAGGCTTGTGAGGAGATGATGCTGGCAAATGTTGTGTTGGTCAAAGTGCGATGGTATGGTGACATTCTATACAGACACCGCAGCTTGTAGACTTCCTCACTTCAAGCCTGGAGGAGCCACTCGAGTATCAACTAGCTAGCGCGTGCTACAGCTGAGAGCAGCTGAGAGCAGCGTGAGACTTGTTTTACAGCTGCATCGCTCTGTCGCGAACCACGATGACAGAGTTCGGCGCATCTTCACCAGCCTCCAAACGGCCTATCATACTCGAGGCATCTAGGCATTATCAGCTTGGTACTCGTACCTCTCGATTTTGAAAATTCACTGCGGCCCATGCAATGGCCTTACCTAATCCCGCACGCTACGTTACGCGCGCTCCGTACTTGGCCCAGGCCAAGTGCCCCACCATCTTGACTTAAGTCACAGTGGGACCCTCCTGCACCGTTGACTGTGGGGATTCCCTTGTCATGTGCCGTGCTTCACAGGCCGTGGCTGTTCAATTCTCCGCTCGTAAGCTAGCTGGTTCCACAAGTTGCGCACAGCGACGAGCATTCCATTCCAATCAGCACTCCTACTGTCCATGCGCAAACCTCATGCCCGAAGCCTTTTACAGGCAGTTGGTGTCGTAAAATCACAGTGGCAGACCACGGCCATGGGAGCGCGCCATCATCGTCGGATACACACTTGCCCCGAACATGCATGTCTGTGACGCTATCAACACAGTATCGGCTGAAGGGCAACCATGAATTCATCGATGCTATCTGGATAAGGATGCTTCCATGACATTTAAAGCATCCCGAGGCGACCCTCACGCATAGACGCTGTACTCCTTCGTCCATCCATCTTTCGAGGTTGTCCTGTGGCCTGATCCCTTCCATAATGACCGCCAACATCTCGCCTTCGGCTGCCGCATACCAGCCGCCAAAGCCGACAGCCCTCGACCATCCGCTTATGCCCACCGTAAGATCGGTGGCGACGCCTGCAGCACGGCCGGCTGCTGAAAGCCGATCGAATACTTCTGCTGTGAAAGTGACCATGCCGAAGTACTGGCATAATGACTATCCAAGCGTCTGGGCTCCATTACGGCCTACTCTTCGCATCACGTTCAGAACGCTATGCTTGTTCGCCCTCGGACAAACTACTCTGGAGCATAGGTGGAGAGTATTGACCGCCAGGAGCGGAGACGAGTATAAAGACGATGTTGCTCGGATTACGAGCATGCTCACTGCCCTCAATGTCATCGTCAGTTCCATATGGCACTATGCAGATGTTGTGCGGCACATTGATCACACTGTAGTCTGGCTTCCTCTTGACAGGTACCGCCGCGCTCATCACGACAGAGCCTCCTAGGACGGATATCTTAGATTACACAAGACGCGTTCCGGCAATCTGCTTCATCCTGTCCTTCTCTATTGCCCTCTGCGGTATCATATACGCTTGCGCCGCTCTGGCTATCCTCTCGGCAGCCACGCGGAAGTGGCAGCTCGAGGTATACATGTCTCTCCTCTGATGATGCGCCTGGAGAATCAGACTGTCTGACTGGTCACAGGTAACAATGGCGACCAGAGGAAGGATCTGGATGACCCTTCTATTGCTTTCACTGCCATTCATCGCCATCTCGATAAGTCTCGGCATGGCCGGTTTGGGTCGGTCCATGCATGCATGGTATGAGGTTGGCTATGCTGATAAACACCGTCTTAGGCTTGCTCGTCGCCGCTTGGAGCTCAAAAGACACTGCCATGCACGTGGTGACCGGTATCATCATGGGTGTCGGAACTGTCTTGACTGTGGTATTCTTCGCGGCTATTGCTGGAACGCGACGAAAAGGTCTTGCCGCAAAGTATCAGCAACTCTCCGCAGGCGAAGGCGCATAACGCTTACAGATCGAGCTTTGCTGTTGGAATGTAGAGTGCACTTCTCCCTGATAACCGTATGCTGGCACGCACGTTTACCGAGCCACCGCCTTACAGCAAACATTCTTCATCATCCTACTGGTAGAGAAGTCATCGACACGATAGCATTGTAGAAAAGCAAGAAAAGCAAGGTCGTGAAAGTACAAGAAACTATACATGTCGATGATCATGACGGCGCGCCTATGTACGACGCGCGTGTCGGGTATACGAAACGAACAAGCACTGAGGGAAAAGAGAGTTGTCCGAGACGCAGGATGGCCGCTGACGCCTCCAAGTCCTTGGCTAAGAGTGAAAACAGAATGCGCTTAGGAAATGCTTTGCTGGTAGAGGAGGAATGAGAAGAGGTGGGGTGCGTAAAATGAAGGGGGTCGCAGAGAGGGCCCGAACCGGCGAACCCTCTCGCGAGAGTAAAGACCGGATGGTATAAAGCAAGCGCCAGGCCCGCGCGCCTCCTCGCTTCCGCACGAAGCGGGGGGCGGGGGCGAGATCAAGCCTTCCCACCACGTCCCTTGTTGTCCTTGGCTTCCTTCATGACTTCCCCGAGCATCATGGCCCGACCCCAACAGAATGCTGCTGCGAGTGACCAGATTGCACCGTTGGTACCCTGCAAAGCGGTTCGATGATCAGCGCCTGTAATGTCAAACGGATCAGGAAAGGCGGTGCAACGTACTTGGTACCATACAATGGCCATCACCGCCTGCGCCAACAGCGCGATGACGCGCACGATGAAGCTACGGTGGATGGACTTGCCCTTGAACCACGGAACAGGATACTCGAACGCGAGGAGACACGCGGCGAGGATGAAGTTCAACATGGGAATAATGGGCGCTTTGACGATAAGGACCGTGAAGAATCCGTCGTGGTTGGCCGGCCTGGTAACGATCAGTGAGCGGCTATTCTAAGCGCCGCGGTGAAACCGACGTACTGGACACCACCTGGGTTGCGGAGGGTGCCGCTCACAAAGTCCCAGAAGAACTTGCGGTAGACGAATGCCCAGACGGCAGCCCAGAGCGTGTCTGGTGGTAATGTCAGGATTTATTCGTGGGTAAAAGTCAATGATGCCACGACGTACAAGCAGACGCGCTGATGGTGACGAGGCGCGCGTATTCGTGCCAGACAAGCTTGCCCATTGTGTATTATACGGTGAAAGTGGTTGCTCGGGGGAGAAAGGGTTGGAAAGAGTCGAAGGAATAATCGGGGGACGATTGACTAGGTGGGAGCCCTGCTCGAACCGAGGAAAGACGAGGATGCGTAGAGAAATTCGAAAAGGATGGAAGAGACCTGCTCAACCAGAAAGCGCGCAGAGTGTTACAAGCGAAGGAAAGGAGGGGACCTCGAGGGTTTCAACACCGCACAGCGGGTGAGTATAAGAAGCAAGGAGCGAGATGAGGCTGTGGTCCCACGCACGTCGCGTCAAGTACAAATCGCACAGCCAATGATCATCACGCAGTGTTCCCGCCCTGGAGACGCGCGCCCGAGGCCTGCCCCGACTTGTTCATCTGTCGAGAGTGTTTGCTCATCATCACTGCGTCTTTCACTGCATGCCACAGGCTATTTACATACAGTCTCCCGTAAATACACGACATACATTCCCTCACATAGCTACGCCCCTACGAGAACTGTTCACTTCCGGTGGCCCGAGCAAGGCGTCCGTAGACGAGGACGAAGAGACCGACGACGCAGAGTCCGTGGGATTGTGACCCGGGGGCTTGTAGGGGCCGTACGGTGATGGAATCGGTGATTGACGCGCGCGTCCGGCGCCGTTCTTGGGAGCGTGGTACGACCACGAGCTCGACATGGTGCGCATACTCTCCGTGTCCTTCTCCGGGTCGCGGAATGGGTTGGGGATCGGGTCCGGGTCCTCGAACGGATTCTCGGGGAGCGGCGGCATAGGTTCCATGGCTTTCTCAAGCACTTTGCGCGAAATCGTGGGCTTGCCGAACGCACCCGTCGCGTCGCTGCGAGGGCGTTGCACGAAACTCCTCGGGCTCATGGGCGGTTCCGGCATCTTTTCGTGGTCCCCACGCTTGACACGCCGCCGCCAGATCCAGTATACGAACGCCAGACAGCAGATAATGAAGAAGCCAATTGAACCGGCTATAGCACCGATGAGTTGATCGAAGTGTTTGGGCGAAGGTGGCGTAGAAGATGGAGAGCTATTGCTGCTGTTTGTATTGGTAGTTCCGGGTGTCGAGGTTGGTTCCGTCAACAGAGTACCGGTGGCCGTGGGCTGCTCCGTTTGCTGCGTGCCCAGACTACGGAGTTCTCGTAGGTATCATGCACAATCACAAATGTATATTTAGCACGTACGGGTTGAGGTTGGCCTGGTTAACGCCGGCGAGCGAGCTGAAGACGTTGACATTGGTTACGCCGATATATTTCCCGGTATCATTCGCCAGTCCGGGGTTCGCGGTGAGGATCAGGGAATGATTTCCAGGGCCGAGATTGTTTGAGAAATACTGAAAAATGGGTCAGGGTCGGGCCGATCATACATATAAGCAATATATTCACAAGCAGAGACTAGTGCAGTGTCAGGGACGATATCATGATACGCATGCAAGAGGACACACCTCTTCATGTGCAAAAGACTTCTCCATGTTCGCTGACGCGCTCATAGCCTGGACATTGCCGTCGACTTCTACGGTGTAGTTCCCGTAGGCAACCGACGTAGCACCCATGATCGCAATAGCGTCTCCAGAGAAGTTGCATGACAGCTGTGCGCCACCGACATCGGTGAAGACAAGGACAGAACTATTAGTCCAAGCACCGTTGTACGCGAGCCCATCGGTTTCGGCGCCCATGGTCTTGGTGAAGAGGGTATCGCTGCGAACATCTCAGCCTCAATAGATCCCCGCGCTCATAGCGAAGTACGCACCCTTCCTGGCCGACCATTGACTCGAAAATAATCTGGTCTAGGTCGATCGGCCCAGAACCGGCGTTGACAAGCATGATCGTATGCTCTCCATAGTCCAGCCCGCCTGCACCTCCAAGTAGAACGCCAAATGTATCATTGTCAGCCGCAGCGCTGGCCGTGACAGCCTGATTCCCATCCACGATGACGTTGTACTGTCCATATCCAGGACGGTTTGCGCCGTAGAGCCATGCACCGGTACCAGTAAACGTCAACGAGGCCGTCGCCTCCGGCGCGCCTGCAACATGCCACGACGACATGCTGTATGACTGCGCGTAAACGGGGACCTCAGTCAGTGTGGGATGAGATGGGATTGGGATGGACCACGCACGGCGGAGAGGGCATCGGCGGGGCTATCTTGCCAGGCGCCAGGCGGGCTGTATGTCAAGAGGGGAGTACTATCCTGAGCTATTGATGGATGACGGTCAGCATCTGGACACTGCGCGAACGTGTTGCTGCGACGCACTAGTGATGTTGAAGAATGCCATCTAGGCCGAGGGTTGTGAGAAAGAATGGTGGTAGAAATGACTGGGTAGAGTATGCCGATGTGGGTTTGCAAAGCAGAGCAGAGCGGTGGGCGCAGGCCGAGAGAGTAGCGAAAGGACAGCGGGGATCACAGCACCGCGAAGTGGGTATAAAGCAGAGTGTATACAAGGACGCTCAGTAAGCGAGAGCCCAAGGCGAGAGACCTATGAAGACGAAGACGAGCGCAACCCAGCCTGCGCAGCAGGAGCGCACTGTTTGAGGGAGAGCTCAGTGACGAGCGCGACGGACTTTGCTATAACTCAAAGCCGAGATGGGAAGAGGCTTAAGGAAAGCCGCACTCAGCATGCTCGGGCGCGGTACGGTCGAGTCGCTCCCGACGGCCGTCGTTAGCGCGGCCGGCGGCTCGGCGTGGATACGGTCAAAAAGCATGTCAAAAAGATGGCTCGAGATGTTGCGTAGTTGTTGATTGCCAGGCACTTGGTATTACTGGTTCGCGATGCTTGGAAGCGTGAACCCTAGTGGGAATAGCGAGGCTTCTCCTTCGGGAGGACGAGGGCAAGAGAAGAGGTGCGTGTGATGCACGTTGTCAACCAAGACCGCCGACACAACGGAGCCGCAGGCTCACGCTTCTGTTCTGTTGCTCAGCCAGCTTCACCGCTTGGCGGGACAAAGGCAGGTATAGTCTCGGCTTTCAAGCAAACGTTACTATTCGTACAAGATACATCAAGCGTAAACTGTCTATGGTAGACTTATGCAACGACCTTTTCTCGGTACTCCACTGAGCCCTTCTCGTCCGAGACGCCTGGACTTCTCTTGCCGTCCACAACACCTTCCTCGACTACGGGACCGACAGGCCACATGGAACGCGTGATGCCGCGGTTGACGGCGAGCTCGTCGACGTTGCGCCAGTAGAACCCGGTAGGACTCCTGACGGCTTGTGTAATGGTGATCCCGATGGCATATATTGACATCGCGGCGTAGCCTGCCAACGGCACCTGCAAGGTAGTATGAGACGCCTGAACGGAGAGACAATGCGTCCCACGTACGAGGTATGAACGTGCGGTGCTAATACCGTCTGCGACAGAGGCCTGCGCGGGCGGGTACCAAGCTCCTCCTCCGACACCCATGACAATGAGACCGGATCCGCGCTTCGTGTGCACCCCGAGGTTCTTCGTAGCAAGCGTGAAGATCGTCGGATAGCAGATACTCTCGAAGAAGAAGAGTAGGTAGAGGGTACCAACACCTCCCCAGCCCGGTACGACGGCGACGCAGATGCTCCAAACGCAACACATGATGCCGTAGAACGAAAGCAGGAGGGCGGGATCGATCCATTTGAGCAAGACGACACCGACAAAGCGACCGACGGTGAAATCGAGTTGGCTGGCATCTAGTATCAGCACCGCCGGGGTATGTGCGTAGAGTGAAGAACACGCACCAGAAAGAATACATCAAACTCGCTGTGGATTGACTGATCCCGACACCCTGCTCCGAGAGATAGTTCACCGCCAACGATGCTACGCCCACTTGCGCTCCTACGTAGGCTGTTTGGGCAACGAAGCCGAAGACGCAGCGATATTGCTTCCAGAATGATTCTTCGGCCTTTGGCGTTACACCGTTCTCTTCCAACTCATGCTCCAAGGCCTCCTCTGTAATTTCAGGGAGGTAGCAGAAGCTGTATGCGCGTCAGATGGATCATGAAAGATTCGGAACGGAAGCCGAAAGGGGCATACAAGAAAAGGATATTGAGAATGAGTCCTAGACCGGCGACGGCAAGGTACACCCTGGAATACGGTGTGAACATCGGCACACATGAATGGCAATGAGCACGCGCACCATTGTACAGTGTCCAATGACGTCGCGTTTGCGCCGCGGAAGAAGTACTTCGATGCGATGAGGGGGCCAGCAAAAGATGCCAGACCCTGGAACGCCTGGCTAAAGTTCAAGCGCATGGCAGCATATTGCGGCGTGCCGAGAACCGCGATGTACGAGTTGGCGGCCACCTCGAGACAAGATAGGCCACAGCCGATGACGAAGGTGCAACCCACGAATCCGCCATACTTCTTGTAGACCGCGGATGGCCAAAAGAAGATAGCGCCGAGGGAGTAGAGCGTCAGGCCAAGGTGAATGCCTTTCTTGTATCCGAAGTGTTTCATGAATACACCGGCGATTGGAGCGAAAACGAGGTAGGCGCCCTGAGGTCATCGTTTAAAAAATGGACGGCCAAGGGAGGCCGGCGGAGGGAACTCACAAAGTATGCCAGCTGCAAAAGCGTACTCTCTGTCCTGTTGACACCAAAGATCTTCTGGAAGTGGGCGTTAAGAACGTCAAGGAGCTGAAAAAGGCATCAGCTTGAATCTCCGCTATCGCGATATCGGATGGGCGTACACCATAGGCGAATCCCCCTAGATCACCCGCGTTACTTCAGTTCTACGAGCCAGTATAGATGACACAGGAATGACCCACAAGTGAAGAATAGAGACGTTACTAGCGCAAAGGAGTAGAGCCATCTTCCCCATGAGAGCTCGCTTCCTGGATGACTGGTGTGAGCAAAGAAACGAACCGACTTGAAAGAAAGTCACGCTCATACCTGTTGTCCCCGCTGGAGGTGCCATGATACAAGCCGGTGAGAGGAAAAGGCAGGCAAAGCCAATTCCGTGAACGGCATGCTGTCTGTTTTATATAGGCCAGCCCTTCACGCACTGATGCGTTTCGTCAATCGTTCAGAAGCGCTCGGTCGGTGGAGCTACAACGGTGGTTACATCTTGCTGTGGCGTGTCGGGAGAAGGTCAGACTTTGCCCGCGTGATATCCCGGGCCGTTCATCGGTGCGGAAAGACTGGGGTCGTCGACATTTCTGGTGTCGAGCCAAAGAGTAGGGCGATTCTAAGAAGCGCGGCTTACGTTCCGAGACTGCCGCGTTCGCATGCAGGCCACCCAGCTGACCTGTTACAATTCTAACACTTCCTGATCCTGCTAGCACCCCGTCTCATGTGGGCAGGTTTTGAGTAGATACAAAGTTCAGCAACGGCATAAATACAGATCCGCAGTTGCAGCCGGTGACGCCAAGGGACCAGGGGAGATGGGATATTTCGAGGAAGCAATCCAAGAGATGATGGCGAGAAGAAAGAACGAACGGTGATCAACACATTTCGGTCGGGTGCAACTCGGACGCGAGTGTTTATTCTGGCTCTGAATCACCATTGTTCAAAAATACAGGTATTGGAAGTCGCTAGAGACACTGTCTACTTCTACTATCTTACTAGTGTCTATCGCGATGACAATTTTTTTTTCAAAGCGCTTATCGGGCTACGGCACGTCGTAGCGGACGACGATCGCGCGTCCGGGTCCGTCGCATATTGTGCGCTGCGAAAGGCGGCTAAGCTCCAAGCTGCCGTAACATCGCGCACTGTCGTAGTCGCAAACTCGACTTTGACATGACAGCTTCAACGAAACAGGAAGCTCAGCAAGTAACATGTATGAATAGTGTCGCTGCCCGCTCTTCGTCCAACTGATCGGACCCTTCGGAGATTCCTGCGCGAGGCCCTTGCCTCTAAGCTCTATCCCCGATCCACCTCCTGTTGTACACACATCAGTCCAGTATAGCTCGTACATGATGAAGTCAGGCACCTCAACCGTGCCTGACACTTGTGTTGTGGTTCATTCTAGGTTGACGGTGCGCTGTCAAGGGATCCATAAGGACCCTCGGCTCGCAGGAACGATAACTCCGGCTCCAGTTACATGCCCAAGTGGGAGAGAGCTTAGCTTTCAACTTCTCCGGGTGTGAAGCCGTGATAGGGCGTCTGTGGCAACCATAAACCACGGCCGGGGCCCAGTGCGGTATTCATATTTTGTAACGATACTCGCAAAATTAAGTTCTTCGGCCGACGAATACGCCAATACGCCGCTTGTCTGAAGCACTAGCTTACTGGCAAATATGGAAATATTAACGTCTGAAGGACGCAAAGACAGTGGTGGTGGTGATTGAATATTGAATCGGTGATGATGGTATGAAGTCAACATCAGCCCCGGTCCCGCGCGGTGAACTGTGGCGAAGACGCCCCGTGGGGATGTGGGGTAATATTTAACGCACGGTCACCGGGTACCTTGTCGGCCGACGCAGGTTCTACATCGACCACCAGCATGAGTATGTTGCGCGCGTCGAGCCGAGCTCTTCCTTCTCGCTTGTCATCTGCGGCCATCTCCACCTCCGCACGCCCTATCTCAACCGCATCGCAGGGCCTCATCACTTCGACCCAACCTTCGACACAGCGCACCCCGGCTCGTCTTCCCCGCGGCGCATTCGGCCTATCTACTTCAGCTCGTGCCATGTCGTCCATCCACTACGGCGAGAGTGCTACCCGTCCCAAGCCGGACCAGGTCATCCAGGACATCGCAGACTATGTGCACGACTACAAGATTGACAGTGATCTCGCCTATGAGACTGCACGCCTCTGCCTCATCGACACTATTGGTTGCGGTCTCGAGGCTCTGCGTTTCCCGTCCTGCACGGCTCTCCTTGGACCTGTCGTAGAGGGTACCGTCGTCCCGAATGGTAAGCGCCCGCCCTTCACGAACTTGCCGATGGGGTGAACCGAAGTAATCACATGGCCGCGTACTTAAGCGCTTGAGATGAAAACCCCAGAAGCTGCGTTTCAGATATATCCAGTACGCTAACTCAATTCATAGGTACCAAGGTTCCCGGTACGAACTACCAACTTGACCCTATACGCGGCGCCTTCAACATTGGGACCATCATCCGTTGGCTGGACTTCAACGACTGTTGGCTTGCGGCGGAATGGGGTCACCCTTCGGACAATCTCGGCGCTATCCTCGCGGTCGCCGACCACCTGGCTCGCACTGGGCAGAATGTTACCGTTAAGGATGTCCTTGAGGGTATGATCAAAGCCCACGAGATCCAGGGCTGTCTTGCTCTCGAGAACTCGTTCAACCGCGTCGGCCTTGATCACGTCGTACTTGTGAAGGTCGCGAGCACTGCGGTTGTCTCCAAGATGCTGTATGTCACCTTCTGTCCCCAGGACAACACGGTACTGATACGACTCTCAGCGGCCTGAATCGTGAGCAGACTATCGATGCTATCTCGCAAGCATGGGTCGACGGACAATCCCTGCGCACCTACCGTCATGCACCAAACACCATGTCTCGCAAGTCATGGGCCGCGGGCGATGCATGCTCTCGTGCCGTGAACATTGCATACCTGGTCAAGAAGGGTGAGCGCGGCATGCCCTCCGTATTGACAGCCAAGACTTGGGGCTTCTACGACGTCCTCTTCAAGGGCAAGCCCTTCCAGTTCCAGCGCCCGTACGGCTCGTACGTAATGGAGAACGTTCTCTTTAAGATCTCCTACCCTGCCGAGTTCCACGCGCAAACGGCCGTCGAAGCTGCGCACATCGTGCACGAGAAGCTCCATGCGATGGGCAAGACGAGCGACGACATCAAGAGTGTGCGCATTCGCACACAGGAGGCCGCTATCCGCATCATCGACAAGCAAGGCCCGCTTGACAACTTCGCGGACCGCGACCACGCCATTCAGTACATGGTCGCGTACCCGCTTATCCATGGCGAGCTCACCTCCGAGTCGTACACCGACCAGAGTGCCTCGGACGCGCGTATTGACGCACTGCGCGAGAAGATCTACTGTGTTGAGGACAAGAACTTCTCCGTCGACTACCATGACCCGGAGAAGAGGAGCATCGGCAACGCGCTTCTCGTTGAGCTCAACGATGGCACGGTGCTCGATGAAGTCGAAGTGGAGTACCCCGTCGGCCACAAGCGCCGCAGGGAGGAGGGCAAGCCGCTCCTGCTCGCCAAGTTCCAGAGGCACATTGGTCACCACTTTGACGAGGGTCGTCGCGAGAAGTGCGTACGCTTACGACGTGCTATACTGACCTTTTTGACTGACGATACTTATCCTACCTAGGATTCTGTCTTCCGTTGCGGACCTGAAGTCGCTGTCAACTCTTCCCGCAGACAAGTTCACCGATCTCTTTGTGAAGGAGTGAATGGTAGTGAGAAAACGTATACAATAAAACAATGATATGATCAGTGCCAGCTAAGCAGTCGTGCCATCCGCCTTCATCTGCGCATTCAACTCGTTCAAGTGAATCGAAATGACGTGGAACGCTTCATCGATGAGCGGCTTCTCCTCATCGGGCACGCGTGCTTTGACCGTAGCACACTTGTCCGAATGCCATCGCTTGAACGCGTCCCATAACCGCTGCTTGTTGTCCTTCTTCTCTGAGTGCGCCTTGGAGAACAGGAAGTCGCGTATGGCACTCAAAGTGAGATCATCGGGATCGACAGGCGCGATGAGCACAGGCCATATGATGGTGTTGAAGGTGAGGCTCTCGGCGAGAGGAGCATCGTAGAGCGCCCAGCGGGAGAGGATGTTATGATCGCCGTTCCTTCGCTTCTCCCTTTCCCGCTCACGCTCCGCCCGCTCTTCCTGCTCCTTCTCGCGCTTCTCTCTCTCCTGGCGTGCACGAGCCTTCTCCTCTTGCGCCTCGCGTTGATTTCTCTCTTGCTGCTCTTTCCGTGCCTGATCATGTGCCTTCCTCGCCTCTTCCCGCAAGCGGGCATCTTCTGCCTCTTGACGCTGTCTCTCCGCTTCCATCTCCCGTTGACGCTCTTCCTCGGCCGTCTGTTGCGCGCGCATCTCACCATCTACCCAACGCTGTACGTGGTATATCGCGAAGTTGGCCCGCCTTGTTGCTTCCGCCACGTCGACTTTCATAGTATTGAGCATGCTATCTTGCCGTGACACCATCGCCTGTAGCGATACGATCGTCGACTGGGCGTGCTGTAGATGAGAGGTTGCTTTGTTTAGAGCTTCGGCCTGCTGTGCAGTTGTTGCTTCGGAGCGCGTCTGAAACTCGTTGTGCTGCGTCTCAAGGTCGTCGTATCGGACTTCAAGGTCATCATGTTCCGTCTGAAGGTTGTTGAGCTGCGATCGAAGGCCGTCATGCTGCGTCTTGAGTTCTGCGTGCTCGGATTTGAGTTTGTTGTGCTGTGTTCTGAGGTTGGTGTGAAGCGATTTGAGCTCAGAGTGGGCGCTCTCTATCGTTAACAGTCGAGCAAGTACGTCATCGAGACTATTACGGATGGACGCGGCCTCGTTCTGGGCGCGTAGACTTTCGTTATTGATTTCTATGACGGGATCAAATCAAAATCAGTATAGCGTTCACGATTCAGAGGCGGGAGACGCGTACCATTCCGCAACTTTTGCTGCGTAGCGTGTACTTCTGTTTTGGTAGAGAATTCGCCCTGCGTGCGTTGAATCTCGCAGACACCTTCAAGCATTCAATCAGTCCTCGCTATAGCGTATCACAGTCAACGAAGCTGGACGTACAGTTGTTCAGATTCCCAATATGACCGTCGTGTGCCTCCAAGCTCTGTTGTATGTGGCCATTCAGATCATTCAAGCGTTTCTCAAGGTTTTCCGTGGATGAACCGCGTAGGATTTCGATGCGAACGTTGACATGCTGAATGAGCCAGCGTTCAAGCATGTTGCGTTCTTCACTGATGGCTGAAAGAGATGGACCGAGGCTCTCGTTGACAATTCGTTGTATGGTGTTGATCATATCGTCACTTGGTCGGGCAGGGCTGTGGGATGCTTGCGGGCGAGGCGCTTCTTCGTTGTACGCTTGCGCGTGGGGTTTGCTAGACAGATTGATGGCGGGTGGCGTGCCTCCAGGGCGCGTTGTATCGTCGTCCGCTGTAGTGCGTGGGGATGAAGTACTCCTTTGGGTATTGATTTCTGGTGGGAGTGCCAGGGTCGGCGTAAACGTGAAGGCAAAGGTCTTGGGCATAGAAACCTGATGTAGCTGTGTAACGTCCATCGTAGTAAGGAGCAGAGAGTGAGATGGGGAGGTACGTAGGTTCTGTTCAGCTCTTATGAACTGAAAGGCTCGGAAACCACGTTGGCGATGTCAGCAACCGAGCCAATTTTCTTTGTCCCACACAATTATGGTTGTGGTTGGCCTTGACCTTCGTGTCCATGATCTAAGCGCTTCTTTACTGGGGATGACAAGATAGGCTAAATTCTGGGCTCGTTGAGAATACATGGGCACACTTACCCGCGGTGACGGTCCGGAAGAAGCCCGGTCATCAGCGCGTCGCCACGAGATGTGTCATCTTCCCACGGTATATAATGAACAGGCACTGGGCACGTATGCCATGCCATAGCTCAGAGCTCTGTAAGACGCCTCCTTGCGATTGCTCTCGACTCACAAATGGCTCGCGTGCGGGCGTTTTGTTCCGTCACACTTCGGGCAGCCAACGCGCCAGGACGCGTTGCGCAGCATAAGCACATGATCGCGTCGCGTGGGATAAGTCGCCACAAGCCAATTGCTCGCGTCGCCACCAGCGCGCGGCTGTCTCCTCTCTCCACCACCTCTTTCCTTATGGCACCCACAACACGTCTTAGATCTGCGGGAGATGCTACTCAAGGAAAGAAGCGCGCCGTGACATATGTTGAGGACGAAGGTTCGAGCGATGAGGGCGACAGTCAAGAGGAAGGTACGTGTGTCGCCTTCGACCCTATGAGTGCGCCTCCAACCGTATTTGCGACGGCTAACGCCTTCACAGCGCCTGAGAGAAAGCCGAGGAAAAGAGCTAGAACTCATAAGGGCGTGAAGTCGGTGACGAAGAAGCTCCCCGCCAGCACCACCCGAACCACCCGAACCAAGAAGCGCGGTCGTTTGAACGCACTGCCGGAGATGCCCTTGGATATCCTAGAAGAGGTTAGTTCTTATAGATGTATGTATCTAACTCCACTCAATGCGTCCAATTACATCAGATATTCTCTTTCTTGGATCCTGGAGACCTCATCCGTATTGCACGCACCACGAAGGCTTTCCGCCGTCTCCTACTTGCCGGCAATCAGTTCTCACACCTCTGGAGAGCATCGTGGTCTCGCATGGAAGGCTATCCAGAGTGCCCAGAGGACTTTCCGCTTCTCAAGTGGCTTCAGTTGCTCTTCGGTGGGCCCTACTGCCAGGTGCGTCTCTCAGACTCTCCCATGATGTCCACTCATTGACGCGAAACGACTCAGGTTTGCGCAGCCCCGTCTGTACAACGAATCCTCTTCAGAATTCGCGCCAGGATGTGCAAGAGCTGTATTCGTAACTCGTGAGTATACTCACCTGCGCATTTTATGTAGTGCGGTTGAAGCTGAAATACGATCAGCTTGACAGATGTTGGATCGACTTGGATCGAGACTATACAACCATTCATGCTCGGCTTGTACATCCCTGTTGTCCACGAAGGAAGAAGTAAGATCCATTCAGACTGTGCCGGAACTGGGTGTTGACGTCCACTTCATAGACGCATACGCGTATGAGCATGATTTGGAGAGACTGAAAACGACTGTGGCGACGGCTCTGGGAGAGACCGACGCTAGTAATCGTCGCGAGACTTGGGACACGATTCTGAGATCGCTTAGAGAGGCTTTTACCCCTTACATGAACGTGTGTCTCAACGCATGCATATCATCTATATGCGATAATGTCACTGATTATGCATTCAGCATCAACAGCAGTGTGAAATGTGGCAGATACGCATGATCGAGAACCGTAGAGACGACCTAGGGGAACGTCGGGCGTCTCGCCGCGAGAAGTATGTATCGCCTGATTGTGCATGTCGCAAGACTCACCAGTTTCTGGTTAGCATATTGAACCGCCTTTCAAATCTAGGATACGCCGAGTCTGATGCACGGGGTATCTGGAAGATGAAAGACGTCAATGTCGGGAAGCAACTCACTGATCGTGGTACGCCGACATGCCCAGACGCGCTTCTGCTTATCCCCTGATGCATTGCACGTAGCATGGAGTACGCTTCTCCCGACGTTGCTGCCCACCCTGGATGAGGCTCGACAACACCGCCTTGAACGCGAAGCTTGCACCCGTCGTAATCGGCGCGTGGCAGTCGCGCGGGATGAGTACGCGCAATTACTCAGGTCTGGCGCCGTGAAAGCACAAGACATCCCTTACTTCCCAAGCGCGAATGCGTGCATTCAATTTGGAACGCTTCCTTCCCTTATCGACGAAGACGAGGACGAGATCTCTGCCGAGTGGAAGCTGAAGCTTGAAGTCGCCCTCAAGGAGTCGCTGCCTCTTATGCACGACGCATTCGAGAAGCATCGCGTGGAGTTTGCATCTTTCATACAAGGATCTGGTGCTGAAGACATAGTTGATCCTGCCGCCATCCTCTCGCTGGCGACGTCTCTCTTCATAGTACCGGCGGAATACGGCGCGAGTGAGATTTCCTTCGGTCTCGAGGCGCTGGTGCGCTCAGGAAGGAAACTGTACTATCACACTGGGCCAGCGGAATCATACGCCGCGTCGAGGCTACCGCGCTTGGGAAAGTCACTTCCCCAGTCTGTGAACAAGGTGTTGGAAGAGATATTGCGCCTCCTAGGATTGGACGACACGGCCAAGATCGTCGAACTCGATGCTGCCGATGCCGCCTTTACGTGCCTGACGTGCAAGGTCACGCATGACGCCCACTACTGGTTTGATAACAGTCACGTCCCGGGACGCTGGCACGAACTGCGTTACCGACAAGCCATGAACTGGCGTGATGTCGTACGTGGTGTACTCTATGAAGAACATGGCTGTACTGACCGGTTCTACTCATAGATTGCACATGTATACCGTCATCACAAAGAGACTTCCGACGAAGTCCGGCTACATCTTCTGACGAATAGCGAACGAGCCGCTGTCGGCGCCCAAGGTACAGTCGTTGCGCGGAAAAGATCTGGGGCTCAAGATATCAGGGCGCGTGCTTTTGCATGTTGTCACTGTGTCGACACTCTTGTGGCTCCCCTGTTCGACCATGGTGGGAAGCTCGAGTATTCGTGTTTGGGCGATATACACCTCCATCTCAAGAGCAGGTGAGCGTTAAACACTGTACTGCGCCATCAACAAGGGATTGATCTGCTTTCCGTCTTAGCCATGATATTGAAGCTGCTCAAGAGGGGGTGGATTACTTTCAAAATCCACTTGGTGATCGAGGTGTTTTGGGAGGTATACGTAGCCAATACTGTCTTGTTGAAGAACCAGAAGAACCTGTAGCGGAGGCAGCGCCGATAACAGTCGCCGAGGTGCAACATGCGGATCCGATATGACATAACCTAGACACGTATAATAAACCTCATTTCGTTGCTGTACATCGATGCTTCCTGCTCATCGTCGCGCCGTGGTGCGCTGCGCGCTGGAAGCCATGTGACCGCGACGACCAGTTCGTGCGCAGGGTCGGCTAAGCTTCGGGCAGCTTGTTGTCTCTCGACCACTCGGTCTTTAGGCTTCTTGTATTCCCCGTTCAATGCTAGCCTCCATACGTGGGAATCTTAGGGCATCTTCCCATCGGACTGGGCGTCCCGTCGGTTCTGCCAGACGAACTCTACCTCTCCCAAGCGCCGTCACTTTGTCACACTATAGGATGAATAGCACTGCAGCAGGTGCAGATACCCCTTCGCCGACAAGTCGAAGGTACGTCTCGACTCCAGATACGGTGGCGATTTGCTGATGTGCTCTACAGCTTGCCACAGCTCGGCGAGGACATGTTGAGTCGCAAAGCTATGGTTCTGCGAGAAGAGCAGATCCAACAATACTTCCCTGGCCTGGAATCGCGCGGCTGGTCTCTTGTACACGGCGAACCGTCCTCTTCACTAGAGAAACACTTTACCTTTGGAACGGAGGATGAGCTCGCGAGCTGGACGGGCGAGATGTTGGCGTATATGCAACGGGCCAAGGTGCGTTTTCATTGCGCTTCGACGTTAGCGCGAGAAGCGGGATGACTTGACTTGTTGCAGCACCATGCACGACTGAAGATTATGTACAAGTCGGTCAATGTCCAAACCAACACGCATCGCGCGTATACGCCGGAGGAACCGAAAGTGTCACGTCCTGGCCTTTCCAATAAGGATGTACAGCTTGCATACCACGCGGAGCAGCTGTTCGAAGATAACACACCGAAGGCGGAGTGAGGATGGGTTATATCTAACCTATGACTCTGCTTGTATATACTATGATGTCGCGCTACTTGTGTGATGAGTTAACTCAATAAATGTCCGTTAAATCCGCGTTCAGCATCCGAGGATGTCTGGACCTGTGGCCCGCGTGCCAGAATTTCTAGCGACTTGCTTCCGACCAACCTCCGCGTGGACGCTTGTACTTGCTTGCTCCGTGTAAAAGCCTGCAACCTGGCTGTCTGACTTTTTCCTTCTGTACGTGCTCAGGGACCGCTGGAAACCCCGGATTGAGCGCACTCGCAGTCCGCCCGGCTGGCGCGAAGATTTCGCATCCGCATCTACTACCGAGACTATCACAATTGCTGCTCAGCTCCATTCCCCATCATGACTCGTTATACGAACTTGGGCCGCAAGCGCTCCTATGTCGACGCTGGCATGAACTACCGTGAAAACGCAAGCTCCCAAGCTGCCTCTACTTCCGCCTCTGCCTCTGCGCCGACCGACGCGCCACCTACTACAGACGCAGACCCCTCCGACCCCGCCGCCGGGACTTCCGGAACATCTGGACCGCCGAAGAAGAAAAAGAGGCGCGGAAAAGCCAGTAATGAGAAGCGCGAGGCGAAGAGGGTAGGCGGTGAAGGGGAAGGTGAAAAGGGGGAGGAAAGTGATGGAGGGGATGAGGACGAGGATAAGGGCGTAAAGGCAGCGGACAAGCCCTCGGCCTCAGTGGAGACCGGCGAAAAGCCTGAATCAAATAAGGCGAAGAAGTTGAGGCTGTTCAAGGAGAAGCAGAAGGCGAAGCGCAAAAAAGGTACGCCGTTTCCTCATTGCATTCACTGGCCCGGGTCATGACCGTGAATATTTCAGATGATGCCGACCGTGCGGCTGCATCGGAAAAGAGACGTCTGAAGCGCATAGCAGAGCGCCATGCGAATAAAGTGTGCTTCGCTTGTAGAGAGATGGGCCATGCAGCGCAACTATGCCCGAATGTCAAGCCGGAAGACCAAGCTAAGGGCGCGAACCCTGCTGGTATCTGCTATCGGTATGTCCTCAACCCTACAACATGTATATCTATCCCGAAGCTCTTACATGCTACAGGTGTGGCTCAACAAGGCATACGCTCGCGAGGTGTAGGAAACCGGAGAACGCGAAGAACCCTATGCCGTTCGCTTCTTGCTTCGTATGCTCAGAACAGGGTCATCTCGCGTCGGGCTGTCCGCAGAATAAAAGTAAGGGCATCTATCCCAATGGCGGCTCATGTAAACTCTGTCAAGAGACAACGCATCTGGCTATCAACTGCCCTATGCGCCAGACCGGTACGCAACCTACTAACACGACGCGCCTGCCGGCCCTTGCTGACTTTACCCATTCAACTAGACCCGGGCTTGGTGACGGCTGTCTTTGGCATTGGACGCGAGGCTGGCGCCGATGAAGACGACTTCCACACGTTCAAGCGCAAGAACGTTGAAGTCGATCGTGAGGTTCAGAGCGTGGAGAAGAGGATGAAGATGGCCGCTGTTCGCGTTGGAAAGCATACAGGCGCCGCACAAGTCTTTGGACCGGCTCCTGCACCTGTAAAGCCGAAGAAGGTCGTGACTTTCTAGTGGTAGCTGTCTCTTTCCGGTTTATGACATATCGCACGCGTTTTACTTGGACCTTGAGCTCGAGGAAGTTGGTGTGAAGCACGGAAATAATGATTGGTTGTCTATTACGCGTGGTCTGCCTTTACACGGACACCGCTCAAGTCGACCTGAGAACCAACAGGCACACTGAAAGGAGACGCAGAGCCGATGACCCTGTTGAACACACGTCAATAAGAACTTTCAACACACACGCGGTAAACAGTACGCACTCAGGATGGCGAAGGCGGTAAGACGACGGACGACGCGCACTCTGGACAGTCAGAATGCCGTCCTGGTTCTCAGTCGAGAGCGCAAGATGCTGGTCGCCTCTGTCCTGCAGATTCTTCGCCTGCTCGACCCGCGCCTGGATCCACCTCTTCAAGCGGTTGTCCGAGTCCTGCGAGGGCGCGTATTTGTAGAACGCGACGACACCGGCGATACCGGCAATTGTGTAGATCCATCCGCGAGAGTTGAAGCCTATACATATGATATCAGCAACATAGTTTCTACATGTTGGGTAGAATGTACGCGCCTTCTGGGGGATAGACGGTGGTATCCTCCTCGTGGTGGTCGTGGTGGTCATCGTGCGCGGCACTGTATGGCCTACGCGCGGCCGGCACAGCAGCCGCTGGCGAGCGCGCGACGCCGCGGAGGGCAGTACGCGCGAGAGACATTTGAGTGAGTGGTGGTGGTGAGGAGGACCAGGTTGAGGCGAACGGGGCGTTCCGATTCGCCCGGGTGGAATTTCCCACAATATTCATGCTCGTTTGATTGGCGCGCCTTTCGCATTCAACGAGTGCGTTCGTTCTTGGCAAGTACCGCCATCATCGCTACGGCCTGGCTTGGGCCGACATATACCCTTCTACTCTACTGTAACATCACTTTGTAATCTTGCCTGGTGCAAGCTCTCGTCGCCCACGGCCTTGAATACCTATAACTACAGCTCGGCAACACCATATACCTCGCCATCGCCACGCCCAGCCGCTCACTACGACCTTAAGCCTCACTGCCTCACGATAATGCCGACCGCCCTAGCCCGCCTCAGCGTAGAAATGTCCTTCTCCCCGCTCCTCTCCTCCTCAAAATTCATCCCGCTCTACGAGAAACACCGCGAAGACAAACCGCTCCCGCCCAAGCCCTTCGAACCCCTAAGCCTAATCTCCTCCGGATCCGAATCTGGCTTCGCCGACTCCGAGTCTGCGGGGTGGAGCAATACCTTCACTGTCTCTTCAACGGGCTCGTCCGATACTTCGCTTCATGGCGTACCCAAGATCGTCGTAACGTCTACAACACACGCCGCCGACTTACGACCTCCGCATACGTCACACACTACGCTTATCAAACCGAAGAAACGACCGACTCTACGATCTGTTCTGGCGCAGCTCGAGCAGACGGACCGGGATCTGGCGCATGAGGCGAAGCGTGTACGGCGCGCTGTTGAGGAGGCGCGGTTGGAGATGGAGGATTGGAGGGTCGAGAGGCAGGCTTGGAGGAGGGAGATTATTGGGTCTACTTGGAATAGTCCGCGGTTGCCTGCTGAGTTGAGCTGAGGTTGGGCGGGATTGTGGCGATCTTGCGGACTTTACGCGCCGAGCGCCGTTTCATCTGGATACCGTGCCTCATTCGTCCTTGCAATATTGCCCACATTTTTAATCCACATATGTGAATGGCTATATACCCATACCGTATTCTGTTTTACTAGTAGTGCCCTACCCTACCTACAGCCCATATTCTACCATTCAGTCCCCCCGCGACGCCCGAGACGATCATTCCACGATGAGAAGATCCGAGCCAATCGCTCTCGATGGATCCTCCTGCTAAGTAGCTACCATACAACCTCACATCGATATCACTATCTCAAGACCAGATAGCTAAAGAGATAACCTAGATGAAGGCTCGAGAACCGGCTCGACTCCGCATACCGGCTGCACTGCTGTGGTTCCAGAAGGCGCGTGACATCACGCTCAGGCGCCCAATGTGGCTACGCCCAGCGCCCATCGCCCAGCCGCAGTGGCCGTTGCTACGTTAGTCTGCCTCTCCCATCTACCGCCATCTAACTCGCCGCCTACAACTGTCGCCAACTATGTGTATGCCATTGTATCTCGCTCGGTGGTGGCATGAGCTAATCGACGATGAACATAGCGAACGTCGAGGATAGTACTCCCGCCGCGCCTGACACTCGGCCCATTCCCCAGCGCAAGGATACCGCGCAGGAGCTCGAGAAACGTCTTGGGCAGCGTCCGGAGAGGAAGGATCTGCAGGACCGCAACATTCTCAAGGGTATGCTCACACATTCATCTGTATCTCATATGCTTGTAGCTAACGATCCGCGTATCTAGATGATAGTGTGGCGCCGAGCTTGCAGGCTGCGAAGGAGCGATTGCAGCGTTCTCAGCTCGAGGTAGGTTTACATGTTCTTGCGGCGATCTAGATACACTGTTGAAGCTGAACATCATCCATCTTCCAGGATAAGCTCGATCAGGCGTTGCAGCAGCGTCCCAAGCCCGAAGAGCTTATCAAGAGCGGTGTCCTCCAGCGTACGTCTGCACTCTCACTTCACGGCGCCATCGTATCTCTGACACTCTTGTACAGCGGACGAAGCCCCCACCACGCTCGAGCCCACCGCTTCTGCGTGAGCGCGTACTGTGGCGTCGGCCGCCGTGCCTCTCAATATGATATCCGTGTTCCCTCCACGAACAGTACGCGTGTGTATCGCGTTGTAGTATTATATCAGAGATAGGAATCTGTACAGATGTATGAGCATTCGAAACGTATTCATGAAAGGATCACGAATATACGTACAACATATACAGTGGTGCTGAGTAGTGAAAGTGTGTACACATCTCCCGCTCTAATCGCGCCTGACGCGGTCCCGCATATCCTGAACGGCCTGGCGCGTACCCTTCCCGCCTGCCCATCCTCTCGCGCGAAGCCAATGCACGAGGCGCGGTGTAAACGCCGCCGTGACGCCGATTCGCACGGGCAAGAACAGCGTCTTGTGCACGGTATACGCCAGCACGAGCATCGCGTACAGACCCTCGTTGCCGCCGGACGACGCCGCGGCCGCTGCAGCCTCGGCGGAGGGCGTAGGCGGGGAGGGCGTGTAGTTCACGAGCGAGAACACCCACTCCTTCGCCGACGTCGCGATCTCCGACACATACTCGGCGCCCAAAAAGTTGATACCGGCGAACGCGACGCTAAAGTCGACCGCCGACACGATAATGTAGACGCCGAGCGCGTACCAGCCGTACGCGCGGATGAGGTGTTTCAGTTTCTGCGCCAGAGTCGCGTTGGGCGGTAACGGCTCCTGCGACGGCGAGTTTTCGAACGATATTCGCGTCGGGGAGAGCCGGCTGGAGGGCGAGGCGTGGAAGAGGCGCGTGGAGGAGATGCGCGGGGTGCGCGTGAGCTCGCGAGGGCTTAATCGGCCTGCGCCGGCTGCGAGCGGGAGGAGCGGCGAGCTGACGCGTGGTGCGAGCGCCCGTAATGATAGAAAGCGAGGGAGACGGCCGGCTAGACTTCGCGACATCTTTGGCAGTAGGGCGGTGGTGGTTTGGGGGAGAGATTCGGTGGCGAAGGGAGGCGGTAAAGTTGGCGGTTGACGTGCCGAGATGACGCGCGGGCGGCGTCGCGATCGCCCTCACCTTCGACCACAACCGCCATCATCATCTCGCTCGCGTCGTCGAATTACGGCTTATATGCGCGCTGTGCCGCCCTTCTCTCCAATCAACTTCTACTCGTATATCAGTGGGAACCCCGCGTACACCGGTCGAACAGTCCGTTTTTACAACCAGGCCTCGACCGAATGCAAAGTCTCGAGTTACGGACCATCTTATCATCCCAGTACTCGTGCAATATGACTCAAATTGGGACACCCAACCGTCCATCTATCCCGTTGCCCCTGCTTGCTCCGATAGGAACCTTTTTGTAGCGACGCTATTCGGCGAACACAGTGCCGGCCATTGGCCGGTTGGGTACCTCGTCTCCACACGCTATGAGGTATACCAGGCGTTCGTTTCCCATGTCGGCGGCAGCGTCGTCTGTCGTTCTCGCTTGATGCTGCCAGCGCTGTGATGGTACTCCTGCCGCTTTGACGCCCGTGTGGGGCCGTTGAATGTTCTGACTGTGCAGGTTTTTTGTCATCTACATCTAGTGGCTCAGCGATCCGCATAACCGATGTCAGCCCAGGATATTTGCGTTTACGGACGGCTTTTGCGGCCATCCTTCGCCTGCTTCTCGAACCCTCGTGCATACGCAGCCGATTCTCGACTGAATAGCTTACGACCGCGCCAAGGCACCTTCCCATGTCAGACGATACACGAAGACGTGATGCCTCGACGCGCCCAACGCCACTAACCGATCTTTGGAACAGCGAGGCCGAGCAACTCTATCAATTCAATTCCTGCCGGCTCTGCAAAGTATAAAAAGGCGCGGGTGAGCTTTCACGCCCCGCGTCCGTCCGGCTTACCACGAACGCGAAGGAAGGACCCACCCGACTCCCAACTACCTGTAGATCTCTTCAAGACGCGATGTCTTCACCACCTCTAACGCTTACTTTGGGCGCGCTGCAAGCCGGGGCGCTGGTTGCGACCGCGTGAGTAGTACTTGGTCTTTTAGTGAATGGGTTTAATCGCGCCTATTCTTGCTAACGCTGAGGGTTTTGATGCCCAGACTTTCAGGCGCCGTTGGCTTTCAGGCGTTCATGTACTGGCGCTCCTGTCATGGCGATCCGAAGGAACTGAAAGCATTTGTATGGCCTTCTCTCGATCCGTCAAGCTACGTACTTCGCTAATCACGATCGGTGCTTCAGGTGTCCTTGGTTTGGTACGTCAACACCATCGACGCATCACACTCACAGTCTGATCTGATTCGCGATGAAGGGCTCTCGACGCTGTACAGACATCGCTCATCGCCACGGTTTCCTGGCAATACCTCGTGCACAACTTCAGCAACCCAGATATCGCAGACCATATATTCGCGTGAGCTATTCCCGGCCGATGGTGTTGTTCTTTGAATGGACCAGCTAAAGAAGCGAGCGGCAATAGGACGATCCCCGTATGTGTTGATTCTCTTGATACACTCCGTGCTCTTCGGTGTTGCGGTTGCGGGCGGAGCCTGATTGTGTTGCCGGTGATTAGGCTACCGTGTCCTTCACAGCATTGTTGACCTTCCTGGTGAACGGGTGCGTCGGCATCATCTTCTTCGAGACTCAAAACCATTCTCACTGAAGCGCCCGCAGATATTTCATATGGCGCGTGCACCGACGTTAGTGCGAGACATTCAGTAGCTGGCGTCTATCGGTCTGACGGAGATCTTTCGCTTGCATGCGCAGTTAGCAAAGGCAACTGGTGGTTCACGCTACCGACGGTGAGCCCTCACTTTGAGTTCGGCAACAATACAACGTGCGCTGACCTATATCCGGTTTCTTCCCTCGCCAAGACCTTCTTCCTCGTCGCAAGGCTGGGACTAGCATTCGGTACGCCCCTCGGCTCTCTTTCTCCGAGCACTGTGACCCGCGTACTGAAACCTTGCGTTGTCTCGCAGTATCTACGGCAGAGATGTACGCCCGGGCGCTCGAATGATCCTGCGCGCGGGAGAGAGATGCTAACATTCTTCGCGGCGCGTGTTTAGGGTCCGGTTGAAGAGCTTTAGGCGCTTCCATGACGGCTTCGGTCCCGTCTTTACGGCCGGGCTTACGATGAGTGCTTTGACGGATATATTGGTGACGCTTGGGCAGTGCTATTATTTGAGGGATCGGATACGGCGGGTGCCGATGTGAGTGTTTGAATGTGCGGTGAAGGAGACGGGAGGCTGATGTGTGCGATGTAGTGCTGCGAAGGCGCTGAAGGAGTATGTTGGAGTTGCGGACAACAATGGTGCTGTGACCTGGTGAGAAGATCCGCTTAGATTGACAGATCGAGGCTCATGATCATATCTGTTCAGCACCGTGGCCCTCGCTTCTCTTGTCTGCGTGAGTCGTGATGCATTGACTGGCCGTTGTTCAAGCGCTGACACGCTCGTCGCCAGTGGGTAACTATGCCAAACAACCTAGTGTTCATGGCCCTTCACTTCTGCATCGGCAAGAGTGAGCCACACTGTGATGTGTTTACTTCTACCTTGCTGATGCCATCGTTCTTCAGTCTACTCGAACTCCCTCCTGGCATCGTACGTTCGCACTCTTCACTCTTACCACCACAAACTGACGTTATCCCCGCGCGCAGGCTCAACATACGGAGATCAGACATGAGCGTGAAGCTCATCCGCCCCGCAGACCTCCCGGCAATCGAGCCGCCTCTGCAGACGATCGACCGCCACTCAACGATCTCGGAGGTCGAGCATCCTTCTTCAGAGTCCATAGGCTATGTCACATTTGCGAGCTCTCATCGAGCCAATACGCCGAGCGATGTGGGATCGGTGGTGTTGTCGTTTGCGGACGAGAAGGACAGGCCCGTTCGTGCAGCGCGCTATGATGTGTAGTGTGGGAGGGGTCGTGTTTCATTGGTTCATTGGGCGCATGTTCTTATTCGTTCATGTATGCGCTCGGAGTTTAGTTGGAGTCTGGGGTAGCCTTTTCCATAGCACGGGCCGCGTTCATCGATCGGAATAGACGCGGTCTCTGACACCTGTCAGGATTTGCTCTTTTGTGTCATTCTTTATCGGTCACCAGTCTTTCATACCGTACTTTCTTTACTGCAGTCTTAATGTGGTCATCCGTCAAATGTCGAGATGCCTTGTTGACGTCAAGTGTTGAGATTGATGTCAGGTCCACGCCAATACTTCGTCAGACCAATGAGCGACATGCAGTTTGAGTCTACGACGTCGATGGCGCAGCCACAGAGTGCAGTACACCATCTTCGGTTGCTACTCGCATATCGTCATGTAGTCATGGTTTCCGCTTGGTTGCTGTGGTCAACATATGATAGGTTCGGCTTTAGCCACGGGAAAAGCCGAAACCCCCTATCATGACGAGAATTGCCAAAGTAAGGCGGCCTCGAAACTTTCTGCGATGAAGGATATCGCTGAGCGCACCGACATCGCGCTCGTCCCCCGACCACCACCACTACCGCCGTTTCATGCATCCGGGCAGCAGCCCACGCGGCACATCCGACTCTGCTTTCCTGCGATAGCGCGCCCTCACAGTCTAGACCTACTCTGCACGCGACCGATAGCCATATTGCCTCAGAGCTGTACCCGAACCAACCGATGACGGAGACGAACGATGCTGCTGTGAACATCGCGCCCTTCGAAGGGCCTGAAAAGCTTCTCGAGATCTGGTTCGCGCCATCGCCAGCTCATGTCCCTGGCGCTTCCACGGCGGAGCGCGGTCGCATTGGCCTTCGCAGCGTACCACGCTCGGTCTGGGAGGATATGCTGGCCATTGTGAAATGCCAAGTATTGAGCATGGTGGAGGGTGAAGACATGGATGCGTACTTGCTCAGGTGAGTTGGGTTGCCCGAGTTCCTCTTCCGTTGAGATTGCGCCATCATCGTGGATGTTTGTTCATATTGTGTATGCGCCGTAGAGGGCCTGTTCATAGGCTGCGGGACGCAATCTAAGCGCAGCGCCGGCGCTCTTGCTCTGCTCAATCGACTCGATGATGTGTTTGTTACCATGAGAACCTACGCTGACTATGCCCCCGATCAGCGAGTCTTCGCTGTTCATTTCGCCTCACCGCCTCATCTTGAAAACCTGCGGGACAACGTTAAACTTGTTCGGGCTCCCGCGCATACTCGAGATTGCACGAGACGCGGGCTTCCCCAGCGTCCATCGGTGCTTCTACTCCAGGAAGTCTTTCTTCTTCCCGGAGCGTCAGAAGGGCCCCCATCGCGAGTGGAAGGATGAGGTAGAGTACCTCGACGGCATCTTCCGCGATGGAGCCGCCTACACGGTCGGCAAAGTCAACGGCGACCACTGGCTGCTATACATGACCCGCCCTGCCGACACATCCGAACAGTCCCCTTCCTCTTCTCACATCCTATCCACCGACGATACCCCATCCGGTACTACGCTTCCGCCGGACGACACTCCGTCCTACGGCGTACCGGCTATCGACTACACCATAGAGATTCTCATGACACATCTTGCGCCCGAGGCGAGCAACGCCTTCGTCTTTGGCGAGGATGCCGACTCGGAAATGCCACCCTCAGAGCGCGCTCAGGCCCTCTCGTCGTCTATCGGCATATCTCAACTCTTCCCTGAACATCTTTCTACACTCGACGCGTTCGCCTTCTCTCCATGCGGGTACTCTTCGAACGCGCTTATCAAGTGGACGGAACCCTCTCCATCCGGAGAGCCGTCGTCGGGCGATGGATACTACACAATCCATGTGACGCCAGAGCACGGTTGGTCTTACGCCAGCTTTGAATGCAACGTACCGCTTCCGACACGTCCCACGGAGCAGGCGGGGAGAATACCAGACCTTCGCACGCTCGTCCGGCGAGTGGTTGACATCTTCAAGCCGGGGAAGCTCTCTCTCACGCTCTTTATCTCGAGCGAGGAGAACGAGGAAGCAGAGGAGGAAGGGGGCGAGACCGCTGTTGAAGCTGCACAACGTGCCTTCCGAGCGGCGTTAACGGCCAAGGGCGTGTCTCGCACAGACGGCCAGACCGGTGCTGGCGTTTACAAGCGCACAGACAAAATCAACTACGAGTTCGGTGATTATGATCTCGCGTTCGCTAGCTTTGAGCTTGCATCTTGAAGCTTGAAGCTTGATCTTCTCCGCGATCTATCACAGGCGCTTGCTCAAAATCATGTACTCCTACTACGACGGCGCCTTTTGTATCCCACCACACTGCCACACTGTATCGACCACCCTTGCTGAACCCGATGCCTCGAGTGCTCGAGTGCAACGTTCGGTTTGCTGCCCGAGATAATGCTGTACTCTATGAATACCCTGAACTGATCTATGTGCTTCCGAATACGTATGGGACGCTGCCTTCTGACTGCTCTAGAAGTTCAGGCAGCGCAGCAAGTTGCCGACTGTGTTGACCCGCCTTCGACGGCGCCAGGCTTGGGCCGATGACCTGGCTGTCAGTACCGCTCTTCGATGACCCGCCTGCTCTATCGGTACGGTACCTGACTCTTAAGGTTGTCTTGACTGATCCGCCACCTTTGCGAGGGCGCAGCTTGAACGTTTACTTTTCTCTTTGTTCATCGGTTGCACAACGGCTGTTCTCGTTACCAGGCCTGTGCTGGATGAACGCGAGGGGAGTAAACAACCAACCATGTATGTCCGGGAAACCGAAATGTGAGCCCGCATCTCCAGATGCACATCGCCAACACATGTGCCTTATAACTGTCAGCACAGTGGTCTATCATCAAGGAGCGGTCTGCCGAACACGGGTTCCTTTTACTCCTCAGCGACATGGTAGGGAAGGTCATGTCACCGGCGCGCCGCCGCTGCGTGCTTCATTGATTCTGTCAAACTGAGTAGACCATGATGCCTGGGCGTTCGAGCGCCGGTAGCTTCTCTATCCATTCAATCACTCCAGCTTTTGCCGTTTGGACTTCGTTTGAGCTAGCAGCGGTCGATCTCTGACATCTCCGAGCATACCTAGATCGAGAAGTCAGTCCCTATGCGCACTCATACCGCGTCCTATGCAGACTGCGGCTGCGTCGCATGATATATTTGCTCTAAGTTAAGGTGAAAGCAAGACGGTCGCATCCTGTCCGCAGTTGGAAGAAGGATTGTTGCCGACAACTCGGCCAGGTCGGAATTGACCGGGCCAGTGAGCGAGATTACGTACTTCCACGCGGTTCTCGACCGGTTCTCGCCCTTCTCTTCTTCGCCCACCACAGACCAAACTGTCCTTTTCAGGATTCGGCACATATACGGTGCCCTGCGAGGCGCCATAGCTGCGCTCTTTGTTCAATATGAGCGAGTGGTCCGTTGTTGGACCTGTCAACGTGCATAAAGCTTCAGCCTCGTTGATAATCATCGACTCCCTATTCTGTCCGCCTTTGTGATCTGTTCGGGATTCCAGCAACGATGAGCGTATGATCCTTACTCTCCAGGCATGCGATTGCGTTGACTCGTTACGCATGTACAAGCTTTGGCGCCGGGGAACATGATTGTCGGTTCGAACGTCCAGGTTCCGTCACTGCGTCACCTCAGATCGTCTTCTCTTGGATGTCGCCCGCTCGTGCTCGATTCTGTTCTGGAATCGACGCCCTGTGGTTTCGTAAGTCCTACATATGGCCCTTCCTCGTGTTCCCGGGCCACGGAGTGTACTTTATGACAAGGTAACAGCCGAAGGAAAGCTCCAACGTAGTATGCCCGGCCAGCCAAATCCGCATTGGGGGAGAAGGACGTCGTGCCGGCGGGTGCTCAGTATAAGAAGTCTTCTTCAAGGTACCGATCTGCGTTTCTCTCTCCTCTATCTTGCAATATGTACGGTGTTGTATCACTCTCGGCCGCCACCTCGACAGATCACCTCGACGCGCTCGCGGAGGTGCGCGACTTCGCACAGACTGACATGGGCCGCGGCCCACCACATCGCTATACATACCGGGTGCTCTCAGAGCCGATGCTCACAAACGAACTCCACCGCCTCTCCCATCCCTTCGTGAAAGGGAAAGTTGCCGGCGTGTCGTTACAACCGTGCCCGCTGCACGAATTTCAGAACCAGGACCGCTTCTATACCGAGTCTTGGCCGACGCCGAGCGGCCCGTGGACATTCAACGCCGTTCTAGATGGTAGGCCTCCTTCCAACTCTCGCATACGGCTCCTAAAACGCTTTCAGGCCATGTCGGACATTCGACGGTAGATTACGCGGTGCATCATCTACCCGTCATAGTACGACGCACCTTAGAATCCTATTTGCGCGCTCGCCGAGGATCCTTCTCCTCAACCGACATCTCGCGGATCCTAGCAGACGCTATCGTGCAATGTGACAACGCCATTACCAACAACTTTGTGGCGTTGTTTCCAGGAGGAGCGCCGGCCATGCGTAGCATGAGCAACGAGCAGATCCAGAGTGTATTGCGCGTCCCGGCCAACCATGTCGCGTCCATACGCTGCCTGCACGGTAGCACCGCACTGCTCTCTTTGTCTGATCCGAGCAGTGAGCATGTGTGGATCGCCAACCTAGGGGATTGCCAAGCAGGTGCGTATACTTACATACAAACATCCAGGCTCGGGCGCTCCATGCTGATGTCGGGATTGCCGCCCAGTGCTTGCGTCAAAACATCAGAGCGGCCGCTGGTCGGCAACCTACGTCAGTGACCTGCACGACGGTGATAATCTCGCCGAGATCCAGAGGATCCAGCGCGAGCATCCGGGAGAGCGGGAGGCTTGCAAGGATAACCGCGTCATAGGTTTCCTAGGACCCACCCGCTGTAAGCACTTCGCCCGCCGATGCTTATCCGGGATGAGCGCTGACAATCATGCTCGCTTGCTGAAGCGCTTGGGGATACGTGGCTAAAGCTAGATCGCGTATACTCACAGCGAGCGCTGCTCTCCTTTCGATCGGAATGGAATGTGGACAAGCCGGAGACGTTCATATCGCGCCTACACAGCCCGCCGTACGTCTCGAGCACGCCAGACGTGCGACATATCCGGCTGCCGCGCCCTGCCTCCGGGAGCCAGGCCCGGCATGCACTGCTTTTGTGTTCAGATGGCCTTCCTGATCTGTACAACGCACGGTTCGACACTCGAGGGGAGATGGTCGCTCATTGGGTGCAGGCAATCGGTGACGCCCTAGACGCGCGGAGCAACAATGCAGCCCTCGTGCTCTTGCGCGATGCCCTCGGTGGCGAGGATCTGCGATCAGTGGCATCCTATCTGACGGTTGAGATGGACGAGCGATGGATGGACGATGTGACGATCTTGGTTCAGAGATTATGACTCCAGATGTGGTGCCTGTACAAAAGGGACGTTGAACCTTGCCGCTCCGATTTGTGTCCTTCTCCACTGTTCGGGCGAGGAAGCCTGAGTAGTAGACCGGCGTGGATCATCAGGGCGCAGTTGAGGGCTCGAGTGGGTTACGCGCAGTACCTGGACATATGATTAACGAAGCGACGATCCCCACTTGATCAGTGGCCTTTGAACACATGTTATCATGTATGTCAAACAATATTGATCAGAACAACAACTGCAGTCGCATAAACCCAAAGAGAGCGGAACCGAAGCGACAATGAGAACAGATATAGAAACTAGAAGTGGGCGCACGTAGTCCACTGCCCGAGGCCGAGATGAACGAAATGCAACAGTCAAACCCGTCACCACCGATCTACGACTTATTCTTAGCCGCACATTTCGGACACATCCGACAGAAAATCTCCGCCATCGCCCAAGTGATACCAGTCTACGAGATGGTGTTAGTAGACTGCCGATATGCCCGAATCATCCACTTACGATACCGGTGTTACGAGCCTCATTCAGAGTGGTGATGGCGTTCTGGTGTCGCTTATGAGCGAACACTAGTATGTCGAAGATCTGGGCCGATACGGGCACGCGGTAGAAGGCGGCGGCAGCGTCGTGAGGTGACTTGACGAATTCGGAGTGTACGAAAGTCTCGTGGTCTATGTCCGCGCAGAAGGCTCGTCGCAGGGCTTCCTGCTTCTCGGGAGGCGCAGTCCAAACATCCTCACGGGGCACGAGGAGTAGATGGTACTTATTTGAGCCAGACTGAACGTGGTGTTGGTCCATGTACTGGACGAGACGGTGCGACAACCCGTTCCTATGTCCTTCCCTGAGACCCTGCGCCATCATAGTGTAGATGCCGGGCGCGAATCCTACAACCTCCATGTCCTCCTTGTACTTGTAGTCGAAGGTGAACTCCGTGAAGACGTCGTCGAACTCCTGTCGTTTGGGCATGTCGAGAGGGTTGACTGAGCGTATGCCCGCCAAAACGTGACGCGGGAGAGGTGCAAAATGGGCGTGATACCACGGATTGAGCTGGTCTGTTTGCTTGTTGCGACTAGTCTTAGTAGCTGGCCTGATTTGAGCGGGTGGTTGAGCTGGAATCGCCCAAACAGGCGTCTTCTGTCGCGGCGGGGACGTAGACTTTGATTGCTCGTGCCGCTCCCGGATCACATCCCACTTAGGTAGCCACGGGTCCGGCGGTGGCGGTGGCACATACGGCGCTTCTGGGAGGTGAGGATACGGCGCTTGCGGGTGGTATTGTTGCGTGTGAGGCGGGTGTTCTCGGTGGACAGTCAAAGGACGGTGAGGTTGAGGTGCTCGCATAGGGACGTCTTGGTGCGCGACAAGATGTGGGCGAGCATGGAGATCGGGATGGGGGTATGGGCGAGGACGCTGGGGCGAAGTGACAGGGGCTTGCTGGGGAATGGCAGGAGGAGGAGGCGGTTGTACATATGAAGTCGATGCGACGGGTTGCGGGGGACCATCGAGCTCTATCACGTCGGGGTACTCGTCGTCTGAGGAGTCAGACGATAGTTCGTACATCCCGGCAGGCAGCTTGCCCTTGGGTCCGCCAGTAGGATGCTCGGCTATCCAAGTGCCAGTGCTATATCTCTCCCCCGGTGTCCCATCGGAGACGACGAAGGAGGCGCCTCTAGCCGCATAACCGTTGGCGGGTACGGGCGCAACCGCAGACGGCGACAGTATATGGTCGGTCGGAATCTTGTGGCGCTTCTTCGGTGTGTAGTTGCAGTCAGCCTCCGGATCTTGCTTGCAGTTGTTGCATACCGGCAAAGTGCGGTCACACTGAAGCGCCGGAGCCGTGAGATCGACACCGACTAACTAAATCGAGACGACGCACCTTTAAGTTATGGAAGCGGCAGCGATCACAACGTGGTATACCACGATGTGCGGGAGTGGGCAGTGGAGTGTACCTGCACTGGCGTTGAGCCCAGTTGCAGTGGTTGCAAGTCGGCAACAGACGGTCGCACTGTGACATCGGCATCAGGGCCGGTGCCGGGTGCGAGGCGGGCGCGAGACTAACCTTCAGGTTGTGCGCACGACAATGATCACACCTGGGCTTTCCCCTCCTCCCTTTCCACTGAGATTGAGATTCCGAGTATGTGTTCGGAGCAATGTTGCTCGCAGTCGGCGCGAGCGGCCGGGGGCCATGGTCGGGTGAAGCATGCGCGCGGGCGGATATATCGGCCATTTATTCAGGAGTGATGTCCGCAGCAGCCAGATACTAATATCCGTTCCCAAGACGCTCGGGGAGCGCTGAAGGGAGAACGCACGATTCTCAAGCAGGATGGTATCTGACTCCACTCCCGACTACTCAGCACAAGAGAGGGCGGCGGGGTCTAGAATAGTCAGATAAATATATTTGACACTTCGCAGAGACCGCGATGGCGCCCAGAACAGGGAATTGGAGAGTGCGGAGGTATAGAAGTGATGGTGGTGGTGGTCGGAGAGAGAGAAGAGGTGGCCCTGACGTGGATGGAAAGGGAAGTTCGAGATTCACGCACGGTAGGCCAAAGACCTGGGCATCCTACTCCGCATTTGCCTTGCGTTTGCTATCGTCCGACAAGGGGCGTTCGATCAGTACCTTCGTTTGCAGCGGTCTCCGTTTCAAGTTGTCGACGCACTCGTATTGGTTGCGGCCTTTCGTCATCCCGCTTTGGCCTTGGATAGAACACCGCGCGCGTGTGAAGGCCCTGCTTGCCGGCTGGAATTGCAGGCGCGCCGCGCCTTCGGGTTGGATAGCGCCGATTGATTCTTCGTGATGTCGGTGATGGCTCGTGTTCACACCGCGCGCTGACCAACCCTTTTCCTCCTGCCGCCATGATCGTATTCATACGTCTCTCAAATGTTCATCGTATCTCTGCTGTATGAACGGCAGAGCGGGCCAACACAATAATCCAAGACAAGCCTCGTGTCGTGGATGTTTTGATCGGCAAAATGCGCCAGTCCGCGCCAGCTTTCCGGATCCTGATCCCAGGCAACTTCTCACACAATCAGCCGAATCAAGAGGACATTTGTGGTCCCTCCTTTGCTCTTGACGACATGGTTTGTGAGCGCGCAAGCTGGGAGACGTCTCACAGGCGCATTTGTCTGTCATGCGACGAGGCTGTCTTGGACGAGCGGCTTAATGCTGAGCTTGTGTCGCGCCGCCGGACAATTGCAGTTTGATGAGCGCTTGCCTTCACTAAATGCTGCACTCATTCAACAATATTGGTTCAACTATCTGCCAAATTCGTGCTGCGTTGAACCTGCGCTGTGAGAGCGTGCTTTCCTGGCTGCGCCCATGTGCATTCGGTATGGGTTTGCCTCTTACACGCGCGTTCTGACTTGTGCCCGGAGCCGGATGAACTATCCGAGGACGTAGCATCTGGCCAGATCCCGCTCTGATCTTCTTTGTTGATGCGAGGTCCAAGCTGAAGCGACGTTGTAGGCAGACACGCGGAGCTATAGTCGCTATGGAAGTCCTGCACATCCGCAGATGTTCTACTCATATAACTCTATTCGATGTGCCCTCCCGATTTCCCTACTTCCTTTTGCGATTCACTTCACGGGGACTCGGGCGCAGGCTGTCTTGATGGACATGCCGCTTTACTGTGGGCGTGCGTATGTGGCGGCGTCAGGTACACAGCTACGATTATTCACATGCGGTGAAGTCGAAAGCACACCCACGATGCGCCATGCGGCCTTTCCCTTCTTGTCCTTCCCGAGGATGCCCTACCACCAGGTGTCGACTTCAACAGGTCTTCCATCTGACGCTGCACGCATGTACAAGCTACGTAGCGGCACGTTTGCGTACACCACGTTTGCATGCACAACCCATATAAACGACCCTACAGCGCGCATGAGCTTGATCTGAAGGGAAGCCCATCCACGTCGTCATGGTCGGTCTCACGGTCCTCTCTACACTGGTCGCATCTGCGCTGTATGTCGGCGCCACACCGATGAAGCGTGCTGTTCCATACTACAATCCAACAAATGCAGCTGGCGGTTCGATGTTGGACTGGCTGGTGAATGGCAAGGGCGAACCTCTCAATGTCATCGTCTCTGGATTGAGCTCCTCCGACGTCTTGACTGTCGACGGCATCGTGAACTATGCACGCTCGATCGGCTAGTGCGTCGCACTCTACGTCCACGCACCTCTTCGTCACTGATCATTACACTGGAATACAGCTCAGCAGAGTGCCTCGGTCTTCACTCGGGAACACCGCAAACCGCTACTCTAGGGGACGGCAATCGAAACCAGAGCGAGCTCATTGTCATTCGCGAGGACTACAACAATGAACCGATCGGTACTTGTCTGGAGAGCTTGATCGGCGGAAACCACTTCCGGTACATTGAAACAAACTAGCTGTATAGCCGGTGCTGATACTGACGAATGTCCGATCTCAGCGTCTTCAAGCAGAACGGAACTGAGGCGCAAAGCAATGCGCTATTCCTCGCAGTGTCGCAAGAAGAGGATGTGACCCAAGGTCATACCATCTCACCGAATGGGTACAACATCGGACGGTAAGAAGCCTGGCGCCGCTGAGCGTCTGCCAAAGCGCTGAAGCACCACGTTGTAGTGATCGACTCGTGGCTGCAGCACTGGAGAACAACGGTACCTCGTCGTTCGGAGGCGTCTCCTACAGTATCACGGCGGAGAATATCACCGGATTGCTTGCACCGGGTGCGGACCAGATTGACGACGGTACGCAGAGCTCCGGTATCGAATCATCGTCGACGGAAACTGACTGTCGCCCAGACATCGCACAGGACGGAATCGTCACCCTGTTGACGGTGACTATCGTGTAGCGCAGAGCTGTCAGTGTAACCAGATCTAATGCGTGAAATGTGTGCAATGATATTCGGGTCGATGCATGCCAGATAGCACGAGTTGAGTTGATATTGTACAAATTGCACTGTAAAGAAGAAGCGAGGCGGCCACCAATCACCGCCCTCTCCCGAAAGCAACGGAACATGCGCAAAGCATGCCAAGTAGTCATAATGCATGAGAGTCCAGTCCAAATACTGCTGTGAATCGTAACAGAGAAGCGGCTTCATCAAGCCTCAAGACCTTCCATCTGGACCTGTACGTCAAGACCATCCTGGTCGTCATACTCGAGTTCGCCCGCGAAGACGTAGGGTTGAGGCTGAGGGAGGTAGTCGGAGACGGGTTGACTCGATGAGCGAAGTTGACGGTCGACGTGCGCCTCACTGGGCGTGGCAGGGTCTTGGTCGTACTCCTGCAGCTCTTCGGTTTGCGGGTAATGTTGCGCGATATAATCTCGACGCATAGGGCGCGAGATGCGCGAGAGAACCATGTCCAAGGCCTCGAAGTGCTTGTCGTCCATGGCGAAGTTGAGATGCCGCTTGGAGTTGATGTGCTGCATGACGAGAAGACGTCAGTGACATGATACTGCTAGTAGCGGGGGAAGGTGCTTACCGTCTCAAAGTCATCGTACTTCTTGCGGCAATTCTCGCAGTACCCTGGTTTCGCACCCTCCTCGCGTTTCGGCAACCGCATGGTAGTCGTACTCTTGCTCTTCCTCAACGCCTTCTGGGGCGGATCGGGCGGTGGACCCATCATGCTCTTCACGCGCCCGTTGGCTTTCATGGTAGTGTTGACCTCCTTGCCACGAAGTGCCGCTGGAAGCTGTGCGCTACGCAGCAACGAGTTCCCAGCGGACGTTGTGGTGCCCGTCGTACTGGTGATGGCGACGCTGTTACCGGATGCAGCGGCATACTGCGAGCGCAGGTACCCCGACGCATTGGCCGACTCGAGCATCTCGGGAGTGTCGAACATGGATTCGCCCGGCGCTCGCTCGCTAGCGTTGGATATGGCGCGTCTGCGGAGGTTCATCATCGAAGCCGAACGTCGGAGGTCACCCGCCTGTTGCGCCTGCTGCAGTCGCTCTGCCTCGGCGGCACGCCGACGTTCACGTTCAAGAGCCTGCAACTGCTCGCGTTCATGCTCGTCCTTCTTCTGCTTGTCTTGCTCCAGATCGCGTCGCCACCGCCGGAACTCACGCTCGTTCGGCTCCGTGAATGGGTTGCGAACTTCGGGGTGAGCGTACAGTTTCGGCCAGGTGCCACCCGTAGGACCATCTCTTGTCCACCGACAGGGAAACTCCGCAGCGTGGATGGTGGCCAACTGCGACGTCATGTCTTCGACCAACACGAAGCACGAGTCTCTGGAGAAGAAGTGCATGTCCGGGTTCCGAGACGAGCTGTCCACGGCACCGTAGAGACGTTCATGCTCGACGAGAGACATGAGGGAGCGGCCGCCTGCCGCCTGAGCATTGCGTGGTGCGTGACGGTCAGAGGGGAACTGGGGTACGTCGCAGCGGTCGAGTACACTCTCGAGCTTTGCGACACTCCAGATCTTCATGTTCCATGCGTGAGCCTTGCTCACGAGCGAAGTGGCGCCGGCGGACTGGGTCGCTTCTTCTTGCCTATACAGTATAGCATGAGCATTCCAGTCAGTCAGAGGTCGGCCACGTTTGGGTACTCACGTTCCGTTAAGGTGGATGGGACTTTGTAAGAGGGGTCCATTCCGGGAACGAGAGCGGCGGTTCTCCTTGTTCGAGAGCACAGTACCGTCTTCAGGTAGCTCGTTCGTGATAAAGTGCGTGACGCCATCGCGAGAGAAGAAGTCCTCGATATGCTGAAGGACAAAAGGTTTGTCAGATCAATATAACCATATGCGAGTAACACGACTCACGCCACCCAAGTACTGAATCCTAGATACCAAACCCTGAGCGGCCTCCGGGTCGTCTTCCATGACGTCGGCGTGGATGTAGAACGCGAACTTGGGGAACGCCTTTGAGTACTTCTCCTTGAAGTTCTCCCTCTCTGCTCGCTTTATTTCCTTCTTAATCTCCTTCTCCTCCTCGCGCTCAGCAGGTGGCGCTCGCCGGGCGGGCGAACGGGCCGGAGAGGGCGCTATCGCCTTTTGGCGTTTAAGAGATCCACGGTCATTGGTCTGCTCGAGCGAGCGCGTGCGCTTGAGAGAGCCGGTCTTGGCCTTGGACGTCGATGCGGTCCTTGCCAGAGGCGCCTGCTGCGGTGATGGCACCGTCGAGAGATGAGGCCGTGCGACGCGCTTGAGCGGGCGCTGAGAGGCAGTCGTAGCCATGGATATCTTTGACGCCTGATCTTGATGGCGGTGGTGGTGGCGGTCGAGAGTAAAAGACGCGACGGGCTGGTGGACGTTCAGATCAAGTTCGAAGTTCACAACGTGGTCGCCGCGCGTGCTGCCGCCGGCTTCACACCCTCAGCCCACTCACGGGTCCCTTCGCCGGCCTCTGTGGATCCTTTCACAACTCTCAGAAGCTTCTGTGCATGCGGGAGACTCGGATTGTATCATCGAAAACCCTTTGCGGCTCGGGAGCGTGACCGCCATCATGTTCATGTTCAATTCATAGAAGCATCCTTACGTCCGCAAAGACCAGTAGATCTTCGGGCTTCCTACGGCTCTCCCAGCATTTTGTGGTATCTGAGTACGCTCTGGACATCCCTGCTGCAGGTTTGACCCCATCTACCACGGTGGTTGGGCGTACGTTCTGCACTGGTTCCGTTCAACAATGATGTCACGAGACCGTACCGCTGTGACGACACGCGTCAAACGCGTCGGGACGCGACGCGTTTTTGCTTCCGACCGCGACGACCGCGCTTGGCGGTCATCATGGACGATATCCTGTTGCTAGACGAAGACTTCGAAGATTATTCTGGCGCTGAATGCACTGTGTCTGCATATCCAATACATGATGGTCTCAAGGCAGCGCCCACTGCCGATGCTATGCTCGACTACGACGACTTGATTGCCTTCGGGGATGATGACATTCCGGTTACCCCTACCGACGACTCACAGGATGCCTTGAATGAGAAAGAGTGGAATGGATCTCGAGCTTCAAGTAATCTGCGTGTCAGGCACTCTGCTAGAGCCAAGTCTGAGCTAGGAAGCGAACATCAACCTCTTAGTAGCAGCACGGAGTCGACTGTGGACAATGACGAGCGCACTGAGCGTGAAGACGAGGGGAAAGATGCTGTTGAAGGTGAGGAGCCAGGTGAAGATGAGGCGGAGGAAGACGATGAGGAAGAAGACGATGAAGGAAGAAGGTGAACTCACTTCATCATATAGGCCCGTCCAGCTCACTGAGACATCTTTGTGATAGGGATAGCGCTATATCGCGCATCGAAGGCCTTGTGACCAACTTTCTCGAACAGCTTGCAACTCTATCCACGGTCGAAGAAGATGAGGATCCTGTCCGAGAGGGCAAGAAGATCGAGATCAAGCTTGCTCGACGTCGTGCCTCAGACACTGAAAGAGACGAGTAAGCGTCAGCTACATCTCCCGACATTCGTCACTGACCATAATCTGAAGCTCCCAGGGGACTCGGTCTCTTAAGTGGCCCAACCGGCGTGCGAAGGGCGCGAGTGGTCTACCGTTAGGTGCTCGTATCGCGTGTATGCGCGCATAATCGTGACTTACACTGTTCCAGCTCGCCTCATGGGCGTCCTCAACGTCGCGCACGAATCCCTTGTGACCGACCTTCCGACTACGAAGCGGTACGTAGCTCATGCATGGCGTACGTCATCAACTGAATGCGTGTAGAGACATGTTCTATCAAGACGTAGGATTGTTCGGTCACCAGCGCGAGGTTGACCAACTCACGGATGACCTTGCCGCCACATTCCAGCTAGACAGATCGGACTTGAACATCGTGCGTCTGATAACGAATGGCCCACCTAACGCGTGCTCATCTATCTCCAGCGCGCATCCGGTAAAGGACTGTTGTGCGGGGATGGACTGAGGATTGTACTTGCCGACGAAAGCTCCATCTCGGCCACGAACACTGACGTGCGTTATTGTTCTGTGCGCTCTCTTGCATTCTCTAACTGTAAGTACACCAGCCTGTACTCATCCCTCAAGCCGAGGACATCTTGCGCTTCGAGCTCAACCATGAGATCGCGTGGGTCCTTGTGGTCGAGAAAGAGGTATGGTCCTGTCACGTCTTTGATCGCGGTTCATCGCTGACAGAGCTATCAGGCCGTCTTCCAGACTCTCTGCCGTCTCAATGTCACCAACCTCTGCGCCTTTCCAGGCCCTGGTATTGTCATCACAGGCAAGGGTTACCCTGACGTAGCGACACGCCAGCTCGTCGCGACTCTGTCCAACAACCTTCCCGAGAGGTACGCCCCATATATGAAGATGCAGCGATATGCTTACACATCTGAAACTAGTGTACCTATTCTGGCTATGGTTGATGGAGATGCATACGGTCTTGACATCGCGTCAGTATACAAGTTCGGGAGCGGTTCGATGAGGCACGAAGCGCACAAGCTCGTTGCTGAGCGCATCGAGTGCATCGGTTTGTTCGCAAGTGAGCTTCAGGCGTAAGTCCTACGCGCTATGGTGTGCTGTCGCTGCGTACAGCTGTGGCTCATATCTGCTCTCATAGCTTCGGCGTCAACGGGGACGCGATGTTACCCACAAATAAGGCCGACGAGAAGAAGGTGAGCTCGCGCTCATCCCACGGCTCATCTGCTCAATGACGCTCTGTCAGGCCCGCTCAATGCTGAAACGAACTAACCTCCCCGACCGCTGGCGCGTCGAGCTCGAGAATATGCTTGCTACTCACCGCAAAGCTGAGATAGAGATCCTCAGCTCCACGACAGGCGCCGAAGTCGACCTAGATAGTGCCGATACCCAGTGGTCGCAGAAGCGCGTTCATCCGCTCGTGCGGTACTTGTCGGAGAAGATACATGGATGTATCGTGGCGATGGGCGAAACTCATGCCAAGATGGAAGAAGATTGAGGTGGAGGTTGCGAGGTTGTTGTGCTGTCTGTTTTTGTTCGTGCTTTCTTATTGCTCTCGTGCATCTTGCTCTGCTGCTGTCGTACGCTTTGTTGGTCGCGTTTTGTCCTGCTGTTTTGCTATGCACTACTGTATTGTGTCCGTGATGGGACTCGGCGTCTGGACATGCCGTCGGGTGCCCCCAAGGTGGTCCATACCGACGCCGCAAGTGGCAGGCAGAGGCAAGCCCGAGAACGCCGACAGGGGTTGACGCGATCACGGGACATACGCGCACATCTGTGCGTCACGCGAACACGCGTGATCACTCAACGAGGAACTCACACAGGCTACTGCAGTCTCAGCAAAGGTAGCCTTCAAGGAGGGCTTTGCACGCCCTGTAAAGTATAACTCATGACAATGGTGATACGTCCGAGGGTCTGAATCGAGTTTCCAGCACATGTCCACATGGGATGGAAAGACGCAAGGGCGGCGATGGCTTGCGAAAGTTGATTTTGCTGGTATATATGGCGACGATATGTACTTCTCAAGTATCAGAGGCTCTGAAAGCGCTGTAGAGAGTCGGAGATTAAGACAGATTACGGATCAGCACCTGAAATCGCATATCTATATGGCAAGAAAAAGAGCGTGGGAATCTACCGTCACAACTGTCTTTACTGGTAGCCGTGAACGTTCGCGGACGGTCATCTCATCGGCGCTCGTTTGCTACTCGCTTGAGGTCAGAGAGGCGTACAGATGGCCATCATGCTGCGGGTGGTTGCGCTTGGGAGCCGGAAGATGGGTGAACCATATCAAGCACGTGACGTCGTTTACGGTTGACCATTGGCGACGCGGCGGTTTTGGTCCCTTCGTCCTGACCACGACGACCTCCGCGTCGCTCACACTACACCCGTCGCGCACACATTCTCTGTCGCCGACTCTGACCCACAATGCCCGTCGCCACGCGCACAACCAGGAGCTCTGTGCTCGGCAAACGCACTCATCAGCCAGAAGCCGACGACAAAGCGGCGTCGACCACAAACGACGACAAGGATAACTCTGCACTCTCGAGTCCGGACTCGAGCCCCATGGCGAAGCGTCCGCGTACGGGGACTACGGTCCTGTACGACCCGAACGGAAATAAGGAAAATATCCCTCCGCTCGACGACGACGTGCTATCGATTGCGTCGAGCTCGTCCTCACGCTCCCTGCGCCGGACTGCTTCCGAGTTCTCGACCGTCAGCCGTCGTTCAACTTCAGGTAATTAATTACTCTTATACATACCAATAAAAAGAACATGTACTGACTCCGTTATCTCAGTACGTCGTCAGGGCTCCGAGTCGAGCGTCGCCACCTCAAGCGACACGTCCGCCGCTGCGGCGTTTATGGCCGTCCAAGCGCCTCCCACCACACCGAAGGTCTCACAACCTATCCACGTCCGCGCTCGTGCTCTCCTGCGCGCGACATGCAACAGTGCTGGCGACTTCGCCGGTCGTGCCGCCGAAACCGACACGCTCCGCGACTTTATCACATCCTTCTTCACCGCCGTCAAGTCAAAGGCGGCGGATGACGCACACCCTATCCTCTACATCTCTGGCTCGCCTGGTTGCGGCAAGACTGCTTTGATCAACAATGTTCTGAACTCGCTCGAGGGCGACATGCAGACGAACGGCGTTAAGCTCTCCTTCGTCAACTGCATGGCCATGAACAACCTCGACGCTGTGTGGGAACGCCTCGTCGCCGACTTTGGTGCTCCCAAGAAGCGCGGCAAGCAGGTTGCGAACAGCGATGCCGTTCAGAAGCTCTTCGCCACTCGCAAGGATAAGTGGTATGTCGTCTCGTAGTGTCGGCTCGTAATTGTGTCTCATGTGATCATAGTCTGCTCATCCTCGACGAGGTAGACCACGTCGCCACCTCTTCCCAGGCTTTGGCCAAGCTTTTCTCCATTGCACAAAACTGCTCAAACACCCTACGCGTCATCGGCATTGCCAACACGCACACCCTTACCTCGTCCTCATCGCAACTGAACCTGGCGGGCGTCAAGGGCGTCAAGACCCTGCACTTCGCTCCGTACGAGCCCATCCAGCTCGTGGATATCCTCCACGCACGCCTTCAGCCTCTGCATGCCGATGCGGAGGATGCGGAGCGCCTCAAGAAGTTCTTGCCGCCGCCGACGCTCAAGCTCTTGTCGATGAAGATTGCATCGCAGACCGGCGACGTCCGCGCCATCTTCGAGGTCTTGCGCAACGCCATCGACATCGCTGTCAGTCAGGCTGGTGCTCCCAAGGACGTCTCGCCCCCGGTTACACCGACGCACATCCAGGCCGCCTTGAAGGCGTACTCGCCTGCCTCTCGTGTCGGTCCTGCTGCTGTCAACCCTTCCGCGCCGGTCAAGGTTGCCGCTAACAGCGAAATGGTCGCCAAAGTCCGTGCGCTGGGTCTACACGCACGTCTTGGCTTGCTTGGCCTTCTCATTGCGTGTAAGCGCGCGGAGGCTGGGCTCGTCGTTGCCGGCACTGCGGCGCCGCGTACGCTGAAGCGCACCCCGTCGAATGCGAACGCAGCAAACGCCGGCAAGGCTACCATCGACGCACACCAGCTCCACACCCTGTACAGCACGATGCTTGCCGGTACCAAGGGCGCCTTCACGCCCGTCTCGCGCTCTGAGTTCTCTGACATCGTCAACCTGCTCGAGACCGTCGGCTTTGTTACCCGTGGTATGCCGGGTAGCATCAACACTCCCACCGCACGCCGCAAGCTCGCGCGTACGCAGTCCTTCGGGGCACAAGCTGTCGACCAGCTATCATTCGCGGAGGGTGTACGTGCCACGGAGATTCTCCGTGGGCTGGGCATCGCCGTGGAGGGCGAGGCGGCGACGGCCACTGACCGTCTCGAGGAAGAAGCCGGTGCTATCTGGGAGCGCGAGCTCGTCCGCATCCGCAAGGAGGCAGGCGCCGCTGTCAAGAAGGCCGCGAGTGCCAAGGCTGGCCTCCACGCCTTCGCTGAGGCGGAGGAGGACGCGTAGACGTTGATTCCTCCTTTTTCAAAATGCTTTCTCGATTTGTACAACTGCTGTTCTGTTTCTGTGTTTCCGGTTCGCGTCTCGTTCATCATGGACCATGTTGTCCTAGGTCCACCGCATGCATGCTTTCTCAACTCATCTCAATCTCAATCACATCCTCGTCGTCTCCATTGTCGTCATACGCATACGCATACCTACAAGCTGGCTAAAGGCCATACATCCTCATCACCCCGCATGCACATTGACTGTAGTCTCTCGCACGTTCTGCTTGATCCTTTACTTATGTTTTCCACTCATGTCTCGATGTGTTCGTCACAAGCCAATCAAGTACTTACCAGTCTACGTACCTCGTTTTGTCAACAATATTGCAAAGGATTCGTGTTCAGTTACCAAGTTGGGGTGATCGTGCATCCTTCGCCCGCGCAACTTCCGAACTTGCTTGACAGCGGCTAGTGCCATTGTGTAGGTCTACGCCAAGAGTGTCAATGCTACTGTATGTAAGGTATAAGGATCAGCCGTACAGGCGTACTATTGCACGCATCGCTATTCGCTCGATGTTCGGACCTGGTTCGGCCGCGCCGAGGAACGCGCCAGAACGAGTCAAACCATTACGTACCCGCGCGTGACTTTATGAGCAGAATTTTGAGGATCCGCACGCGCATCCGCGAGTTAGCCCAACACCTCATCCTCCTGGCATCGAGCCTGCCCTCTCACCCTCACCAACGTGAAGGTCGTTTATGTACGACAAGTTGACCTGTGACGAGTAAGATATGCTCTCCATCGTCTGCCAGAAACGTGTTTACTGACTTCGTCGTCGTGTGAGCAGCTATCTTTCAGACCTCGTCTACACCCTGCCAGTCTGTTGCTAAACCAGTCGACAACGACCATGTTTGCTTCTCGTATTATTCGTATTCCTGCTCGTAGCCTTCGTGGGTTTGCCACGCAGGCCAGTCTCACGCCTACCTCTGCGCTCCCGGCGACGCTCCACCTCAAGAGCGGTCAGTCCTTCGCTGGCAAATCATTCGGCGCCCAGCGCAGCGTTTATGGTGAGACTGTATTCTCAACCTCTATCACCTCTTGTGAGCCATGATTTCACCTGTTTTCCCTGTATGTGTCACTGACCCTTTTCTCCAGACACCGAGTCGATGACGGACCCTTCATACCGTGGCCAAATCCTCGTCTTCACAACTCCTCTCATTGGCAACTACGGAGTACCCGACAACCATGCGCCAACCGACAGCTGGGACGTCGGCGTCGTGCTCGAGAGCAAGCCCATTCAATGCACCGCTGTCGTCGTCGCTGACGTAGCGTGGCAATTCTCTCACTACAAGGCCGTCGAGTCTATCGCGGCCTGGTGTGCGCGCCACAACGTCCCCGGTATCACGAACGTTGACACCCGCGCCATTACCACTATTCTGCGTGAGCAGGGTACGACGCTTGGCCGTCTTGCCGTCGGCGCCGACGCGTCCCTTCCTGCACCCGCCGCACACGAGTACTGGGACCCGAGTGCCGAGAACCTCGTCGACCAGATCTCGACCAAGCAGCCGTACACTCTGAACCCGACGGGCGACGTCAAGATCGCTGTTCTCGACTTCGGCGCCAAGGCCAACATCCTCCGTGCTCTGGTCCGCCGCGGCGCATCCGTGACGGTCCTGCCCTGGAACTACGACTTCAACTCTGTCCGCGAGCAGTATGACGGCCTATTCCTTACCAACGGACCTGGCGACCCTCAGCAGTGCTGGGACGCCGCACACAAGCTCCGCAAAACGCTCGCGGAGTGGGACAAGCCTGTCTTCGGTATCTGCATGGGCCACCAGATCATCGGCATGGCTGCTGGGCTCGAGGCGTACCGTATGACGTTCGGCAACCGCGGTCATAATCAGCCTGTTCTTGCGCTCGCGTCGTCGGGTAGCATCAAGGCTGGCCGTGTCTACGTCACGAGCCAGAACCACCAGTACGCGTTGAAGCTGCAGGAGACATTCCCTGAGGGCTGGGAGCCGTTCTTTATCAACGCAAACGACTCGAGCGTGGAGGGTATCAAGAGCACGGCGGAGAGTGGGAAGAAGGTCTGGGGTGTGCAGTTCCACCCTGAGAGCGCCGGTGGACCGCTTGACACGATCGAGGTTCGTCGTTCTACTTTCTTCAATTACGTGCGATGTCTAACGGTCTACTTGTTACTTAGATGTTCACCGACTTCCTCGCTGAATGCCGTGCCGAGAAGCTCAAGTTGAACGTCCAGACGTCCGACCCGATGGGCGCCGCCCAGGTCGACCCTTCGCTTCGTGTTGCCTCGCTGCCCACGCCTGTCGCGGCGGCCGCCTAGATTGAAAACCAATGGACTTGCTTGTCTGGAGTGTGTACTATATCTCGCTGCTGCCTCTGTTGTCTCCGTCTGGCTTAGAAATAATCAAGCTCTGCTGTCCTTCTGCGACATGATCAATGATCTGACCCTTTCCTCGACTGGCCCATTGTGCTCAAGGACGCCACTCAAGCTTAAGTTCAAGAACACCTAGTCACAGATATAGTATCTCAAGCCCCCAGACCGCTGCGGGAAAACGACCTTTAACGCCGTACACTTCGAAAGTCGTACGCTAGTGCGCGCATGGTCATATTCATTATTCCATTCATTCTTCTCGGTAACCAGAAGCTAGTCCCCGCCATGAAGTCCCCGCCTCAGCCCAACGTCCCCGTCTTCATGTGTCTTCGTCTTCTTCACCGGCTTCCTCGAGGTCCCAGTACCAACAATCTAGAATCTATAATGAACTGCTTCTCCTCCAAAACGTGTAAGGATTCGCGGTACGTATACCCCATTTGGCGGCCCATACGCGGCGCAGCCGAGGCTGCTCCCACTGCACATGAGCGCCGCAAAGCGGACACATACCTCTGCATGGTCAATGCCCCTGTATGACCTGCCTGACCCACTCGTCGTATACGCATGTGCGTCGCCGCCGCATGGCTATGTGTCCCCCAGCGCTCATCTGGCTATACATCCCCGTATTTCCAGAACGAGTCCTAACGGCATGGCTCATTCATCGCGGCGTGACAGCCCTGCACCGCGTCCTCACAAGGACCCACAACGTGATATCAACAATCATCCGTTCGTTCAAAAGTGGCGTGTAATCCTCTCAATCCAGTGTGCATGAGAGTCGACGTCGAAGCGCGATGACGGATGAGCGCTGGGTACAGTCTGTTACCTGTACCTTCGAGTGGCACATCTTCCGCGCGCTTCTCACCTCGGCCGCTGTGTCCGCTCTCAGCTTCTCGCATTTGCCTCTTGCGTCCATCTTCGTGCACGCTCATTCACGTCATCGGTAACACTGCTCGACTGTATGCTTGCGGTGTATGACTGTTGACCGTACGATACGAGTTCGCCGTCGCCTGCCGCGCCGGGGTTCGCTGACGGAGCCGAGGTGTATGCGCGTCGATGTATGTGGGACGCTGATACCCTGCATTGGCCGCCAGCAGCGCATTCGAATTTCTGCTTACAGAGAGCGCGCCGCAGCTTACAGGCTAACAACAACATAGCCCGATGCCAGAAAAATTTGAAGCCTGCGCATTCTACTCGACACTGAAACGTCCTTTAAGAACCTGAACACAAGGCGTCGACAGCGCAGATCCTCTTCCAAAACCTCTTTTCTGGGATACGCATGTGGTTGTATGTGTCGGAGAGGCACGACAGCCAGCGTGCGGCAAGTCCGGTATCTCGGTGTCCTAGAGTCGCGTGCGAGCGTAGGTGCTTCTCGAGGCTGTGTAGCGCCCATCGCGGCGGCGCGGACCTCCCAGGGTTCGCCCGTCTGACGTGCTCTGAGCTTGACCCGTTGTAGTCCTCTCAGCGATTCAGATGTACAGCGACAGCGGTTGGCCCCAGATCCGCCAATGGGGATTAACCACAAGAGGCTTCTGCGATGCAGGAAGTACTGTACACAGAAGTTGTACGCTGCAAGATCGTCCGTGGCCGTACGGGCAACTGAGTAGCGTCCAGACCCGCGCGGCGACCATGAGCATCGCGCAATTTCGCAGTCGGATGCACACGTCCTCCGTACTCCGATTACTCTCCAACCTCCCAAACTGAGATAAGTAGCCGTATCGGCTCAATGGGCTCCACGCAAGACATACCCTAATAAGCTACAAGAGTGGATGACTTTCCACAGGCGTTTGGATCCGCAAGTCGTCTCCAAACCTTTCCAAACGCTTGATCGGCATGCGCAACCGTGCCTGAGGGTGAGTTTCCTACCGAAGATAAACGAAAAATGCGGACTTGATGGCGAGTTGTTTCCCGCGTGGCCGCCTCGACCCGATCGGTCTTCTCCGAGGTGCTCTTGAGGATCTGTGCTCTGTGTACTGCTTGAGATGGGCTCAAGAGGTAGTCAGCGAGGATGAACGTACCTCAAGGCATCCGCCTCTGCAAAAGAGGGGGGCGTGGAAGGTCTCTATCTTTTGCAACACACCCGATTCGGCTGCGAACCAGTCTATCTTGCGCTGCAAGGCTCGCACAGCTACC